CCCTTTATTTTAATTAAAATATAAGATATAATAAATTTTAAATTCACAATTACCTTAAATTAAGATCCAGTTCAGTAATATTTGGAAGCTTTTATAATATTTCTGCAATACTGTTAGATATGCTTAACCAAAACTGACAATATTGGTTATAGTTAAAAATGTTCTCTCCTAATAATACATTGCTTTCCGTATTGAATTAGTTTACTGATATTTCTTAAAGATCAAGCTTCAAATATCTAATATTTTGGCATTTTTCTAGGCAACAGCAAACACCTTTAAATCCATCTGCACTAATCTAACTCTTACTTTAATAAATTTACTTTAGTTCTAAATTTCTATAAAGCTAATTAAGCCAAAACAAAACATAAAATTTATGAATACCTTAAATTAAGGCTAAAACGAGTGATATTTGGGTTATTTTCTAAGGTTCTTCGAATTCTTGTAGCTTCATCTGTATTTATTAAGCTTTAACTAAACCATTAAAAAAAAATTAATATAGAGAAGATAAATAAAAAAAATGAACTTAAAATTAATACATTTAAAAATTTAAATAAAAAAATATTTGTTGTTTGACTTATATTTACATTATTTTAAATCCATCCAATTTATATAGAAAAAATTTTAAATAGAAAAATACTAAGCAGGAAAGATTTATCTTTGAAAAGTAATTAATTAATGATAGAAAGGCTTATTTTTTATCAAATGATTAAAAACATAATAGATAAATATTATAATCAGTTATTATATCTAAAGATTCAATATTTTATTAAATTAGGAATACTTATTGTTAGTTTAAGCATTTAAAAAATTTAATCATCTGTTTTTAATTAATATTTAAAAAATTTAAAATTCAAAAATAATTAAAAAAAGTTTAACCTAAGATTAATATCTACATCATTTTGATTAATTGAGAGATTGTCAGGATAATTAAAACTGGACATATTATTTTGATTTAAGATGTCTTATTATTGATCAAATATTTTTAGCTACCAATTCTCATTCTCTATTACATCGCATAATTTATTTTCAACTCTGCTATAAACATCAAGATCTAAGTTTATTATTTTATTGAAATTGTTAATCTAATTTAGTAAATTTTGTTTATTTATTTCATAATTCAAGTTGTTTTCTTTGATAATTTCTTTTAGCATCTAATTTTTTTTTTCAAAATCTTAATTCATACTTTTCACTATATCAATTAGTTTTTCCTTTTAGCAAATTTGATTGTATTCTTCTTAAGCTTTATTACATTAATCTATGAATTAGAAAATTTCCTCTTGCTTTTCTTCTAATTTGGAGTCAATTTTCATTCTGATATTTTTAAAAATAATTCTAATTTTTTCTTTAATTTCAATAGGTTCTGATGCTTTGCTAGTTATTTCTTTTAATCTTTCTAAAATTTCAGGCTCCTATGAAAAAGGCCATCCTTCAAAGATAGTTTCATAGTCGCTATCAAGCAAATCTTCAATATAGATACAATTTTCAAATTCAGTCTTATCTAAGCATTTAGTACATTTTAAAGCATATGGATCGCTACCTTCTACTAGCTTGATCCACTCAATATTTTTGTTTAAATGTTTAGGGCATTTAAAATTATATTCTGAATGTTGATTTATATAAGGTTAGTCGATGATATCCATAATCTAAAAGATAATATTTCCTTTTTAATCTAATATTGTTTCACTTTAATTAAGCTTTTTTTTTTTGTCTTAAGATTGTTTTTTTTAATAAATAATTATAATAAAAATATTCAAAATCTTTTCCTTTCAAGCGGAAATTAAATTAGTAATTAATTCAATTACAAATTATTATTAAAAAAAAAAATACTTTTATTTTCATTATTATTTTATTTATTTAGAATTACTTTTCAATGAATTACTTAATTAAAATAATCTGGTGAAAGACGATAATTAAAAATTTTTGATTACAACGAATTTTTTCTATTTTAATTAGCTAATTATTCATAAATAAAATCAAAATATTGAATACGTTTTTAAACTGGATGAAGCATTTTTTCTATCAAAATTTAAATTTGTTAGAAGATAAATTGTATTAATAATTTTATTTGTTTATTCAATCAAATTAAAATAGTTATAAAAAATTTTATTTAGTTCTTAATTAATTTTAAATAGCATTTTGCAATATTAAAAATAATAATCATTATTTATTAAAGATGATTAAAAAAGTATTTAGAAATAAACATAAATAAATTAAAGATAAAATATAAAACAATAATTTTTTTGATATTTTAAATTGAAAAATAACTACTATGCTATCAAAATGTTAAAAATTTTGCAGAAAATTACTATCTAAATTTTCAAAATTCTTTTAAATTTTCCAAGAATTTTTATTTAAGCTGAAATATTTTGGAAAGTTTTAAGATTAGAAGACAGATATAAATTATAGTGATATAGCTTAGGTTGGGAGACAAGACCATATAATAGCTATTGATTCAATTAGGGTGAGGTATTTATGAATCATCCTATTAAGCACTCATATTATTAGCATTTCAAGAATATTGAAATATTCTGGGATTAATATATTATTTTCAACTTGAGTTATAATTGGATGGGGGTTATAATTGAATAAATTTTGACAAAAGAAAAATCTTTATTTAATTTTTATTTTAGCCCAAACCAAAACCAAAAAGTTTAGTGTATGCCCCAATTTGTCTTGTTGTATTATTTTTTATTATGTATTTTAATTCAATCAAATTAAATGCTTTTTAAACTTTCTTATTTCTACTTAGCTTAGCTAATATGTTAATTAATTAGATTAAATATAGATAATTAAATACCATTCATTTATCTAGCTTTTTGGAAACGACTAGATTTTTGAATGGTGTTTTGCTATATTAAAAGTATAAATAAAAGTTTTTGTTCAAGTTTAAAATCTTTAATAAAGACTAATCATTTCCTGAAATTAGCTCTTTTAATTTTGCATACATTTTTATAATTTTAAGTAAAATATTTATTAATAAGTAATCATATTAATTTAAATTTAACTGGTTAGTCAGCTAAATTATGTGTCTGATTTTTTGAATATCTTCAATGTAAATCAATTAAATCTATGAAATATATTTTGATTAAAATTTTAATTATAAGTATTCTATAAATCACTCAAGAAATCTGTACTTTACTAAAGATTTAGTTTTAAATTTATTATATTTTAACAGTATGTTATAGAATCCCTAATTTCATTAGCAATTTCTTAGTCGCAAATATTAAAGCTATTTTTAAAAATTTTTAATCAATTTAATTCTAAAACAAAAGGAATAAAAAAATAAATTTAAATAGAATTTAAAAATATTCTCAAAAATTTAAAGATTAAACTAAATATTTTAGTGAAAAATTAATAAATTATTCTATTATTTAATTAATTTATTAAATAATACCTCAAGTCAAGATCCAAATTTTCTATACTATTACACTTTAGTAATGAATCTGCTATACAACAAATTCCATTATCATCAATTTGATTCATACTAATAATCATAAAATTATATTAATTTTATAAGCTTCATTATTATAATATATTTCCTTTTAATTCAGGTTTCTAGTTTCTAAGAACTAATTTTAATAGGAATTGATAAATAAAGTATTTACGATAAATTAAGATTCAAACTTTAAAAATTTTTAAATGCATCTAAAGTAGCAGCTAGGGCCTATACTTCATAACTACCAAGGGTCATTAAACGTTATGTGAAAGAGTTTCTAATTTAAAGAAATTAAAAATACATAAAAAAAGACTAAAATTAATACAAAAAAATAAGCAAATTAAATATAACAAATACATCTGCAACTAAAGGAATAAATTTGATAAATTAAGATTCAACTAAGTAACTTTTCGACATTTTTATAAAGCACATAGTATTTTTTTCAATCCTTCTGGACCAATCTCATTTTAGCTTTTTGATAAAAAATTATTTTTTTTGTCATTTAATTATTTAATTAATTAACTATTTATTTTTAAATTGAAATATAAAAAATAGATATAAAATTTATTTTAATTAAAATATAGATATAAAAAATTTTAAATTCATTAATTACCTTAAATTAAGATCCAGTTCAGTAATATTTGGAAGCTTTTATAATACATCTGCAATACTATTAGATATGCTTAACCAAAACTGACAATATTGGTTATAATTAAAACTGTTCACTCCTATTAATACATGATTTGCAGTATTGAATAAGTTTACAGATAAATCTGAAAGATTAAGCTTCAAGCATCTAATATTTTGGAATTTTTCCAGGCAACTGCAAATGCCTTTAAATCCATCTGCACTAATCTAACTCTTACTTTAATAAATTTACTTTAGTTCTAAATTTCTATAAAGCTAATTAAGCCAAAACAAAACATAAAATTTATGAATACCTTAAATTAAGGCTAAAGCGAATGATATTTGGATTATTTTCCAAGGTTCTCGTAATTATTTTAGCTTCTTCTGTTTTAATTAGTTGTTAACTACATTTTAATAAAATTTAATATTTATTATTTTATAAATAAAAAATTAAACTTAAAATTAATACATTTAAAAATTTATATTAGTATTTGTTTGATTTATATTTACATTAAAATATTATTTTTTTTTAAAAATTAATTCCTTTCAGACTTATTTAAGATCATTGAATTTATTTACAAAAATTTTTAAATGAAAAAAAACTAAGCAGGAAAGACTTATCTTTGAAAAAGTAATTAATTAATGATAGAATGACTTTTTAACAAATGCTTAAAAAACATAATAGATATTAAGTAAATATCATAATTATATATTATATCTATAGATTCAATATTTTATATTAGTTAAAAATTTATTATTGTTGGTTTAAGCATTTAAAAATTTAAACATTTGCTTTAATTAATATTTAAAAAATATGAAGTTGAAAAATAAAAATAAAAATTAAAACCTAAGATCAATATCTACATCATTTTGATTTATGCATTAAGAGAGATCATCAAGACATTTAGCAATGAAAATATTATTTAAATTTGAGATTTCTTATTATTGTTCACATATTTTTAGCAACCAATTCTCATTCTCTATTACATCGCATAATTTTTTTTCAACTCTACTATAAACATCAAGATCTAAGTTTATTATTTTATTGAAATTGTTAATCTAATTTAGTAATCTTTGTTTGTTTATTTCATAATTTAGGTTATTTTCTTTGATGATTTCTTTTAGCATCTAATTTTATTTTTCAAAATCTTAATTCATACTTTTCACTATATCAATTAGCTTTTCCTTTTAGTAAATTTGATTGTATTCTTCTTAGGCTTTATTATATTAATCTATGAATTAGAAAATTTCCTCTTGCTTTACTTCTAATTTGGAGTCAATTTTCATTCTGATACTTTTAAAAAATATTCTAATTTTATCTTTAATTTCAATAACTTCTGATGCTTTGCTAGTTATTTCTTTTAATCTTTCTAAAATTTCAGGCTCCTATGAAAAAGGCCAACCTTCAAAGATAGTTTCATAGTTACTATCAAGTAAATCCTCAATATTGATATAATTTACAAATTCAGTCTTGTCTAAACACTTAGTACATTTTAAAGCATATGGATCGCTATCTTCTACTAGCTTGATCCACTCAATATTTTTGTTTAAATGTTTAGGGCATTTAAAATTAGATTCTGAATGTTGATTCATATAAGGTTAGTCGATGATATCCATAATCTAAAAGATAATATTTCCTTTTCAATCTAATAATGTTTCACTTTAATTAAGCTTTTTTTTTGTCTTAAGATTGTTTTTTTTAATAAACAATTATAATAAAAATATTCAAAATCTTTTCCTTTCAAGCAAAAATTACATTAGTGATAATAAAATAGTAATGAAAATAAAAGTATTTTTTTTTAATAAATAAATAAATACATCTATAAAAATTTGTAATTTAATTAAATCTTTTCGATGATTAAATTATTTAATAAAAATAATCTTGTGAAAGACGATAAGTAAAAAATTTTGAGAAAAACTAATTTTTGAAAATATTAATTAGCTAATTATCCATAAATAAAATCAAAATATTGAATGATTTATTTGTCCATATTTTGTTTTTAGTTAATAGATTCTTATTATCCTAAAAACAAAAATAGTTTGTTAAATAAAATGAAGCATTTTTTCTATCAAAAAAATAATTTGTTAGAAAATAAATTGAATTAATAATTTTATTTATTAAGTCAATTAAATTAAATTAAGTTATAATAAAATATCTATTTATTTAGTTCACAATTAATTATATATAGAAATTTGAAATATTAAAAATAATTATCGCCATTTATTAAAGATAATTTAAATAGTATAGGGTTGCACAAACAAAATGCGTCTCAGTAGAAATATATTTATTAGATTTTCTTAACATTCAAAAATTTAGATTGTAAATACATAATTAAATTTACTCAATTAAAATAGTAAAATTCTAGATAGAAAAGTGATGAAGGAAGGAAGTGTTAAGAAAAATTTTAAGAAAGAAACATGAATATTTATCTATATGAAAAAATAATTCTAAATAAAAATATTGAGTTAGCGAGCAGGAAAAGAAGAGTATTTTCTATTATATTTCTTAGATCAATAGGATTTATAGCTTAAAATTTGAGTGGTTAATATTTAGGTTTGAAATACCTATGTAACATTCACTATTGATTATCAAAAATCACTAATCAAAACAAGATTTTGATAGATATCTATCAATCTTTGGGTTATGATTAATTTTAATGCTGCTGAATCTATCATTAATAAGAAGGAACGTTTAATTCAATAATTAGTATAAATTTATGAATCAATCCTATTTATCTAAAGCCTTTTCTGAGAATAATTAAATCTTACAGTTTGAAAATGCTAGTTACTTACTATAAATCAAAATATACTTAAGTTACTTTGAAGATATCTCAATGATAAAGCAGGAATTGAAAGATTTATAATTCAATCAAAATAAAAGCAGCAATTAATTATTAAAACATATTAATCTTAAAATGATTCTTTATTACAAAAAAACAAAAATTCTTATCAGCTTTGGTTTGGTTACTCTTCCATATAACTAACTAACTAACTAACTAACTAACTAACTAACTAACTAACTAACTAACTAACTAACATATAAGAGGAAAAGTGAGGTCTGGCGATTGATTTTTTAGACTAGCTTTTTAAAACAAATTTATAATTTTCAGAATTATCTGACAATTTGAAAAATTTTAATCTTAGCAATATTCAAATAAAAACATAATATATAATCATGATAATGTATCTAGTGAAAATTTATGCAAAATACATAAAAATAGAGCAAAAATTAATTATAATCAATTCAAGATATTTTTTTACCTCAGTTAATTTAATTTTAGTATTGCATTATTTCTTTCTATCTCTGCATATGTTTTCCATAGAAATATTCAGATTTAATAATTTTACAATAATTTTTTGTCATGTCTCTTCGTAAAAGCAAATTTATAAATTTATATCTGATAATTATAGTGACTTATTTGTTGTTCTTTTTCAAATTAATTTGATAAATAATTACTTTATTTGATTTATTTATTTATTTAAATACTAATAATTGATTAAAATTCCATAAATTGCTATTAAACAATTTTGAAAAAAAAATGATATAATAGAATATCTATTTTAATAATCTAGAAGAAGTATGTATTTATTTTTTTATTAAATACGCTTCAATTTATTATTATTAATAATAAAAGTTTATAAACTCTTCACTTTAATCATATTAGGTTCTCACAATTAGTTTGATGTATATTTAATTTATTATTATTATTATTAATTTTTACTTATTTAATTTTCAAGTTCTTTACAATATTATTTTTCTAAAAGAAATACTCATCTCTTTTCATTCATTTTTATTTAAGCAACATTTTTTTATTTTCAATTATTGCTTTTATTATAATTAATTAATTAATTTATTTATTTCTTATTATTTCATATTTTTTCTTCATTTTTTCCTTCTAAATAGCTTTTTAAATAATATTTTTTCTTCTATATTATAAAGAGATAAAAAAATTAGTTCAAAAAAGGCATCAGGATTAGGTTAAGGTTTAGGAAAGTGCTCTAATCTCTTAAATTTGACACTTAATCTATGGTAAAAATAGTTTATTTGTTTTGGATTGCTATTTTTGAATATGAAAATGTAAAGAGAGCAAAAAATTAACTCTATTATTTATTTAACAGCTTTTTATTTGATTTCTTTTTTTTTAATTTTGTATATATTTTTTTTTTCTTTGTTTACTTGTTTGCTAATTTAACTCATTTTTTCATTTTCAATTTTTACATTTCTTATTATTTCATGTTATTTCTTCATTTTTTCCTTCAAATTAACTCTTTATTTTTTTCAATATTTAAAAAGTCAAAATTAAATTGACGTTTAAGGTGCTTCAGACTTAGGTTCTGGCTTAGGAAAGTGCTCTAATCTCTAAAATTTGACACTTGGTCTTGAGTAAAAACAGTTTATTTGTTTTGGATTGTGATATACTTAAGTATTTGAATAAAGGATGTATTGAAAACAATACAACTAACTCTTTTAATTTATTAATTCACTTTTTATTTTATTTATTTTTCTTTTTTTTTGTTTTACTTGTGTTTTTTATATCTTTTTTTTAATTTGTTAGTATAAATCAATTTTATTTTAAATCTTTATTTGTATTATTTATTTATTTATTTTTTATTTTTTTCTTCATTTTTCCTTCTCTAACTAATAAACTATATATTTTTTCTTGAATATTTTAAAAGGGGAAATTTAATTGGTAATGGAGATCTATCAGGCTTAGGTTCTGGTTTAGGAGAGTGCACTAATCTCTAAAATTTGTCACTTTTTCTTTAGTAAAAATAGTTTATTTGTTTTGGATAGTGATATTTTTGAATAAAGAATGTATTGAAAGCAATACAGCTAACTCTTTTAATTTATTTATTTAGCTTTTTATTTGATTTATTTTTCTTTTTTTTTATTCTACTTTTGTTTTTTACATCTTTTTTTTATTTTATTTTTTCTTCATTTTTCCTTCTCTAAATAATTAGCTTTTTATTTTATCTTCTACATTTAAAAAGTTAGAATTAAATTTCTGCAATTTGTGCATCAAGCTTAGGTTTTGGTTTAGGAAAGTGCACTAATCTCTAAAATTTGATACTTTATCTTATGTAAAAACAGTTTATTTGCTTTGGATTGTGATATTTTTGAATAAAGAATGTATTGAAAGCAATACAACTAACTCTTTTAATTTATTTATTCACTTTTTATTTGATTTATTTTTCTTTTTTTTGTTGTGTTTTTATATCTTTTTTTTATTTATTTGTTAGAAAAAATCAATTTTTTTTTTCCAATCTTTACTTGTATTATTTATTTTTTCTTCATTTTTCCTTCTCTAACTAATTAACTCTTTATTTTTTCAATATTTCAAAGTTAAAATTAAATTGATACTTAAGGTGCTTCAGACTTAGGTTAAGGTTTAGGAAAGTGCACTAATCTCTAAAATTTGAAACTTTATCTTAAGTAAAAACTTTTTTGCTTTGGATTGTGATATTTTTGAATAAAGAATGTATTGAAAACAATACAACTAACTCTTTTAATTTATTTATCCACTTTATATTTGACTTATTTTTCTTTTTTTTGTTGTGTTTTTATATATCTTTTTTTTATTTTTTAGTATAAATCAATTTTTTTTTTTCCAATCTTTACTTGTATTATTTATATTTTCTTCTCTAACTAATTAACTATATTTTTTTTCTTGAATATTTGAAAAGTGAAAATAAAATTGATGATGGAGATCTATCAGGCTTAGGTTCTGGTTTAGGAGATTGCACTAATCTCTAAAATTTGACGCTTTATCTTTCGTAAAAACAGTTTATTTGTTTTGGATTGTGATATTTTTGAATAAAGAATGTATTGAAAAAAATACAAACTAACTTTTTTAATTTATTTATTTATTCACTTTTTATTTGATTTATTTTTCTTTCTTTTTTATTTTACTTTTGTTTTTTACATCTTTTTTTATTTGTTAGTATTAATCAATTTTTCAATTTTTACTCATATTATTTATTTTTTCTTCAACATTTAAAAAGGAAGAATTAAATTTCTGCAATTTGCGCATCAAGCTTAGGTTCTGGTTTAGGAAAGTGCACTAATCTATAAAAATTGACACTTTCTCTTGAGTAAAATCAGTTTATTTGTTTTGGATTGTGATATTTTTGAATAAAAAATGCAATAACTCTTTTAATTTATCTATTCACTTTTTATTTGATTTATTTTTCTTTTTTTTATTTTACTTGTGTTTTTTTTTATTTGTTAATATGAATCATTTTTTTTTCCAAAATTTATTTATTTATTTTTATATTTTTCTTCATTTTTACTTCTCTAACTAATTAACTATGTATTTTTTCTTGAATATTTTAAAAGGAATAATAAAATTGATGTTTAAGCTGCATCAGGCTTAGGTTCTGGTTTAGGAAAGTGTACTAACCTCTCAAAATTGACAATTAATCTTATGTAAAACAGTTTATTTGTTTTCGATTATGATATTTTTCAACATTAAAATTAATTTGTTTTATTTTTTTTTCTTTTTTTTCTTCAGCTTGTTTATATTTTTTTTATTTTTGTTTGTTTGTAAATTTAAATAATTTTTTCATATTTTTTGCTTGTGTTTTTTTTTTCTTTCTTTATTTATTTGTTAATTTAACTCATTTTTTTTATTTTCAACCTTTGCTTTTGTTATTAAATTAATTTATTCATTTTTATTATTTCATATTTTTTCTTCATTTTTCCTTCTTACTAACTATTATCAATATATATTTCATTAAATATTTCAAAAGGCACAATAAAATTGGCAATGGAGATTTATCATGCTTAGGTTCTGGTTTAGGAAAGTGCACTAATCTCTCAAATTTGGAACTTAGTCTAGGGTAAACCAGTTTATCTGCTTTTAATTGTGATATTTTAGAATATAAAAATGAATTGAAAACTATATAACAAGCTAACTCTTTTAGTTTATTTATTAGTTTTCTTTTTATTTATTTACTAATTTAATTCATTATTTCATTTTCAACTTTTACTTTTATTAATAATTAATTAATAAAAATTCATTTCTTATTATTTTATATTTTATCTTCATTTTTTCCTTCTAACTAACTAATTAGTTATATATTACTTCTTGAATATTTAAAAGCCACAATGAAATTGGTGATGAATGTGCATCAAGCTTAGGTTCTGGATTAGGAGAGTGCACTAATCTTTCAAATTTGACACTTCGTCTTGAGTAAAAACAGTTTATTTGTTTTAGATTATGATATTTTTGAATATAAAAATGAATTGAAAACAATATATCTAAACTCCAATAATTTATTTACTTTTTATTTAATTTATTTTTATTTTTTTTATTTTGTTTGTTTGTTTGTTAATTTAACTTATTTTTTTATTTTTAACTTTTGCTTTTATCATTAATTAATGATTTTATTTCTTAGTATTTCTTATTTTTTCTTCATTTTTTCTTTCTAAATAACTAATTAAAGATATATTTTTTTCTAAAATATTTAAAAAGCAATAATTAAATTCGTTCAGAAGGTGCATCAGTATTAGGTTCTGCTTTAATAAAGTGCTCTAATCTCTCAAATTTGGGACTTTATCTCAGGTAAAAGCAGTTTATTTGTTTTGGATAGCGATATTTTTGAAACTAAAAATTAATTGAAAACAAAATTATAAACTCTTTTAATTTATTTATTAGCTTTTTATTATATTTATTTTTCTTTTTTTTTATTCTACTTGTGTTTTTTATTTATCTATTTCTTTGTATGTTTCATATTTAATTTGTTTTTTCATTTTCAGCTTTTGTTTTTATTATAATCAATTAATCCATTTATTGTTATTTCATATTTTTTCTTCATTTTTTCCTTCTAACTAACTAATTAACTAACTAACTAAATAGTTAATTAATAATATATTTTTTATTGAATATTTAAAAAGCCGCAATTTAATCTGTTTACAAGGTGAATTAGAATTAAGTTCTAGTTTAGCAAAGTGCACTAAACTTTCAAATTTGACAGTTGAACTTAAGTAAAAACAGTTTTTTGATATTTTTAAAAAATAAATTTAATTTAAAACAATAAAACTAATTCTTTTATTTATTTATTGGCTATTTATTTGTTTTTATTATGCTAAAATTTTTATTATTAAGAGATTTAAAAAATAATATTTTATTCTATTTATTTTTTTATTTTAATTTATACTAATTTATATTAAAAGAAAGAATTGTATCAAGAAATCAAAATATATGAAAACAAAGTGGTTGAAATCAAAAAGATTAGTTGTCTTAAAAATAAATTATAATTGATGAAATTACGAATATAAATATGATAGAGAAGGGTACAGAATTTTTTGTCCTGGCTTCAAGAAAAATTTTTTTACACAAAAAAATAATAATTTTTGAAAAATGAATAACTATGATAACAGAGTATTGCATTTTGTCTACAGCAAATTAATTAATAATAAAAAAAAAATTAAGTTTAGCAATTTGGGGTGAATTAAATCTTAGACTGGATCAATAATTATTAACTATAAGTATATAAATCATTGAATCAAATGATCAAGTAAAAGCCTGAAAAGTAGATTAAATAGTTGAAAGAGAAGTAGAATGAATTAAATAAATGAAAGAATAATATGATGAAAAATAAACAAAATGAATTGAATGAGAATTGAGAAAAAGGAGCAAAAAATACCAAAATAAAAAAAGGGGTGTATATTATCAAACTAAGTTAAGAATATTATACGAAAAATTGAATGATAAAAAACCTGCTAGAAAGAAAGAAGTAAGAGTAGAAAGATTGGATATAACTATATTATGTAGATTTAGAGTGTTATTTTAGATTTAAAACAGAAGAAGAAAATTATAAATAAACCATTTTATTTATAATGTAGGTATTGCTATTTGCAGCAAATTTTTTCTGTAGGGCCGGAAAAATAAAATATTTTTTTTTACTTTTTTTCTAGGACAGAAGGCACTTTTTTCTATATATAATATTCATAATAAGTATTTGCATAAATTTTAAATTAAATATAATTTTACATTCTTGAATATGATTGGATACAAATTTTAATTTTGGATATTGAATCTATTATTTAATTTAATATTAAAATAAAAAAATTAAAAAAATAAAAAAAATAAATCAAATAAAAATTTGTTATAAAAAAAATAAATATATTTGATTAAAATTTATAGTGAATATTTCTTAAGATATTATTTAGTTTTTCTTTTTAGCAAATTTGATTATATTCTTTTAAAATATTCATTAGTTAATCTATAAATTTATATATTTCATTTTGCTTTTCTTCAAATTTTAAATCAATTTTCATTCTTAGATTTTTGAATATAGTCCTAATTTTATCCTTAACCTCATCAAATTCTGAGGTCTATTAGTTATTTTTCTTAAATTATCAAGAATTTCAGGTTTATTTAAAAAAGGTCATCTATCAAAAATGGTTTAATCGTTGCTCTCAAACAACTCATCAATATAAATACAATTAGAAAATTGCATTTTTTATCTAATTGTTTAGAGCATTTGAAAACACACTATTCTTTATCTTCTACTAATTTTATCCATTTAATCTTATTGTATGTGTGTATTAGGCATTTATAGTTAGTTTCTTATAGCTAATTATTTTTGGAGATAGCAAAATTATCCATATTTTTATAGTATTATAGTTATATTGTTATTCTTATTTTCTTTTTCTTTCTTTAAAACTTTTGTTTAATAACTATCTTTGATTTCTATTTTATTTTTTTAATTAATTTTTATAAGTAAAAGCAATCGTAGCCTTGAATAAAAGATGAATTTTAATAAATAAGATATTTGTAATTCTTACATAAAAATATTAAATACTCACTTAATTGATAAATTTTCATCTGTTTAACTTTTAAATTTATTATCAAATAGAAAAATTGATTAAAGTAGACTTCTTTTACATATCTAAAAATTATATCATTTTATTATAAACTCTATTAATATCTGATAAGAAAAAAATTAGCAACTGAAACTTTATTAATAAAGTAAAATAAAATATTTCTAATTATTTTAAAAATTGATAAATAAAAAATAGATTTTTCAATACAAAATTTTTTACTTTTTAATTATTTAAAAGAAATAGGTTTTCTATATTTAAATTTTAATTTAATTTCATGTCATTAAAAAATTCTATTGAATAAACAAAAATCATAAAAAATATTCTATCATTTCCAAAAAAGTAAATAAAAAGGAATTTATTTTAATAAAAAATCAAATCAATTAAAAAATATATTTATAATGTGAATTTTTTTTATTAATACTTCAATTAATAGCTATTACTTTAATACAATGTTTTATTTATTTTTTTTAACTTTAAGCTGAATATTTACTTAATTTGTTTGCATAAAAAATACTTAAAAACTATCATGGATGATTATGTTTTACATATTTATTATTCAAATTAAATATTAATTTTAATCAGCATTCAATTTCTACTCTTATTATTAATCATCAATCAATATATTTATTAAAGGGATTGCTATTTTTTTTAAATTAATTATAAATATATGATCATAACAAAGCAAAAAAATAAAAAATTAAAAATTAAAAGCAAATATATTAGGTTTATAAAATTTTACTTAACTAAACCAATTTATTTTTATTTTAGATCAATATCTAAATTAATGAATTATCCACTGTTTTATAATCTACTCCTAATGCTTTGAACCGTATCATCTGATAAAGAATTATAGCTTTATAAATAAATAAATAATTTAATTATTAGAGCAAATAAAAACTAAAAACAAAATTATAATAAAAAGGTCATTCTTATTTTTTAAAAATTGAAAACTTTCAGTTAGATAGAGTATAAAAAAATACCTTAAATTTATTTTCAACTTTGAGATATTTTTGCATTTTTATATGGCATCAATAATCATGTTAGCTCCTTCTTAACCAATAATATTTTAGCTAATATAAAATATTAATTTTTTAATATTTTAATCAGTATTAAGTTATAAATTAGGTGTTAGAAAATCTATAATATAAAAACTAAACACAGTAAAATTTATTGTATCATATTACCCCAAATTAAGATTCAAATTGGCTATTTTTGAGCATTTTTCTAAGCCTTAAGCTAATTCTTTAGCTGAAGCATCACATATAAAATTATTGCTAATAATATTATTTTAAAGTTATTTTATAAAAAAATAATAATAATTTAAATAAAATATCTATCTGATTATTTTATTATTTTGAAACCAATTAATTTTCTTTATGTTAAATAGTATTGAAATAATATCGAGAAAAAATAAAGTTAAAATATTTGTTTTTTTTTAATTTATTACCTCAAATCAATGCTTAAATCAGTGTTTTTTTAAAGTATTGATAATGCATCTGCTAAATTCTTCGCTTCTAAAGAGGTAAAATTGTTATTTTATGTTTGAATCTTAAACATTCCACTATAACTATTATTTATTTTTATAAGTATCATAATAAAAAAATTTATAAAATTTTTTCAATTAATATACTACCTCTACTTCATTTCAAATGTATTTGATATGCTTAGTTATAAATCAGTAATATTTTAACAGCATTATATAGAATTTAAAACTGTCATTAATCCTTATGTACCTATTTTATTTTTACTTTAAAAATAATTTATTAATTTTCTTTTAAAGCCTAAAAAACAAATAAATAAAAATAAAGATTTGCTTGCATATTTTTTCACAAGAATACAAAGAATTTGTAAGATTACCTTAAATTTAGATTCAGTTTACTGATATGTTTAAGCTTTTTTAAGACATTTGAAATGCAATTAGCTATGTTAGCAAAAAATTACATATAGCCCTAAACATTAATAGGTCCTCCAAAAACAGAATTATTTCTAATAAAATAACATTAACTCTGAATAATTTAAAAAATTAAAATTATAAATAAAAGTTACTTAAATTTTTCATGTGAGAATTCCTAGACATTAAGATTAAAGCAAGAAATATTTTGGAAATTTTCAAGCACACTTGCTATCCTTTAAAATTATACTGCATCGATTTAACTTTAGCTAAGTATAATTTATTTATTAATAAAATTAGATTAATATATTTCACTAATAGTTAAATAAATTAGAACCATAAATTAAGACTTAAGGAAATCACATTTTGACACTTTTCTAGATCACTCACAAATTTTGTTATATCAGAATTATTCATCGTCTTTTAACTAAAAAAATTTTTATTTTCAATAAATAAAATAGAAAATTTAGTATTTTTATTTTTTTAAGATACTTCAAAAGTTTTATCTATTAATCTATTTATTATAATTCCTCATAAATAGATAAAAATAAAAATTCGAAAAAATTAAATCTTTTTATATTTAAAAAATATTAAAATTCTGCTGCTTGTAAGAGAGTCTATCCTACTCAACTAGATAAATTACAATATTTATTGTTAATAATAAAATAAATGTTTTTTCTTTAATAATTAAAAATTATCTTTCTATAACATCTAATCTATTTTGTAAAATATAAAAACTAACTAACTAACATACCTAAAATCAATGTCTATTCTTCTTTTATTAATACAATTAGAGAGTTCATCTAGATTTTTTACTTTGAAAGACAATTCTTCTTATTCATCCTTTATTTATTTAGCTTCTTCATTGGGTAATTTAACTCCATTTGAAATAATTTCTACTTATTATTTTTGCAACAAACTTTAATTTTAAGCTTGAAATACTTATACATTTTCTTTTAATGGTTACCAATTCTTATCATGAATGTATTTGCAAAAGCTATTTTCTATTTCATCGTAAGCACTAAAATCTATGCTAATTATTTCATAGAAATTGTTAATATAATTTACGAAAGTTTATTTATTCTTTTCATAATTCATATTATTTTCAGCAACAATATCATTAAGCATCAAGTTTTATTTTTCAAAGTCTTAATGCATGTTTCTTATTATATCATTTAGTTTTTCCTTTTAGCAAATTAGGTTGTATTCTTGTTAAGCGCTCTTTTACTTATCTATGAATTTAAAGATTTCCTCTTACTTTTCTTCTAATTTTGAATCGATTTTTATCCTTAGATTTTTGAAAATAACTCTAATCTTATCTTTGATCTGATCAACTTCTGATATTCTGCTAGTGATTTCCTTTAGTTTTTCTAAAATTTCAGGGTTATTTAAAAAAGGCCATCTTTCAAAAATAGTTTCGTTGTTGCTTTCCATCAATTCTTCAATAAAGATGCAATTTAAAAAATCAGTCTTTTTTTCAATGCATTTTGTACATTTCAAAACTTATGGATCGCTATCTTCTTCTAACTTAATCCATTCTATTAATTTATTTGTATGCTTTGGACATTTATAATTAGTTTCTAAGAACTGATTTATGTCTTATCCGTTTTCAGATTAATCCATTAATTTACTTTATATTAATTGATTGATTTACTTTCTTCAATTTTGATTTTAGATTTTCAGCTAAAAGTTTGTTTTGGTTTAATTATTGTAAGAAAAATTTTTTGATATTTTCTGGATTAATTAAAAATAATCAATTAATAAATTAAGAAATATAAATTTCATTGATGCATTGATTTGGAATAAGATTTCTTTAAATTAATATTGATTTTGCTTAACTTTTATTTTTATTGATAACCTGATGGTTAAAGACAAAAATAAATAAAATATTGAGCATCAGTAATCAACCAATAATTTCTAAGAAAATATATATTAAAATAAATATCTTTTATAATTCTCAGATTTCCCTTTTCAATCAAATATCTTTTAGTTTTTGAGATGACAAACAAATATCTTGCAGCGTAAAAATAAAATTATAAATATAGCTAATCCTGTAATTAAAATATCACGAACTGTGTAGGTACAGATGGTGATATGTCATTTAATTTTTATGATTTTAAGCTAATTTTACACTTTCTATTTTTTAATTTTTTTTATCAACCTACTTTTATTAAATTTTGAAAAATTAAAATTTGTTGGAGTAATAAAATAATTTGAAGGGTGTTAACTTAGGAATTTTTTTTTGAGCAATTAATTGTGAATTTTTAATATTTTAAAAAATAAAATAGAAAATTTATTATTGTCTTAATTATAGTTTTAAAGAAATAGCTTTTTTTTTAATTTATTATATTAATGCTTATCTTAAAGAAATATAATATTTTTGATTTAGGGAATTTCTTAAATTAAATAATTTTACATTTATTTTTTATAAATTAATTTTAGTATATATAATGCAATTTATTATAAATATTTATTTATTTATTTTTTCATTTCATGCGCAGTGGTTTAGAACTAGACTTAGAAGAACTTAATATATCGCTGATCATTTCTAATAGTTTAAAAAATATTAATATACTATCAAAAAGAAAGTTAATTGTTTTACCTGTATCTAATTATTTGGGAATTTAGTCCATGCTGATTTAATTATTTATTTTTGCACTTCTATTATAGTCATTTTATTTTAGACATCTTAAAATTTGTTAAAAAATTGAAACATAAACATAAATAGACTGCAGGATATTCTGTGTCACTAAAAAAAACATAGCAATAATTATCATAACATCTACTGTAGTAGGTTATTAGTAAATAATATCACTTATTATATCTTCCTCTTGATTTAAAGTTAGTGTCATCATTATTAGAATGAGTAAAAAGAATGTTTCTGAAGTTGTTATTAAGAATGTGTGAGTTTTAGATATAAAAGGTTTATACAAAAGCTAGACTATTATAAAGAAGCAAGTTATTACTATTGCAGAAATAAAACCCCATTTTGTATCATTAAAATGGTATATCAAATATATTGTTGCTGCTTTGCGGATTTCTAATAGGACCCAAATAAAGCTACTAAATGTTTTAAAAATATTTAAATCAATAGTGAAGCATAATGGTTTGTTTAAGTTGATTTCTTTTGAATAAAGCTTGATAATAAAATCTTCGCTTCTGCTCTATAAATTGATAAAATCTTTTTATCTGCATAATTGAATAGATTCAAAACAAATAAGCAAAAAATAAATAATTAGAAGGAAGCATGTTGCAAAAAAGTATATTTTGAAGCTTGTTTGAAATTAATTTATGAAATCAAACAGGTAAAATATTATGAATAGAGCTAAAATAGATACAAATCTACCTGTTAAAATGAATAAATTATTTTCAATTACTTCAAATAATGTATTCATTTTTTTTATTATTTGAACTTTTAGGAGAAGATTTATCGACAAAGCTATGAACAAAACTAATGAGATAACTTATAATTACTCTATTAGACTTTAAGTTAATTAGGTTTAATCTCCTTATGGATTACTGTAAAAATTGTATCTGTTAAAATATCCAGTTAATTACTTTCTCAAATTTTTTCCTCTATTCTCTTACAATAGGGAGAGTATTCCAATGTATTATTGAAGATGAAAAGAATATTATGCAAAAGCGAATGCTGGAAGGAAAATAAATGGCATTTAAATATAAAAGGAGGCCTCAAAATAATTAGTCAAAGAATTAACTAAGCTGCTACTAATAGGATTGGGTATTTATTTGCAGTCAACTTCTCCACTTTCTTCATAACCGTCTACACAATCACATGAGTTAGTTTTTAAATTAAAAAATCTAGTTTTAGAAATGCAAGAACTACACGAATTTTTCGAATTCGGAATAGTACAAGAGGAACAAGCATAATAACAAGGTATGCTATCATCATATTATAAACAAGAAGTACTGTTTAAACAATTAATGCAATACTGAGGGCATTTGCCAATGCACTAATTGTCATCTGTAGCATAATATCCTCTTTTTTTTAAATAAAAATAAAATTATTGATTTATTTGCTAATAAAATTATTTTATCATAAATTTAAGTTTAAAATTTTTAAATATTTAAGAAATGAATTTTTAATTCACTCTTTAAATATTCAAAATTAATTAATTAATATTTTGTAATTTTTTACTTATGAATTAAATTTAATAAATGAGAATATTCTCATTAATAGAGATGGGAATCGAAGGTATAAATATCATCAAAATGAATGGAAATTGAATAAAAAGTAGCTATTAGCTTATATTTTTTCTTAAATTTCTATTCATTTTTATGATATCGAAACTTTCGACACCTTAATTATTAAGTATAAAATTCAGTTTATAAAAAAATTAAAATTACTTGCTGCATAGCTTACAAATACCTTAAATGTTGTAATATCCTTCCAGACATTTATTGCAATACAAGTTATATGAGTATGGTTATTAGCAATTTATTAATTTGTATTATGTTGCACATTGGTTGAGTTCACTCACGAAATTTTAAGAAGGATCTTCACAATCACAAGCTTAGTTATTATTTAATTTCATTCCTATTTAACATGTTTAACATATCTTATAATTTAGAGAACAATCTTGGCAACCTTAAGCTTGGCATGTTTAACAGTTTCCATTTTAAGTGTTAAGACCCTTAGTTTGATCTGTACAAAAACACATCGAATTACTTACCAGGGTAAATTAAGTTGTATCACAACTATTGCATTCTTAATTTGAACCTCCAGAACAAGTCAAGCAAGATATGTGACAATCATAGTATTCTTTTTAGTTTTAGTCGTAGTACGTATTTGGAGGAGGATTTCCTGTAAAACATTATTAATGATAATAATATTAGCCGCTTGGACATTTTATACAATTTCCATCTTTATCACAAAAATTAGGACAGTCAGTAGGGCATTTACTGCATATGTATTAATCTATTTATTAAGAACAATAAGTGTTTTAAGGTTATTTTTCTTGGCAATTCTATTCAAACAAAAATGGGGTATTGGACTAGCAACTAGTACAAGAATCTTAATTACATGTCAAGCACTTCTAATTTGTGCAAGGTTAGCAAATTTATCTGGAGTCATTCGTTGTATCAATAACTTTTTATCCAACTGGGCAAGTATCTACGCATTGATCTTAGTAATTAACTTATTATTGATTATTGTTTAGATAGCAGTTAAGCATTTAAAACTACAAAAAAAAACTCGTTATGCTTTTAATTTATGAGGTCCCCCAAGTGCTGTAGTTGAAGTAATTAGTTTTGTAATCAAAAGAAATTTTAGCTCTTATACCATCACAAATTTATGGATCTGAACAAAAATTAAATCCACTTATGCTATAGAGAGTGTTAACATAATTTTTAGTGCAGAATGAAATAGAAATACGACTGTTTGTTGTTGATCTAATTTTATCTAAATTAACTGATGAATAAATTGGATACTAATTTTAATTCATATCAATTTGACCATATTAATAATCTGATTGAATGCTATAGTAGTTCTTATACTATTAATTATCACTGAAATAGATATAATTAAAGTTTATTTCTTTAATTTAGCTTTATGATCTAGTTGAGAATCTGAAATTAAATCCTGTAAAATTGGCTGAACTTTATTCTAAATATAAACTGTAATCAGTTGATTTTGATGAAGTAAAACCTGTTATAAATCCATAAGCTCGCATTCCTTTAATAAAATTTGTAGGTTTTTCATCATAGAAATAATACTATTAATTTGAGTCAAAGACTGGATTTACTATTTTAATTTGCTTTACATAAGCATTTTTGAGACATATTTCTGCTATTTAAAAAGAAATTTTATATTCGTTTGTTATGCTAAATGCTACTTGACTAGCTTATTATGTCATAGAAATGTTAAATTAAATGTTATTATTATTGTTGTTGATAAGTAAGTCTAAATAATAAGGGGTTATTAGATATTATTTTTAGTAAGGACAGTTTTAGATCTGTTATGTAAGAATAAAGGAAGTATTTGAGCTGTCCAGATTTGCATTTTAGATAGTGACATTACTTTGCCATATTCCGGTATAAACATAAGCAAATGTAATATATGGTTATAATAAAAATGTTATTAAGAGAGCAATTTTAGCTTCAAAAATATTTTGAGATTGTAGAGAAACCATTTCGAAACACTCTAAATAAATAAATGTGATATTTATTTTGACAAGACAGATGTGCGAAAGATAATTTAAAAATTTTTAGAATTTATTTGTTTTATAATTTGATTTCACTGCCTCTTTCTCAATTTAGCACTTATTTTAATTTACTTTGATTGTGCAAAATTTGTAATTATTAAAATTTATTTGATGGTTTTTTAATTAAACATGATAGAGATTAATCTATTGATTACTTAAAAACTATTCTAAAGTATCCTTGAAAATTTTTATAAACTCTTCAATACTTATAAGAGGTTTATTTCCATTTAAAATCCATTGAAACTAGCACTAAAATATGTAAATCACCGATATTTCAATGTAAAATTACTTGAGCAAAGAAAGGTATTGATTTAAGATATTACTTTTTCTTGTTAAATTGATGTAATTTTAGCCATCAACACATGTTAATTAACTTTCGATATTAATATAAATCAGTTAATGGTCAATACTATTTTATTAATTTAATTACATAAATAACAAAGAGGATATCTTTCAATTAAATAAAGTAACCAATTAATTCTAACATTTAATTAATTTTATGGATATTATTGAAATAAACTAAATTACAACTTTTAATAGCATAAATTGACTATACTAAAAACAATAAAAGCTTTAAACTGATATTACATAAAGTAATTATCATTTGAGCATTTTAATTTAATGATAAAATGTTGTATTCGTGCAACTAAATGTAACTTAAAATGAAAATTATCTATTAATATCTTAACTGAATTACATGTAACTAATTTCATCTTTTGAGTAAATGATGAATGAAATAAGCATCATCCTCTTTTACTTAGTGAAAATAAATTTTTACCACATTTATATCAAACTTCAAAAATATTACTAAAATAAAATTATCCTAAAATCTTCTTTTGATCTTATTTTCGTTTGCTATTTACTATTTTTATTAATCAACAAAATTTATTTTTCTTATCAGAAATGAAATTCAATAAAAATTAAAACCAAACTAATTTCACGTTATTAATTTTTCTATCAATAATTTAATTAATTTAAAATTAAAAATAAGTCTACTTCAAAATAACAATTGTTATTTATTTTTCTAGTAGGTAATAAATAAATATTTAGTAGAATAAATAATTATAGCAAGATGCCATTCAATAATTTCGTCATTTGGAGGTCACTTATTATGAAATAGATTTTTTAATTATTTATTTTTTATATTTTATAATGGAATTAAAATTAATAATTTAATTTATTATAATTTCAAAAATAAATAAATTATTTTTTTAAATTAAAAATTTTTAATTTAGCTAAATATTTTTTAAGAAATAAAATGAATCATACTTTATATAAAAAATATGAATTAAATATTAAGGTATTTAGATAAATAAAACTATTATTTTTGCTAAGATTTTAACAAGATTTTCAAAATAAAAATAAGAAAGCAACAACAATCATAGAAGAAGCTGCAGCAAGTAGTTTGGCAGATGTCTTAACACATAGAGTGTTATTGTAGTTGGCATAAGGAGTGTCGTATTGAAAGCAAGAAGTACAGGCATTAGTAGAAACAATAGCTCCATTACCAGTTAATTTTGAACAATCAGCTACAGAACAATTTTCTAAAGTTACAGCCCAGTTGTTAGGTACAGTTCCAGATTTTCCACAATTTTCATCATTACATACTCCATTTTTTTAGCATTTGATCATTCTCATGCCTTAGTTTTAAGCAAAGCATATAGTTATAAAGCAAAATAAAACAAAAAGAGTAATTTATCTCATTATTTTAATATATTTTTTCTTTATTTAATAAATTTTAAATTTTAAATAGTTTGCTAAATCCAATTTAAAGCTAATCAAATGTCTGTATTTATCGAATTCTTTTACAATTTAAAATTAATTATGTAAAAGAAATTTAATAAATTTGATTTATTATTTATAAATTAATTTAAATATAGTATTAAATTTATAATTAGATTTCATTATTCTTTACAAGACATTTTTAGTAGCTTATAAATATATACCATCTTTGATTAATTATTAAATATTTTTATATGGTGTGCATTATATGCAAACTAATTTTATCAAAAATAAAAAGGGTGTTCATACGTTTCATCATGTTGTTGGTGCTAATTATTGAGGACTATGGTATATTTGTTTTATTTTAGAAAAATAATACATAAAATCGTTCTATATATTCAATATATATAATTTAGATAACAAATATAATAATTATTAATATATAGTATTTATCTACTTATAACTAGTCTTATAGAATCTTATAATAAACAATTTAATAAAATTTTTATCAAAAATTTTTCATCAGGTTAATGCATTATCTTATTAAATTTTGATATAAAAGAATTTAAGCTAGCAGAAATATAAATATATGTAACTAAGCAAAATATCTTAACATTTTTGTTAATAAATTTATATACACATACATACACGCATACCGTAGGTTTAAACACAATGTATTTATTTAAAAGCTATGTAACTAAATCTTATTAAAAACTGTTTAAGAAAATTTATTATTTAAAATATTTTATTTGAAGAAAGTTACTGAAAAATTAAATTTTATACAAAATAATACAAGTTTATAAATAAAACAAACACATGACCTCTTAAGCAAATAAACATGCATTATCACTTTAGATTAAAAGAAACCAATTTAAAAGCTAAATATATATCTTATCAATTATTATAAAAAGCGAAGCAAGAAAATTTTTGATCCAAAATCTTATTTGAGAATAGTGTCTGTCGTCTTATTATCAAAATTTAATATCATACAAATAAATGAATGAATAAATAGATATCTTTACAAATTTATATTTACTTAAAACCTAAATAAGCACTGTAGATAATAATAATAAATTTTGGATTTATATAATATCTTGCTATTAATAACTAATAAAATATCATTTGACAAAATTGTGATCAAAAATATTTTTTGTAGTGTTTGTTTATCTTTGTATTTTTTAGTTTAGTAAACTAAATTTAAGTAAAATTGATGATATAACAAAATATCTAAACAAATTTATACATAAATAGATACATTTCCTCATATTTATGAAGATCTTTATTACTTCAAGCTAATATTCTAAAAATTCATCTGAAATTTAGATTTCTTCATTAAAAAACTCATAAAAGCTTCGATTTATTTTGAGATAATAAGGTATTATTAAAATATTTATTAAATTTTTTTAAAAATTTTTCTTTAAGGCTAAGCCATATTTAACTAAATATGAAATTCAAAAGAACTTTTAACAAAAAATATTATTTATACCTAATGATAGATTAGGATCAAGTCTGATAGAACTGTAAAAGAACATAGAAAAAATTAATTTAGTTAAGGTTTTAATTAATATTACTAGTAACCACCTATTAAATAAAAATAGTAAAACCTAGTCATACCAAATTTAATTTGTTTGAACAAAAAACATCGCAGTTAATCTTTTAATGTTCTAAAACAGAGTTTTTAATTAAATATTGATATTACATTAATTTCTTATATAAAAAAATTCTTGAGTGTCCAAAGACTGACTCACTTATCAATGAATTGATTAATAAAAATTAATAAAATAATAATTTCTAAAACATACTAGGAAATTTAATATAATTTTTTATAAATTCTATATAAAAAATAGTTATGTATATATTTATATATCACAAGTTAATTTATTAATTTATTTAATAGCAGAAATTAATATGTTGCTTCCTCAGCTTTGAAAATTACTTATGTCATTGTTTTGATTTCGTGCTAGCTAGCATCAAAGGATTATTTTTTTCTGATATTGTTTAGAGGTCTTTGCATACAACATCGAATTCTTAGTCTAATTTGTGCTGACTGAGCATGTAGAGTTTTACATTTTTTTTTTTATACTTTCAATAATAAATTAATAGTTAAATAAATAAATAATTGATTGGTTGATTATTAGAATAGAAAAATTTACGATGTTTTTTTAGATTCTTAAAATGTTTGTGCGTAAATCAACTACTTGAGATATACCATTCTTCTTGTTTTCTTCTAACTATTTAGATTTGAGCTATCTTTACAATTTTATTTCATCTTCGTCATTTTATTTATTTAAATAAAGATGACTGAGGTTGAATTTAGTTTATTGCTATTTTTATGTTTGCTATGATGAGTTTTTGTTTTATAAATGAAATTAATCAGAAGAAATATTTCTTTTTTTAGTCATTTTGCTTTAATTAATGCTTGAATTTTTATTAGAATTTGATTAATCTATTTTTAACTACTCTGCAATCAGAATGTTTTTCTTCGGGAGCGAGTCTATGGTTGAAGTTAATTTTTAATCCTTATTATTGCTATAATTATCGAATTAGTTTAAGTCTATTTAATTTATTACGTTTTACAAATCTTTAAGTTTGATGATATTTTGTTTTTCTTCAAACTCATTTTCATTTTACAATTCTTAGATTTTTTGTTTTTCTTGTTCTTTTTATTGTTTTTCTAATTTTTTTTATTTTTCTTAATTGTAAATTTCGATAACCTCATTAATTTGCTCTTCATTTAATTCAGTTTGTTTAAATTGTTACCATTTTTCTTTTTCTTTATGTAGATTGATTCTCTGCAATCTTTTTATCCTAGATTCATCTATTTTATTAAGCTCTTTCAGCTTTTATTCAATAATATAATTTGCTTTTCCTCTAGGTGAAAGTTCTTCAAAAGCAGCGTCTTTGGTATTTAAAGCATTTTATTCTTCGCTAAATTAATTCTTTCTCTTTACCAGAGAAAATGAAAGATCCTCCAACTCAATTGAATTATTTTTTGAAAAGCTCATTGCCTATAAATTAATTTTTTATGGAGAGTTTTCTTACGATTTCAAAATGTGTTTATATCTTTTCATTAAACTTGGATTAAGAGGGCTTTATGGTTGGCTTTTCTATTCTAGTTGATCAAAAATCTCCAAAGTATTCTTCTTCTTTAACTCCATCTCATTTTGTTTTTATTTTTATTTTACTATTTTTAGTTAAAAATATTCTATTTTAGTTTAAATTCTTTTATAAATTCTTTATTTTTTAAAAATAAAATGAATAATTTAAATCGTTAAATCTTATTCAATTTTAATCTAATAAAAATAATTTTTTTAGATCATGATAATTTTAATTTTATTTAAAGCTAAATTCAAAAAAAAGTGAATTTCTTTAATAAAATTATTAAATAAAAAACATTATCTGCTTTCAAATTAATTTTATCAGGAATTATCATTTGATTTTCACATAAAAATATCTGAATTTATTTAAGTTTTGAATAATTTACACAGTTGATTATGATATATTTTGTAGGTTCTAGATGCTTTCTATTCATCAGCATATGCAATTTTAAAGCTTAAGTAATTATATATTTTGTCGTATTTGCCTTAAATTTTGTTGTCAAGATTAAAAACCTCATATCTAGGGTCATGAGTGTCTGTTTTTACTTCTTCGATTCTTTCTTTTGGTATTAATTAATTTCATTTATTTTGTTTTATAAAAGCAGATAAATGAATTTAATATGAAATAAATTACTTTTGTCTTATTCTGAAACTTCACGAAAAGAAAGACAGTCAGTGCTATTAATTCTGCTTGTGAATTCGCTTAAGATTTATTAAGAATAATGCTAGATATCTTCCTCGTTATTTTTGCTATTACTTTCTTTGAGTATATTATCGAACTACTAATTATTTAAGCTCTTGTTTCTTAAATGAACATCAGATTTATCAAACACATTCTCTTTCTCTTCAAAAAATTTTTGGAATTAAATTCTCTCTCTTTCAGGAGAGTCTTGTGTAATAAATGTTAATTGTGTTATGTCATTTTTTTTATCACTTTTTTAGAAGTTTTTCAATCTCTAAAACATTTCTTTATTTATTTTTTAAATACAAACAATTAAATATTGTTTATTTCTAAGTCAAATGCTATAAATGAAATTTCTATTTTTTAATTATGCATTTTTCTTTATAAATTTCTATTCTAAATTAGTTTTTTTTAAAGGCCATTTCAGTAATTTTATTTTAATAAATAACTTTATTTAAGATAACAAATTTACTTAGATAAGGCAGTTAAGAATTCGATAAGCTTTGAGACACATTTTAAGTAACTCTTGATGAATTTAAACTTGTACTTGGCTTTCTGACATTAGAGTAATTATAATTAATATTAGTTGATTTAACATAATACTATTTCATCATTCTTTCAATTGTTTTTGGATCTGCAACATTAAGAGAATATAATTTCTTTGTTTTAAAGTCATTTTCTTGTTATCTGATTAAGTAGGCATTTGGATCAAGAGCTTTATTTTACTGCGAAAGAATTTTTTCACCATATTTTATCATTAAATTTTTGCATTCAGGCATTTTAACTTTCTCTACTTTTTTAGTCAGACTGCTCAAATTAAATTTATCAAAGATCTTCATGTTTAGATCATCACCAGACTTTTCAAAAACTTCATTAAGCTATAAAAAAATTAATTAAAATATTGAATATGATATGATTAGTAACTCACTAATTGTTTGCATTTTTCATTTGATTTTTCCCTTTCCTCTATGGAATCTTTCCTAACTTTGCCATATCTTTCCTAGATAAAATTAAATGCATATTAATCTGAACGTGTTTTCAATTTATTTTTTATAATTTAACTAATCAAATTTATTTAACAAACAAATAAATAGGCATACTCTCTCCAACTATTTAATCTCTTTTCCACTCTTGAAACCAGGCGATATTATTTCCCTAAAATTGTTGAGCTTCATGGCAACAAACTTTTAAACATCTTTTTCATTTGGTTATCTAGAGTTATGAACTGAAGTCTAACTTCTCTTTTAGTAAAAGCCGCAACCTCCAGAAGAATTATCTTCTGTTTTTACTCTTTATTATAATATTTCAGAAGAGTTATTATTCAGCTATTACATTAAAAAGAAAATATCTTCAATTAATAATATTAATATTTAGGCCAAATATCGAATTTACTTATCATTGAAATCAAACCTATATTAACCATATATAATCAATGCAATCAGGTATTACTTATCAAATAAAATAAAACCAATGAATATCAATTCACACTGTTGAGATAATAACAATCAATATAAAAAAAGATTAGTACTCATTTATTAATTTATTAGATCATTAATTTTGTATTTACAAACTATTCAAATTTTAAAACTAATCAACCGATTTCCCTTATTATAATTTTTTTACTTTTAACAATATCTATTTAAATCTGTAATTAAAATAATTTTATAATTTAATACTAAGCAGCAATAAATTTCAATTGTGTAAAAAATATAATTTGTATTTTTTATTCTATTATTGATTAATTTATTTGTTTATTAGTTTTATTTATTTAGACCGTTTTTAAATGAGTTACTTTTTTGACAATTTATAATATGAGATCTGTAAATTTATTTGTTAAATAATTTTGATAATAATTTAATTCAAATTCTCTTTTATCAATTTTTATGAATATTTAATTAATTGCTTCTTTATTTAACAAGAAAATATTTTTATATTATTATATATTTCTCATTTAATGAAATATTTTCAAAATTTATTGCAAAGATATATATTTTTAAAGTTTATGAAATTTGCTAATTTAGATTGTTAAATGTGTTTTATTTACTAATTTATTAATCATTTTTAAAAGTAATTTTAGAAATTTTATATAAAATTAAAGGGTTTAAATAATTAATTAATAGTTTTCTATTAAAAAAAATAATTTTAATGTGTTTATTTATTTAGTAAATTAATTAATTAATTTTGATTGATTATATATAAATTATGATGAAATGGAGAATCTGAAAATAGAAGGATGATAATTACTGAATACACAGAAATGTAATTAATTGTATGTGCTTTAGTTATATTATTGATTCAATTCTTTATAGAGTTAAATATAAAGTGAGTTACTCACTTACTTTTACTGAATATGTTCCAAGAAAATCCTTTTTTGATTATAAACTAAAGTTATGATATTTTCGAACAAAACTTTAACGCTATTTTGTTTGTTTATCAATGCGGATTCAGTTTAAACAATAGCTTTTTGGAAAACAAGACTTTAGCTCTAATCTGTTTATCAATTAATATTCAGTTTAAACAATAATTTTTATAATTTTTAAATTTATGTAAGTGGTATTGCTGGCTGATATTTTTATTTGAGTCAATTAATTTTACTGCAAATGAAATAATTTTAATAACATCTATGAGACTTGAGATTTTAATTAAATATTCAAATTTGAAAGAGTAAATAGTTTTTTTATAGTTTATTTTAAGATTGCTTTTTCTGATTTGCTAGTTGATTTAAATGATCTTCATGCATTTTAGGTTTCAAGATTTAATTTATTTGAATTATTTAAATGATTTTGAAATATTATCATGAAGCTTTTTGATGAATTATATATTTTTTCAAATAATTTTGGTTTGTAATGAATGAATGATAGTATGTATTTATGTTTGTTTGTTTTTATGTGTGGATCAGAAAAAACTTAATAATTTTATTAGTTTTGGGAAAGTATTATTTTAGTAAAGATTAAAATATATTTATTATTTTTTTTTAAGTTAGAAAAAACTTCATTAAGCTTCATCTTATTGGTCTTGATTACTATTTTGGTTAATTTTCTAAAGCATTTAAGATTGAAGTAATTACTATTGCTGCTATTAGTATTGTTACTGCTGTTATAAAAGATTAGCTTGAGATATCATTTGTTTAAAAGTGAGTTGTTGCTTGCTATTTTTATTACCTTTATCTTTATTTTTATCTCTAAATAAGAAACATATCACTAAGTAATGTACAAACAGGCAGCTAAAAAAAATCAAATTGTTTGCTATGTACTATGAGAAATTCTAAGCTGTTTCTTTTATTTATTCCTAAATATAATTATAATAAATATTAATTACATTTTCATAATTATATCAACTATATTTTAAAAGCTTTTCATATTGGAAAATATTTTTTTTTTTTCAAATAGGGTAGAATTAAACTATTTTTTTAAAGAAAAAATACATACAAGACAAACGTTTTTTTGATATATTTTTTTAATTGTACCCCCTTTTTATTTTTTGGCTTTATTTAAATAATAATTTGTATGAATTTACGATAATTTCTTAGTATCTCTTTGCAGGTGGTTTACGTATATTGTGTATTTGCTAAGAAGTCAACTTTCTTTTATCAACTATCTCCTATTAATCGTTTTGGATTTTGTTTTGCTAGGGAGCTGAGCTATATTAAGAATTTATATTTTGAGAGCAAGTTTGCATCTGCTATTCATTAATTTTTTTAATAAAATATTATCTCATAGGAAAGATGTAATCTTTATCGCTTTAGCAAGTGATTTAATTTCCTTACAAGAAAATTCTAAGTTAATTCATTTTGAGACCTTCGCCATTATTAGACTTATCCATGAATAACTCAACCATATTCTTCTTTATATCTATATAGTTATATTTTTAAGTAAGTTAAGTTAACAATCTTATCTATCATAAGTTAAATTGATTGGTTATATATAGTTAATACCTTAAAATGTTCCTTCATAAAGTATAATTGCATCCAGTTTGGCTGATCCCCGAATGCTTTCAAAAGTTACATTTAGACTTTGGTAGGTAGCATTATAGGTCTTAATTACATTGTCTTTTGACTTGTTTTTTAGCACTCTATTCTAGAAACTAAATTCAATGATTTCAAAATGTGGTAACTATTTGCCTCCTGCTAAAGTATAAATGTCAAAATTAGGGATTACTACTTCATCTTCTACTATGATGTTAAATACTCTTTTTTTAGCTCCTATGTCATTAATCTATTTTAATAATTTAAACTAATTAAAAATTCAGGATTTCTATCAATTACTTCTGCAAAAATCATTATCAAAGAATATTCGCCTGATCTCTTCAAAGGTAGCAGATATGAAAATGCTTTCTAGTCGTAAACGTAGGTTCTATGAATATTCCAGTCATATATTTCATCAAATATTGTTTTCCTTTGCTAGAATCTAACATCTTCTCTCCTTGCCACCTATCCACCATCTCTAAAAGTATCCTATTAATTTTAAATAAAAGGGATAAAATGACATCTAAAAAATTTGATGGTAGAGCATTCAGCAATATCATGAAATCAAATTTATGACTGCTTTATGATTTGTTAAGTTTTTCACTATTTAGAACTGAAAAAGCTAATTGCCTCTGACCTAAAATTACAAAAGCAAAACAAGTAAATGCTTACTGGCTTGTATAGTATTTTAGAGGAAGTATCCTTATAAAATTTATTCTCACCACAATTAATTGCTAAAATCTTCTCCTCCTTCGGTAGGAATGCCATCACCTAACTAAGAGTGAAGACATACCCACATAAAATGGCTTTTAATATACCTTAGATTCTAAACTACATCTATATTTTTAAGTTTTTATCTTCTATTATTAATCTCTTAATAAAAAGTAAAGTAATTTAATCAAAAAAAAATTTATATCACTATTTTTCCTTTTTATTAATTGAGCTGAGAGTTAATACTTGATTGATTGATAAATTGAATAAAAAAATAAAAGAACATATTGATGATAGATAGATAGATAAATAAATAATATGAAGATAATTAGAAAAAATCAATGACATATGATACTATTGTATAATAGCTATATAAAAAAGATAAAAGCCAACAAGTGAGATTGGCAATTATTATAATATTAATATCAGAAAACAAACATTTATCTATCACAAATTTATTTGATTTTAAAATTACTTACTGTAAAGTATATCTAACTTTTATTTTATATTCATCCCCATTAAATTATTAGCACTAGCTTTATTTTCATTAATTTTAAAATAATCTTTAACTTTTTCTAAATTTCTAGCAACAAAATCAATGATTTTTATTTGATCTTCAAACAAAAGTTAATTAGTATTTTTTAATTTGCAAAGATCTTTAAGGTTCTTAGTAACTTATCTAACCATTACACATTTAATTTTCTGAGCAATTTTCAAGGTCTACAATTAAGAGATATAAAATAGATAATAAAAAGTGCAAAATATGATTATTTAATATTGAAATGAGTGACTAATATTTATTTATTACAATAGTTTACTAACTAACTAAATATCACCTACAAGCTTTTATTAGTAAATAAAATAAAGTTTTTTTAGTTAAGTTTTAATATTTGTGCAATCAAAAGCTAGTTTTTAAAATCAAATAATCAACTCATTTATTTATTAATTAATGCATTGTTATTCTTTGGCTTCTACTTTTTAAAAGCAAATATTGAAAAAAAATTTTGTAATTAATCTCTAAAATTTTATAAATTTTAAATAAAATTAATATTGATTTTGCAAGAAAAATAATTTTATACATTAAATGACTAATTTATTAATAAACTTAGATAAAATAAATTAATTTTCTTATTAAAATAAAATTTGAGAATTGAAAAATGAATTAAAAATAAATATTAAATAATTAAATATGTAATCTAAAATATAAATATATCAATTTATATTCAAAAAAAATATTATTTATTTTAGATATTAAAATAATTAATTATTTTGGCTATTTCTTTTTATGCTAGCCCAAAACCATTTTTATTTAATATCATATATGATAAATGAGTTTATTTTCATACACTGATTTCATTAAATTAATACAAATTATAATTAATTTTATTTTCATATTAAATAATAAAAATACCAATTTAAAAATTAATATAAATTCTTAAATAATTCATCAAATAATATTCAAATTAAGTAACTTTAAAATTGTTCTTAATATTTTATATTCAATATTTCAATTTCTTTTAATAAATCATATTGCTATTCTCAAATAGGAAATATATATTTAGTAGAATAATAAATAAATAAATGTTATTTTATAAATTGGAATAAATTTTAAAATAATAAAAAAGTTATCTAAATTTTAAAATGCTTAAGGAGAATATTTTTCTTGATTTTAGTTCATGAAATAAGCATGATTAATACTTCTTAATAAATAGTTATTAGATTTAAATTCAATATACAAAAGATAAAGAAAATGTTTTTTAAAATTAGCTTAAAGCATGCTTTAAAAAAAAATAAACTTTTAAGGCTAAGTATTTCTTTAAGTACAAAATTTTATTGTTAAATATTTAAAAAATAATCTACTTGTTTGCTTGAATTAATAATAAAAAATAATCAACTTATCTGTTTGAATTAATAATTATAAAACTTTTTTTATTTTTATTAAACATTAAAAAGCTTTATTTTAATGCTCAAAACACTTAATTCTTTCTTAAGTTTTTGTTTTAAGTATTAGTAAATAAAAATGAATTTATTAAACACAGCTATTTTAGAAAGATAAAAAATAAATGAAAATATTCTAGTAAAAATTAAAGATTATTTTAGAATAAAAACTTAAATTAGATTCCTTCCTGATGAGAAAGATAATAATTGAAATAAGGATATAAAAAATTGAAGAGGATATCTTTATTTTAATATAATATTAATTAATTAATTATGCTAACTTATTAAATATATTTCTGAATCTAATTAAATATTTATTATTTGCAAAAGATTTTTTGCTTTTTATAATTAATTAATTAATAAAAGGAGATCAGTTCAATCAAATTCGTCATTTAGTTTTGTTAATAAATAATAAGATTTGAATAAATTCATAGTTTATTTTTATAAAAATAATAATAAAAGGTATTTAAAATTTCATAAATTCTACTAAATTAAAAGCTTAATGGGATTATTTGATAAAATAATATTTGTTGGCGCATCAGTGTCAATGGTAGGAGTATTCATATACTTTAGAAGAGAGAAGAAGTTTTCTTAAATGATGAAAGATATAAATTTAATGAAGGTTTATGAGTTCGATTAAGTAATTGATTATGAATAACTCCCACACAATTAAACGATAGCTCTTAGAGCCACTACTGATGGTAGAAGCTCTTTGAGGGCTGCTAGAATGAACCCATCCAGAGATGTTGTTTTTTCTACAATTGCCCAGTCTCATAATCCCCAATAAATGTTTATGGGAGCTCAAGGATTTTCATTTGATGTTAAAAACCCTCAAGGAATGAACTTGAGCATTTAAAAGACCCATGGAAAAGTAACAATTCTCTATGATCTACATAAAATAACCTAAGACTTTGAATACAGCGAATTCTAATCTCAAGCTCCATTAACACTTTATCAAAGATTTTAAGTAATGAGAGGATCGCTTAAATTTGCAGAATATGCCATTCTTCCTAATGAATAATACATTTTTATTGGTAAAATTCAAAATTAACCTGGATCTAAAGTTAGTCTCATCCCTCGTATTGTTATTGGAGATGATAAAATCAAGTTCTTAAAATACCTAGATTTGTATTTGGCTGCAAATAACAATAAAGGAAAGTACTGTATAGGAGCTTGTCTTGGTTTTGTTGCTACTCATTACATACTTACTAAGCTATTTCCAGATTAATTAAAATCAAAGAGAACAGTCGTTTTTAAAAGTCCAACTTCTAAAGGCTAAAATGGATTGGAGTGATAAATATAGTTAATTTAAGAATATATCTAACTAATTATTTCATATTTTATATCAATATTTCTACTTCAAATATCCTAGAAATTAATTTATCATTTAATCAAAATCATTTTCATCTGCAAATCCCTTAAATAATATCCTTTTTATACATGGGTGTGAGTTTATGTTTATATCTGACAAATAAATAACATTGAATTTTCTCGAACCTCGCTTAAAACTTTTTTGAATTAATTTTTTGCCAACAAAAATAATAAATAATTAGATTTTTTTATAATTTGTTTTGAATATATCTTTTTAAAAAATATATTAGTTGTTAAGTGAATTTATTTTGAGTGGATTATAAATAAATATTTTTATCAATATCAATCAATTAAAACATAATCCACTAATTAGATTTTAGAATATTTAATAAGATTTTATTAATTTTTCCTTTTATAAATTCTTTCAAAACCCTATTAATCTTTTAAAATGTTTAAATAAAAGATAGAATTTTCAATAAAAAATATTTTCTTTGTTTTTTTAGATTAATTTTTTAAATAGGTAAATATTTATAACTCAATTAAAATTTAATCAGCTTGTTAGATTTTAGATTATTTCATTAATTTTATCAATAATTCTTTTTAAATAAGAAAGTTTTACCTAATTTGATTTAACTAATAAATGTTTTTACAATGGTTTATGTTGTTTTTTTACAGAGTATTAAGTAGATTACAAAATAAATATTTGCATCACTCAATTAAAATAAAATGAAATTTAGGTTATTTAATAGGAATATATCAATTTTATAAAATAAAAAAGTCTTTCAAAATTTGTATAATTTTTAAAAAAGTTTTAACAAAATATTTAAAATATTTTCTTTTTTTTTTAATTTTATTTAAAGAGGAAAATTCTAATTTAGATGAGTGTTGTTTGCTTATTTTTGTTTTATTTGAATACTAAAGTAATAAAAGAATAAGTAGTATTTTCCATTTATTAGCTAAAATTAATAAGTAATTAAAAACCCTTAAATAATCTTTGATATAAGTATTTATAAGAAAGCATAAGAAAACAGAAGAAACCAGGAAAAACAAACTAAAGTATTACTAAAAGATGAATAAATCAATATTGATTTTTGCATTTTTAGCAGCTGCACTTTTTGGGTCAGCATTGTATATGGCGGTTAAAAAATAACATATTACAATAGATGAATCAGTAACTAAGATTTGGAGTTAATGGAAATAAAAACACAATAAGAGATATGAAAATACTGATTATGAATCTTACAGGTTGGAAGTTTTTGCTGAAAATTTAGAAGTAGTTAAAAATGATTAAACTGGAACTTATGGTATAACCAAATTTTTAGATCTAACAGACGATGAATTCGCAGGAAATTTTCTCAATTTAAAAGCACAATATCCTGAAGATTCTATAGCAGAAGACATTGAAGTAGACCCAAAAATTAACATTAATTGGGTTGAAGCAGGAAAAGTTTCTAATGTTAAATCTTAAGGAAACTGCGGTTCCTGCTGGGCATTTTCAGCAACTGCTTCTGTTGAATCAGCTTTGATTATTGCTGGTAAAGTTGATAAATCTATTAGCCTTTCAGAATAGTAATTAATAGATTGTTCTGGAGATTATGGAAATTATGGATGCGCTGCTGGATAAAAAGAATAAGCTTTGGTTTATATTAAAAGATATTCAATTACTACTGAATAAAATTATCCTTATACAGAAAAAGATGTTTAAAAATGTTACTTTGATAACACAAAACATATTCCTAATTACACTATTTCTGATATCAAAATTGTTAAAGCATCAACTAATGACTTGGTAGAAGCTCTCAAGATCTAGCCTGTCGCCGTTTCAGTAGATGCAACTAATTGGAAATACTACAAAGGCGGTGTATTTTCTGACTGTAAAACTTATTATCATAACCATGCAGTACTTTTAGTTGGATTCTAAAATGGAACTTGGCTAGTTAAAAACTCATATGGAACTAATTGGGGAGAAAATGGCTATATTAGACTTAAAAATGGCAATACATGTGGAGTAGCAAATTAACCTTATCAGCCTATAATTTGAATATGAAAAGCAAAATAATTTATAATAATAGTTGAATCATATATTTTACCTGTTTTAAATGTTAAAATTAAATATTTTTTTTATTTTTAATTAATTATTTTAAAAATTATTTCTAAATTATTTTTAGCTTTTATATCACACAAAAATATTTAATTTTAAGGTTTTGTTTGATTAGTTTAAATAAATATTTTATTTGTATTAATATATTGTAATTTTTAAAAAGTAAGTTAGAAACTCATTGCATTTATATTTAAAACTTGAACACATTTTTTAAATACTACATGAATTAATATTTAATTTTCACTAAAACATATTTATTTATTTCTATTATCCTTCTATATATGCTTTAAATGAATATAAAAATCAATAAAAGATAATTGGTTGATCATAAATTAATTCCTCTTGAAAAAAAATCTTCAAAATTTAAATTTCTTTTTAAGTTTAAGTAAGGAGTTTTCTTAAAAAAAATTCGACAATAAATGATTATGTAATATGAAAGAAACAAAAACTTTAATTAACAATAAGACTATAATCAAAATTCGGGCATATGTAAAATTAAAATATTTAATTTATGCTTTAGATTAACATATAAAAGTATATATATTATTTAATAGTACTTACTGTATGTACTCATCTTTAAGGGTTATTTTATATAAGGATGTTTTTTATATAAGCAGGAATTTTATTTTTTATAAAAAATTAAAAAATTAATTTTATTACCAATCGAATAATGCTAAATTAAGGTATTTTCTCTAAAAATATTTTTTCTTTGATTAGGTTAATTATCTTAAATAATAGAAAAAGAACTTGGTATTTTTACTCAAGTTTTTAAATTTACTTTATGCATTATTAATAAATAAATATTAAAAGCATTTAGTTTATATTTTATAAAATAAATAAAACCTAAAATGGTTTTTTTTCTACAAAAATGTTAAAAGCTTTTGTAAAAATATTTAAATAAATATTTCATGAATATGAAAAGCCATTTAATTTTTTTATTTTATAAAAAAAGTTAAATACTTTTTAATAAATAGATCTTAAAATATTAATCTAAAAAAATAAAATAATTCATAAAATTAATAAATAAATCCTATCATTTTGGAATAAAAATTGACTAGAAAAAATATTTTTATAAATTAATTCACATTTTATTAATTTAATTAAATGAAAATTAATTTATTAATAAATTTTTTAAATACATAAAAATACTTTTTAAATATCGGAATTTAAATATTTAATTAATATCAAGTAAATTTAAAAACTTTTAATATTTTTTATAAATAAATTAATGACTTATAAAAATATTTTGATTTGCAAATATTATTGATGTTAAAAATATTTATATATTGAGAATAAACATGATAATATTTTATTTAAAAAATAAGATAAAATTATTCATTTAATTTGAATAAAAAAAAGAACAAATGAATTTAATTTGATAAAATTAAAAAGTAAAATGAATGAGCTTGATTAATATCACTTTAATAATTTGGTTTTTTTTGTTACTAAAATTGGTTATTAGTAAATAGCTGCATATCTATCTATGTATTTATCTATTTATTAATTAATTAAACTAGAACATAATATATAATGAGTTTGTTTTTTTATTTGGTTATATTAATATGCTGCTTAAAGTTAGAATAGAATACTTGAAAGTATTTTGTACTAACTGAATGTAAAATAGTAAATAATGTGGATTATTAAAACAAACTAACTTATGATTAATTAATTTGAGTACTTTTAACAGTAATAAAATAAACGACTTTTTCTCTAAATTGATTTAATTTTAGTAAAAGAATCACATTAATTTGAGAGATTATTATTTGAATGTATTTTCATTGTATTTATCAATAAATTTGATTTTTTTGGAGATGAAAAGTAAAGCATAAATAAGTAATATACATGCCTAAAAATGAAACAAATAAATTTGCTTCTAAAAGTATACAAAAATAGAATATAAAAATAACAAGTATAAATTGGTATTGCTTGCTTGTTTGTTTGCATGGAAATTTAAAATAAATAGAGAAAGGGAATTATTAGGTGATAGGAAAGAAAAATGAATGAATAAAAAATTAAAATAAAGAAAAAGAGAAAAAAAGAATGAAAGTAATTAATGAGCGTTTAAAAACTAAAAATTAAATAATTGATTGATGGAAGGATTCACCAGAATTAAAATTTTCCTTGGAAGGAAACGTGTGTATGATCCTTAATTTTCCTTGTCAGAAAAAACAAAATACAAGGAATATCAAAATTTAAGCTTTTCTATTTCGTTTGATATGATAATTGAAAAATTGAATGAAATATGAATGAAAGAAGGTGAATTTAAAAGTGATGAAAGAAAGAGGAGTGGGAAATAAAAAATTTAAATAAAATAAATTCGAAAGAATTAAAAAAATTAAATAAAAGATATAGCCTTATACAAACAAATATGGGTATACAACTTTCTAAGCTTTTCGACAAGATTTTCAATAAGGTCGAAATGAGAATTTTGATGTTAGGTCTCGATGCCGCTGGTAAGACCACCATTCTTTATAGATTGAAGCTCGGTGAAGTCGTTTAGAGTGTTCCTACCATTGGTTTCAACGTTGAAAGTGTTGAATACAAGAAGATTAAATTTACAGTTTGGGACGTCGGCGGTTAAGACAAGATTAGACTCTTATGGAGACATTACTTCCAAGGTACCCAAGGTCTCATTTTCGTCGTCGATTCCTCTGATAAGGAACGTATCGAAATTGCCAAGGAAGAATTACAAAGAATGCTTTCCGAAGATGACCTCAAGGAAGCTGCAGTCCTTGTCTTCGCCAACAAGCAAGATATGGGTGTCATGAATGTCACTGAAATCACTGAAAAGTTAGGTCTCGCCAACCTCAGAGGACGTGAATGGTTCATCCAAGGAACCTGCGCTCTCAGTGGTGAAGGTTTATTCGAAGGTCTTGACTGGCTCTCCAAGGTCGTCAGCAAAAAGAAATGAAAGACCCTACTTTTCCCCTAATTTATCTTCTTAGTCTTTTAATAATAGCTAACAAACAAATAGTATTGAGAATGCGAGTCAGTCATCTCTCGCTAGCTACAGCAAATAATAAGTTTATAAATGAAATAAAGCAGTAGTAATTAAAAAATAAGTAAATAAATAAATAGCAAGTTTTAAAAAACAAACATAATCAATTCACTCATATAAATTATATTGCATTTATTTTATATTTCATGTAAAATATATTTTCTAACTATAATACCTCAATTCAATCATTCCTTTATTCCTTCATTAATTCATTCCTTAATTACACTTTACCATCTCTTTCAAACCGTTTTTTAGATTCTACCATTTTCTTCCCCATTTTCCTTGATCTTCACTCTCAATTTTTAAAGAATTTATAACAACTATTTCCTATTATCATGAACAATAAGTTAACCCAAAAACATAAAACAAAAAGAGGGTTCTTAAAGAAAAAATGTTCATAAGTCTTTAAAATAGTGTGCAAAATATGTGTTAGATTAATGAATAATGAAAAAGAGTATTCAAATCATCATAATTCGCTAAAATATGTTTAACATTTTTATTATTTTAGAGTTTAACTATAAAAAGTATGTTCATAAATGAGTTGCTCTTAAAGTAAAAAGAAAAAGTTCCACTTAATCTTAAAATAATATAAATCAAAATAATACTTTAAAAAAATTAAAGATGATTGATTGATAAAAACTAAAAAAGTGTTTTTTTACAAGAAAAACAAACTCATTAATATAATAAAATAAATTTAAATAAAAAACTCTTAAGGAAAAAGTCTCTAAATAAAATTTGAATTTTATTTAAAATATATGTTAATAAAAAAGCATTCAAAATTAGACAACAAATAAATAAATAAACCAAGCTTATAAAATAAATGGAATTCAACTATAAAACAAGCTATTTTAGTATTTAATGAATTAAACTTATTAAAAATATTAATGAACTTTTGTTGACTTTAAATAAAAAAATGAATGAAATTTAATTTAATTTAAAAATGTTTTAAAAGTGATAAAAAATGAATAGTAATTTATGACAAATATAAATGAATGAAATTAAAACACAAAAATGAAGGTAATCTAATGCTTACTAAAATTTAAATGAAATTTGTCTAATACAATTAAAAAAATAAATGCGATCCTTAAAATAGTAATGAAAGTACATTTATTGTGATAGATAAACGAACAAATTTAAAAGAATAATTCAATTTAAATTATAATTGTTCGGAATAGAATAGAGTAGTTATATTCATATTATTTTGCTTATATTTTTTACTTACTCTATTTGCTTTATGCTGATATGTTTTTCTTTCTTTCTTTTTTACTTATTTGTATTTTTTTTGATTCCTATTAACAAAGTCTTTAACGTCTGATTGTTTGTTTGTTTATTTGTTTATTTCAATTTTATTTTTTTGTTTTGAATTTCAAAAATAATTCGAAATTTTAATAATAAAGAGAATGAATGACAATTCTTAACTAATAAATTATCTTGTTTAATTTATTTGTTTTGATTTTTGTTTCATCCAAACAGACACTTTTTAATTAATTAATTTCTAAAGAAAAAAAAGTTAATCTCACGAAACCCAAAAGTAATTAAAAATTAATTACTCAGATGAGTTTAACGACATGGACCAAGCTAGATTTAACTTGCCGGACCAGCTGCGGACGGCAGAGTTTTTTATCTGATAGTTAATCTAGACTTGCTTTACCAAAGGATGTTCAGATATCCACGATTTATTTAATCGGAGGCAAAATCAAACATAGGTTCACTACATTTACCAACAGTTTTTAAAAATTGGACGTTTGAACATCTCCCAATGGGCTATTAAATCGGATTATACGTATCTCAAAGGCACCCCACACTTTAAATGCCAGAAGGGCATTCCTCTCTTTCCCTATATAAAAATATTTTTTTAAAAATACTAGGCCATTAAAAAAGAGACTCTCTAAAAAAAAAATAAATAACATTAAACATATGTCAAATAAAGACAAAAAAATCTTAAAAAAAACAAAACAAATAAATCTAAGCCGCATAAAGGCAAAAACATTAAAAAAACAAACCATCTTATAAAAAAACACATAAAACAAACAAACACATACAAATAAATAAAAACAAAACAGAATTAAAAAACACAAGCATCTAAACAAACTAAGCAAAGATAAACAAAACAAAACAAAAGATAAAAGCAAACCAAAAACTAAACACAATAGCAAAACAAATACTAAACATAAAACATGAAAAAATAAAAGCAAAACAAATCACAAGATTATAGCAAAATGCTATATTCATAAGCAAAACAAATACTAAAGAAAATAGCAACAAATAAATTAATCAATAAAACAAACAAACAAACAAAATATTAGAATGAAAAATTAAAACAAACCAAATAAAAAAAACTCAAATCAAATTAAAGAAAAAAATAAATAAATAAGTAAAATAAAATCAAAACATAAATAAATAAATCAAACAACCAAATAAACAAGAAAGAAAGAAATAAATAAATAAAAACAAAATTAATAAAAAAATAAATTATTATTCAATAACACTCATATATATTTATTTTATGATTTTCACATTATGCATAAATAATATAAAAATTAATTGAAAGATTGTTTTAAATTAGTAATTGAATCTATAATGGCTTAATGCATAAATGCATTTCATACAATTTTTTCATACACAAAAAACAAAGATATTTAAAAAACATAGCTATAATTTAATTAATTGATTCATTTTGTTTACTTATTCCATTAATTAAATATTAACATGGAAAATAATGATGATTTATTTATTTATATTATTTATTAAAACATTTATTGATTAATTAATCTATTTATTTGATTTTTTCTAACTAAGCATTTAATAATTCAATCAGAGTCACTGTCGTCTAATTTCTGTTTGTTTAAAACAAAGAAAATATTAAAAAAGTTAACTTAATTATTAAATTTGAAATAGAATTTGTTAGCTTTAAAAAATTATAAATTATATAAAACACATCCCTTTTAATATGATAAATTAGGTATTTTTCCAAAATAAATTTATTTGCTGTTTTTAAAATAAATATGATTGATAGATAGTTTACTTAATATATTTTTTCTTATGTGGCAAATCCTTCTATGAGCTTATTGCCATCTGCTTTTATAAATTCATTTTCAGCTATTTCATCTTCGTCATACATTTCGCTGTCATATGTAACATCTCTATTATACATAGGATTGAACTTAACTTCTTACTATTTTTTATCGGCTTATGCGTCAGCTTTTACATCTGCTGATTCCTCTTCTTTTATTCCATTTGCTTCGTTGAATTTTTAACCTTTGAGTTATTTTTAAACAATAATTTAGATATTTTCTTAAAATTATTTGTCATATTATTTCAATTTATATGTGTTAAATTGAGGTATTTACGAAGTAATTTATTAATTGCTTTTTCTGTGCGCTTGTTCAGCTTCTCTAAACGCTTGTTTAAAAATTTCTTTAAATCTAAGTTGCCCTTTTTAGGTATAATATTCAATGGTTGCTATTCCTAATCTAAAAAGCTCTTTATTATAAACTTAATTTTAGATTCTACAGCTTATTCGATTTCTTTTATTTGACTTTCTTTGCGTTCTTATTGCTACAAATTAGCACTCACTGGGTAATAATTTACAAATTATAAAGGAGCTTGAGGATCAGGAGTTGGATCTTCTCTAGAAGAACTCAAGTTATTAGGGAATGCATTTGGTACGCTAAACATTTATTCTAATTGTAAAATCCTATGGGTAGATAGATCTAGCTATTTATTTATATTTTATAAGGATATATTGTCTTCTATAATAAATAGTTGCTTATATTATATATAAATCAATACAATTAATAAATAAATATTAGCAGATATATTAATCAATGCATTTATTTATGTCAATTCATTCATTCATTCAAAATAAATAAACAAATCTTATTTATTTATTTGCATAATTATTAGCTATTTTTATGCTTTTGAAGTAATTATCTATGTAGACAGTAAAAAATAAAAATAAAAAAAAGGCTATTAAGACAAGCATATTATATTCATAAACACATTTATTCTTAATTGAAATCTAAATAAATACATTAATATTCCTTCATTTAGTTTTTCTGTTTTGTCAAAATAAATACTTTAATTAGATTAAATTTTTTTAATTAAATTAAAATTAAAAATAGATTTAATTATTTTATACAGAAAATATTTTAATAAAAGTTATTATTTCCAAAATTATTTAATTTTCTAAAAAATTTAGTTTTTGAAATAGATTTTTACTTTTTTATTAATTTCAGATCTAAAAAATTGAGGTTAGAAATTATCTAATATATATTAGTAAATTATATAGATAGATAGATAGATAGATAGATAGATAATATTATTTATTCTTTTTTATATTATTTCATATTTCAAATACATTATGAAAATTAATAAAAAGAACTACTCTATTGTAAAATTGTAAAATTATTATTAGTTTTTAATGTGGTTTATTGATTTATTTTTAATTCTAAATTTCTTAGTTTTTTTAAGGTTAATTTTAATGAAATAATTTAAGCTCAAGGTTATTTGTTTTAGCAGCCAATGTTTTCAATCCAATCACATCCTCTATAATGTTTGCACATATAAAATTAATCAATTTCATTACAAGCAGTTGTGTAGCAGTTTAAATTAGTAGCATCCCATACGCAGGTAGACTGTTCTGTGCATGAAATTTAATCATTGTAATTATGACATTGAGTTACTATTTTATACTCTATTTTCATTATTTCAACACAAGTTTCTTCTAAAGTCCACTCACACAAATGATTAAATTAGCACTAAACGCGATTTCTTCCTTAGCATGATGTAAACTAAGCAGTAACAGAAGAAAGAATGATTAAGATTGTAAAAAAATTAATTAATTTTATCATTTTTTTAAAAAAATATTAAAGCTCACAGAATCTATTTTATTAAATTTTGAATAGATTATTCACAAATTCTTAAAAATACTCTATTTATTTAATTTTTAATGCTCAAAATTTTGTGATAAGCTTTTTATTTCTTTTAGCCCTATCTTTTACTTCTCACTTTTCTTGATCATAACTTTTTTTGAAGTTAATTTACGTTAATCAATATTTAGTTAAAAAGTTAGAAAGCCAAAGTATATTATATTGATATTATACAAAGTAGAATAATAAATTAGAAACAAATTTGAGAATATTACTTATGCTTTTAATCTAATCAATTAACAATTAAATAAATAATTACTTCTTACTTTGAAAGAAACAAACGAAACAAAATTTACTTAATTAATAATTTTTAAATTGAATTTAGAAATTCTATTACATAATGATTTATATCCAAATCCCTTATTGATTGAAGGGATTTAGGGATTAAAAAATTTTATTAGATTTTAAATTTAATTGAATGATAGTTGATTTAATTGAAAAAACAATAGTTGGCAATAAATATTTTTTTTATCCACACCAGGGATGTAAATGAATAAGAATATAAGGTTAAAAATATTTATTTGGTCAAGTGTTCTAAAATGAGTTTTTGGTTATATGGCTCTATATATGGATTGAAATTGATGGATGGATGAAGTTAAATCTCATAAATTGTAAAATATGTATTATATATTTAAGATACGAAAAGATTAATTATGTAAATTAAAACAGTTATTTGTTTTAAAATAGGTATTATAGGAGATATAAAAGAAATATTTTATTCAATAAAGGATATAAATAAAATTTTTTTATTATTTGTTTTAGTGATAATTATATTATGATATTCAATTAATTATTTTTCAGAAAATCAAATTAAAAGATAAAAAAAAATTATTTTACAACTTTTTTATCCAATTTTTTTTGTTAAATTTACGTACGATGCTGTTAATAATTAAAATTTAATTTTTAATTCAAGTTAATTCAATCTACAATTAATTTAACTAATCTTTTTATTTTTTAAGCTAATCTTTTGTCTTCTGTTTTTACATATCCATGCAATTTTCTTTTCAATTTAAATTTAAAAAAATTGTGCTTTTAATTATCTAATTTTAAACAATAAAAACAAATTACAATAACTTTATATTTTTACAATTGATTATTTGACTGGATTTTAGAAACTTATTATTATTACTTATAAAATAAACATATTTTAATAAACATCCTAAAAACTTTAAAATAATTATTTTAAGAAAATAATAAATGAAATTTACTCTGGTTAAAAAAATAACTATGTAAGTTATGTGCAGTTACTCAATTCTAATGCAATATTTTATACTCCTTCATCACCAACTTTATTATCCCTTTAAAAAAAATAAATTTTTTCAATAACTATTCAAATTTCCTGAGAAATTTAAATCAAAATAGATAAAATAATCAAAAAATTTTAAATTAATTGTCTATAAATCCATATAAAAATAAATGTTACCAAATCGAAAAGGTGAGATTAGTTAGGAATTTGCAGTTACCAAGTGCTCTACCGATACTAGAAGCTCCATCATCACCAATTTAATTATTACTTTTATAAATGAAAATCATATTTAATTAAAAATTTTTGACATTTTATAAATAGATTTTTGTAATCTTGATTTTAAATAAAAAGCATTCATATAATTTTTTCAAAAGTAAATAATAAATAAAATAGATTTACGATATTATAAATTCTAAATTTGTAAGTTAAGGGCAGTTATTCAAGCCTAATCCAATATTTTATGCTCCTTCATCACCGATTTTATTTTTCCTTTCCAAAAAAAATAAATTTATTCATTAGCTATTCAATTTTCCTGAGAAATTTAAATCAAAATAGATAAAATAATCAAAAACTTTTAAATTATCTATAAATCAATATAAAATAAATGTTACCAAATCGAAAAGGTGAGATTAGTTAGGAATTTGCAGTTACCAAGTGCTCTACCTATACTAGAAGCTCCATCATCCCCAATTTAATTATTACTTTTATAAATGAAAATCATGTTTAATTAAAATATATAGACACTATATTAAAATTATTTTTTTTACTTGATTTTAAATAAAAAGCATTCAAATTATTTTTTCAAAAGTAAATAATAAATAAAATAGATTTACGATATTATAAATTCTAAATTTGTAAGTTAAGTGCAGTTATTCAAGCCTAATCCAATATTTTATGCTCCTTCATCACCAATTTTATTTTTCCTTTTCAAAAAAAATAAATTTATTCATTAACTATTCAAATTTCCTGAGAAATTTAAATCAAAATAGATAAAATAATCAAAAACCTTTAAATTGTCTATCAATCAATATAAAATAAATGTTACCAAATCGAAAAGGTGAGATTAGTTAGGAATTTGCAGCTACCAAGTGCTTTACCGATACTAGAAGCTCCATCATCCCCAATTTAATTATTACTTTTATAAATGAAAATAATGTTTAATTAAAATAAAGAGACACTTTATAAAAAATATTTTTATATACTTGATTTTAAATAAACAGCATTCTTGTAATTTTTTTCAAAAGTAAATAATAAATAAATTAGATTTACGACATGCCAAATACTAAATTTGTAAGTTAAGTGCAGTTACTCAAACCTAATCCAATTTTCTATGCTCCTTCATCACCGATTTTATTATCCCTTTTCAAAAAAAATAAATTTTTTCATTAACTATTCAAATTTCCGGAGAAATTTAAATCAAAATAGATCAAATAATCAAAAGCTTTTAAATTGTCTATAAATCAAAAGAGAATCAATGTTACCAAATCTAAAAGTGGAGATTAGTTAGGAATTTGCAGTTACCAAGTGCTGTACCAATAGTAGAAACTCCATAATCTCCAATTTAATTTTAACTTTTATAAATAAAAAATTATGTTTAATAAAAATTTAACCATTTTATAAATATTAATTTAAAAAACTTGTTTTTAAATAAAAAGCATTTATATAAGCTTTTTCAAAAGTAAATAATAAATGGAATAAATTTACGCTATGCTAAATGTTAAACTTGTAAGTTAAGTGCAGTTACTCAAGCCTAATCCAATATTTTATGCTCCTATATCACCGATTTTATTTTTCCTTTTCAAACAAAATAAATTAATTCATAAACTATTAAAATTTTTTATGAAATTTAAATCAAAATAGATAAAATAATTTAAACTTTATAAACTGTCTATAAATAAATTTAAACTCAAGATTACCAAATTAAATATTAAGTTTGTATATTTTATTTTAAATAAAAAGCATATTTATAATTTTTGTTCCAAACTAAATTATAAGTGAAATAAATTTACGTTATGTCAAAAGTTAAACTTGTAAGTTGAGTACAGTTACTCAAGCCTAATCCAATATTTTATGCTCCTTCATCACTGATTTTATTTTCCCTTTTCAAACAAAATAAATAAAATTATTATTTAATTAATTACTTCAATCTAATCTCAAAAATAAAAATCTAATTAAGCTTTCTAAATTATCAAAATCATTAAATTAAAATTACCTAAGCGAAAATTTTAAATTAATAAGTGACTTATAGCTACTTAATGCTTTTCCAAAAGAATATGCTCCTTCATCTCCAATTTAACTGTTACTTTTATTATAGAAAATAATATATATGCTTATAAATAAAAAAAATTATCATCAAATAATTCATTAATTTAAAACTATTTAAACAATAATTATATAAGATATTAAAATCTTTCTAAATTTTCAAAAAATGAAATTTCAAAATTACGAAAGCTCAAATTTTAGATTCATAAGTAATTTACAGCTACCTAGTACAATACAAATAGCAGATACTCCTTCATCTCCTATTTCATTTTTGCTTATAATATATAAATATTCATTTATATTAACTTAAAAATTGTTTAAGGATTAAATAGTTAAGGTTTTTATTAAATTGTACAATTAATTTAAATTTATCCTTTAAAAAATTAAAATTAATTACGAGAGGTTAATATCTAGATGGGTCAACATTCTACAACAACTACCTAATGCTTTACTAATTGAAAATGCACCTTCTTTTCCAAATAAATTTGCACTTTTTTAAAATTTTACAATTAAATATAAAATTATATTGAAAAAGAATTTTTGAATTTATAACAGATAGATAATCAATAAAATTTACGATGCGTTTAAAGTTAAGGTTATCAGATTAGTACAAATATTAATACCTTCAGCAATACTCTCTATCTATCTATCACCCATTTTATTTTTCCTTTCCAAAAAAATTTTTTTTAATAAATAATTTATTTACTATTTAAAGAATACAATAAATATAACTAAATATGTTTAATATAATTTCTATAGAATTACCAAAGCTACAAATTTAAGTTAGTAAGTGCTTTGCATCTATGTAATACTGTGCAAATCTAAACTGCACCTCCATATTCAATCTAATTTCCACTTTTATAATTTATATAAATAAAATATTATTTAAAATAATTTTAATTAATAAAAAATATAATAATTTTCAGAAATAGAATTTAACAGAATTTTTTAAATTATTATGTAAATAAAAACTATGATAAAAATAGACTAAGATGTCATTTAGATTTATGATATGCATGCAAACTTTTGTGTTTTGATTTATATAGTTAAGATAATTTACAAATTTTTTGGGGATTATTTAATGAGTTTAGAAAGATGAACTTAATTGTATTAAAAAATAAATAAATTAAAAAAAGAATACTCTAAATTTAGCTGTAAACTTTTGAGATTAGTGAGATTGCTCATAGTTTCTTCTAATAGAATATTTCCTTAATCTTAAATTTCATTTAATCTTTCAAATTAAAAAATAAATAAATCAATTAAATAAAGTATCAAAAGTTCTATTTTACCTAGGTTCTTTACAAGCTTTAAATTGTAAGTTAAAGTTACTTTCTAAAGACAAAATTTGAGCATATATTTAATCATTGCTGTTTAAATCATTTTAATTTTTTTTAAATTATTAAATTAACAAAATGATAGAAATTAATTTAACAAGAAAGATTCAAGCTTTCAGCTTTTTATAAATGATAGAAATATATAAATAAATAAATAACTAGTGTTTTAAGATAATATTATAATTTATAAAACAATTTTTTGGCTTATTAACATAAAAAATATGTTTGTTTACCTCTTATTATTAGTTTCAATAAAATCCTTTAAGTAAGAGTATTTAGCAAATATTTAACTTATCTAATCATCTGAAATATTTTCTTTGCTACATATTAGATTGATATAGTAAATCATGATATTTAAAATAGAAAAATTAAATGATTACTTAAGATTTAATATCAAAGATTCTAATTTTTCACATTATACTAAAGAAGTGTTAAGCTAAGTAACTTATTCATTACTAAGAGTAAAATTTCTATTTATTTTATAAATAATAACAAAAAAATTTTATTTTAGAATAAATAAATGAATGAATGAATAAAATATATTAAATTTTATTTATTCTTAATTTTATAAATTTATAAAAAAGAGAAAAAGTTTTAAAATAAATAATTATTTTTATTAAAAAAATATTTATGATTAAATAAAATTATAAATATTTATAATATTTACTTTAACTGTAAGTCAATATGAGTTAGAACTTTCAAGTTAGATTTCATTAACTTTTTATTAAAAAAAAATATTTTATAATGATAAATAAAACAAATAAATATGGATACATCTTCCAGATTATTAAAGCAATTATCCTATTACTCCATTTTTTTAATTTTATTTTCCATTTATATTTCTTTGATTATTAATTAATTGATTAATTTTATCAGAAATTAATAATTTTGATTAATAAAAAAATTCTTAATTATCTCTTATTTTACTTGTACCTTCTAAAAAAATATCAATAAATCAGTCTCCTTATTTTTTCTCTTTTTATAAAGAGATTTATCATAAATACTATAATTTAAGCTACCGTCTATTCTCTAAGTCAAGGTGCACTCTAAATTAAGGTGAATTTTTTATAAAGGGCACAAAAAGTGCAAAAAGGCGAAAAATAATTATTTTTTTTGTGCACCTTAACTGAGGGAATGGACGGTAGAATAAAATTAAAATTTTCTATAATTTTAAGGCCTGATTAAAACAGAAGCTTAGATAATAAGATTTTTGGATCTTAATCATTTTATTAGGCTTTATGAAGAATAAATTTTAAATTTAAGAAAATGATATAAATTAAAAGAAAAAAGTGTTTTAGTAATTATTTAAAAAAATTTTTATATTAAAAAATTAATGATTAAAAAAGATAGTAAATTTACGGAAGTTCAAATTAAAAATAATAGATATTCATGCATTCACATATAACAAGTAAGTATAAACAAACTTAGTAGTTAGTTTTCCAACTAACACATAGAGATATTAAATATAAATATAAATAAATATTTTTATATTATTATTTTATAATGTATAAATAATAAATTTATCCATATAACATAGCAAGGATAAGGGAGTTTTTAATTTAAATAGTTCATTTATTTTCTTAATATTATTCTTCTAGTCTGTCTGTATGTATGTAAGTAAATTTAATTTTTAAATTTTCATTTATATAATATGCTATTTATTTATTAGCTTACAAACATATTTATTTGTATTTAAAATTATAAATAATAAATTTATCTATATATCTTCTCTTTTTTAAGTTAAACTTTCCATTACAAAATATTAAAAAATAAACATTTTATATTCTATTATTCAAATAATTTTATATTTATTAGTCCTTTTTCAACCAAACCACTCTTTTATCACAATAAGAACTTTGTTTTTAAAACAACTAATCTTTTGGATTTAAGATATTTGCTTTTTACTTTCAATGATTTTAATTTGCTGATTCCTTAAATACTTTTAAAATAAATAGTGTAAATAAATAAATTAAGATTTTTAAAATAAAAATTATATTTTAAACTTAAAAAAAAAAATCATTATAAAAGTAAAAATAAAATGAATGAAATATATGACAAATAAAAAGCTAAAAAGTAAATTAAAAGAGTATTTTATATTGTTTTAAATTCATTTTTAAATTCAAAAATTTCACAATCTAATATAAATAAAGTGATTTTACCAAAGATCTAATTTCAAATTTGAAAGATGAGTGCAATTTGCTAGAGCAGAACCAAAGGCTTATGCTCCTTCCTCATCTATCTAATTGGCACTTTTTAAATAATGAATAAAAAATATTATTAATAAGTTAGTTAGAAGGAAAAAATGAAGAAAATATATAAAATAATAATTAGTAAGGAATTAATAAAACATTTAAAAAAAGTTGAAAATTCAAAAATTGGTTAAATTAACAAAGAAAGGCTAAAAATATTAACATCATAAAAAAGAAAAAATAAATTAAATCAAATAAAGAACTAATAAATAAATTAATCAAAAGAGTTATATTATCAATTCATTTTTCAATTAAAAAATATCGTAATCTAAAACAAGCAAACTGTTTTACTTAAGATTAAGTGTCAAACTTAAGAGATTAGCGTAATTTTCTAAAGCAGAACCTAAGCCTGTTATACCTTCATCACCAATTTAATTTTTCCTTTTTAAATATTTATAAAAAAAATGGTAATTTGTTAGTTTGTAGGAAAAAAATGAAGTAAAAAATTTGAAATAATAAGAAATGAATAAATAAATAAATAATTATAAAATGAAAAAGAAAAAAAATTATTCTATTAATAAAGAAAGAAAAATAAAAACAAGCTGAATAAAAAAGAAAAAAGAAAATAAATCTAATAAAAAACTAATAAATTAAATAAATGAGTTTTTTAAATTTTATTAAATTTATTTTTTAATATAAAATATCATAATCCAAAACAAATAAATTATTTTACCTAAGATTAAGTGCCAAATTTGAAAGATTATTGCACTTTGATAAAGCAAAACTTAAACCTAATATACCTTCATCACCTATTTAATTGTAACTTTTTGAATATTGAAGAAAAAAAGTATTATTAATTAGTTAGTAAGAAGGAAAAAATGAATCAATTAATAATAAAAATAAAAGTTGAAAATAAAAAATTAGTTAAATTATCTATCAAACAAAAAAAAAAACACACATACACAGGATAAAAAGAAAAAGAAAAATAAATAAATAGCTAATAATTTAATAAAAGAATTATATTATTTAAATTGTTAAAAAATATCTCAATCCAAAATAAAAAAACTGTTTTTACCTGAGCAAAAGTTCCAATTTTGAGAGACTAGTACATTTTGCTAAACCAGAACCTAATCCTAATGCACCAATATTTCCAATAACATTTTCACTTTTTAAATTTTGAAGAAAAAAATAATATTAATTAGTTTGTTAGTTAGTTAGTTAGTTTGGAGGATAAAATGAAGAAAAAATAGGAAATAATAAGACATCAATTAATTAATAAATAAATAAATAAATAAAAAAAAAAGTTAATATCAAAAAATTAGTTAAATTAATAAATAAAAAAAGCAAATTAAAACAGAAAAATAAAAATAAATCCAGTAAAGACTAATAAATAAATTAAAAGATATTGTTATTTTGTTTTAAATTCATTTTTATATAAAAAAATATCACAATCCAAAACAAATAAACTGTTTTTACTATAATGAAAGTTTCAAAAACACAGTTATTTATTAAGTGAAAAAATATGAATTAATAAAAATTAAAAGCAAAAGTTTAAAATGAAAAAAGAAGTTAAGTTAAAAAATAATAAAAAAACAAAAGTAGTATAAAAATAAAATAAATAAATTAAATAAAAAGCTAATAAATTAATTAAAAGAGTAAGTTTGTTTAATTGTTTGAAATTTATTATCTATTAAAAAATATCCTAAACAAAAACAAATAAACTGTTTTTACTTAAGTTAAAGCGTCAAATTTGAGAGATTAGTACACTTTCCTAAATCATTACATAAACATGATGTGCCTTCATCACCAATTTAATTTTTACTTTTTAAATTTTGTATTTAAAAATATTGTTGATTAATAAATTAGAAGGAAAAATTAAGAAAAAATATAAATCAATTATCAAAAAATATAAACAAATATTTTTAATGATAAAAAAAGTTAAATTAACAAAGAAAGAAAGAAAAGTAAACATAAACAGTGAAAAAATGGAAAATAAAAAGATAATAAATAAATTCAAATAGTTTTGTATTGTTTTAAATTCATTTTATATTCAAAAATATCACATTCTAAAACAAAGAAACTGTTTTTACATAAGATAGAGTGTCAAATCTGAGAGATTAGTACAATTTCCTAAATCATGACATAAGGATGATGCGCCCTCATCACCAATTTTATTTTAACTTTTTAAATTTTGAAGATAAAAATATTATTGATTAGCAAATTAGCAGGAAAAAATGAAGAAAAAATATAAATAAATTAACTAATAAAAAAAGCAAAAATTTTTAATGAAATAAATAAAGAGTAAAAATAAACAGTGAAAAAATGGAAAATAAAAATAAATCAAACAAAAAGCTAATAAATAAATTCAAATAGTTTTTTATTGTTTTAAATACATTTTTAAATTCAAAAATATCATATTCAAAAACAAAAAAACTGTTTTTACCTAAGATAAAGTGTCAAATTTGAGAGATTTGTGCACTTGCCTAAACTAGAACCTAAGCCTGATGCTCCAATTGCACCAATTTAATTTTCACTATTTAAATATTTAAAAAAAAAAATAATATTAATAAGTTAGTAGTAAGTTAGAAGGTAAAAATTAAGAAAAAATATTGAATAATAAAATATGAATTAATAAGCAATAAAAGCAAAAGTTGAGAAATTAAAAAATAAATTAACAAAAAAATAAAAAACATAAGAAAAATATTGAAATAATAATAACAAATTAATTAATTGATAATAAAAGCAAAAGCTTAAAATCAAAAAAGTAGTTAAATTAACAAATAAAGCAAAATCAAAATAAAATAGGAATAGAAAAATAAACCTAATAAATAGCTAATAAATAAATTTAAAAGAATTTTTTATTGTTTTAAATTCATTTTTTAATTCAAAATATCAAAATCCAAAACAAATAAACTGTTTTTACCTTAGATAAAATGTTAAATTTGAGAGATTAGTGCATTTTTCTAAAGAAGTACCTAAGCCTGATGCACCTACATCACCAAAATAATTGCTGCTTTTTAAAAGTTGAAGAAAAAAATATTATTATAATTTTTTTAGAAGAAAAAATATTTATTATGAATTAATAAATTTTAAATGCAAAATTTCAAAATGAAAAAAAAAGTTAAAGTAACAAAGAAAGAAAAAAACACACAAACAGAATAAAAATACAGTAACAAACTAATAAAAAAATAAAATAAAAGAGCTTGTTAAATTGTTTTAGATTCATTTTTTATTAAAAAATATCATAATCCAAAACAAATAAACTATTTTTACCTAAGCTCAAGCTCCAAATTTGAGAGATTAGTAAAATTTGCAAGAGCAGAACCTAAGCCTAATACCCCTTCATCATCAATTTAATTGCCACTTATTAAATATTGAATAAAAAATATTATTAATTAGTTAGTTATTTGTTTAGTTAGAAGGAAAAAAAGAATAATAAAAGTAAATTTTGAAAACGAAAAAATTAGTTAGAGAATTTATAATAGGAGGATTTTAAGGCTGATAGGGTCAAAAAAAAACCTTTTTTTTTTAATTTTCGAGTATTTTATTGTTGTTTTATTTTTTTTTTGCACGATTTTTGGTGTTTATTTATTTTTTTATTTACAATCAAATAAATAGCTAAAAAATTTATTAAAATAGTTTGTTATATAGTTTTAAATTCATTTTTATTAAAAAATATCACTAAATTAATAAATTATTTTTACTGAAGTAAAAGTGTTAAATTCTATAGATTAGTGCAATTTGCTAAAGCAGAACCTAAGCCTGACATACCTTCATCACCAATTTAATTGCAACTTTTTAAATATTGAAGAAAAAATATAATTAATTAATTAGTTAAATTTGATAGAAAAAATGAAGAAAAGTTTTGAAATAATAAGAAATAAAATAATTAAAAATAAAAGCAAAAGTAAAAATGAAAAAATAACTTAAATTTAAAAGAAAGAAAAAAAACACAAACAGTATAAAAAAAGAAAAATTAATCAAAAATATGAGTTCATTAATTAATTAAAAGTGTTTTTTGCTAAAAATTCATTTTTCTATATAAAAAAAATCAAAAACAGAAAAACTGCTTTTACCGAAGAGCAAGTATCAAATTTGAGAGATTAGTGCACTTTGCTAAAGCAGAGCCTAAGCCTGAGGCACCTTCATCACCAAATTTACAGTTACTTTTTAAATATTTAAGAAAAAAAATTATTAGTTTTAAGGAAAAAATAATGAAAAAATATTTCATCATAAGTTATGAATTAATAAGTAATAAAAGCAAAAGTTAAAAGTGAAACAATTAATTAACTTAACAAAAAAAGAAATAAATAAATAAAAAAACAAACAAAAAACAAAAAATGCACACACAAATAAAACAAAAAAGAAAAAGAATAATAAATCCAATAAAAAGTCAATAAATAAATTAAAAGAGTTTGCTTTTTTGTTTTAATTCATTTTTTATTTTAAAAATCACAATCCAAAACAAATAAACTGTTTTTACTGAAGACCAAGTGTTAAATCTGAGAGATTAGTGCAATTCATTAAATTAATACCTAAGCTTGATACACCATCATCACCAATATCATTGAATCTTTTTAAATATTGAAGAAAAATACAACTAAAAAATTAGTCAGAAGGAAAAAATGAAGTAAAAATATAAATTAATAAGAAATTAATGAATTAATCATAAAAGCAAATATTAAAATAGAAAAAAGGTTAAATTAATAAAGAAAACAAAGACAGAAATATAATAAAAAAGAATAAATAAAAACAGAAATAGAATAAAAAGTTTAATAAATTAATTAAAATAGTTTGTTTTATTTAAATTCATTTTTATATTAATTAATAAACTGTTTTTACCTAAGATCAAGCATCAATTTTGAGAGGTTAGTGCACTTTCCTAAAGCAAAACCTAAGTATGATGCACCATTTGAGCTAATTTGATTGAGCCTTTTTAATATTGAAGAAAAGATACAATTAATTAGTTAGAAGGAAAAAATGAAGTAAAAATATATTATAAAAATGAATTAATTAATAATAAAAGCAAATGTTTATAATGAAAAAGATTTGTTAAATTAACCAAAAAAATGTAGAAAAAAAGAAAATTAAAAATAAATCCAAAAAAAATCTGATAAATAAATTAAAAAAGTTTTTTATTTTGTTTTAAATTAATTTTTTATTAAAAAATATCCCAAACCAAACCAAAACAATAAACTGTTTTTACCTAAAATAAAGTGTCAAATTTGAGAGATTAGTGCAATTTGCTAAAGCAGAACCTAAGCTTTATACATCTTCATCTCCAATTTACTTACCACTTTTTAATAATGAAGAAAAAAATATTTTTAATTAGCTAGTTAGAAGGAAGAAATGAAGAATAAATATATAATAATCTAAAAAATCAAAAATTTAGTACAATTAACAAAAAAATAAAAAAAGTACAAGTTGAATAAAAAAGAAAATAAAAATAAATCCTTTTAAAAGCTAATAAATAAACAAACATATTTTTTATATTTATTTTTATTTTTTAGTAAAAATATCACAATCCAAAAGAAAAACTATTTTTACTTTAGTTAAAGTTTCAAATTTGAGAGATTAGTGCACTGTGCTAAAGCATTACTTAAGCCTTATATAGCTTCATCACCAAATTTATTATCACTTTTTAAGCAATGAATATAATTAATTGGTTGGTTAGAAGGAAAAAATATGAAATAATAAATTAATTAATAATAAAAGCAAATTTTGAAAATGAAATTTAAGTTTAAAAAATTAAATAAATTAAAAGGATTGAATAAAGCTGAGAATTTCTTTTTGAAAAAATATTTTAAATGACTTGAAAATAAAATATTAAAAAAATTAATAATTAATAATAATGAAAATATTAACAAATTAAATTTACCTCAAAGCAATATAGAGAGCCTAATGAAATTAAAGTGAAGAGCTTAAAAACTTTTTTATTAATAAAAATAAATTTTAAGAATATTTATATTACAATAAATATTTACTTTTTATAGATTATCAAAATATTTTTTCTAATATATCATTTTTTTTTTTTCAAAAATATTGAATAACAATTTATTGAAGGAAATTTAATTAATAAGAAGTATATTATTTAATTAATTTGGATAAAAAGAACAAAATTAAAATAAGTATTAAATATGAATTAATAAATTTGCTTTTAGAGATCACAAAAAGTTAGAGTAGCATTCATTTTTTAATTTTTATATTTCTATTTAAAATGTGTACTTAAGAATAGAGTAATTTTAATAAAATAATGTTTATTTAGTAAAGTGAAATGCCTATTTAATTTACAAAAGACTAATACACTATATCTTAATTACATATATTAAATAAGCTATAAGCTAAATATGCTTAAAACAGCTTTATTTTTGTCTTTTTACCTAAAATTAAAATTCACAAAATCAAAAATTTTAAATAATATCTATATAATGTGTATCCTTATGACATGTGATTTTTGGAAAAACATTTAAATAATTTTTTCTGACTCAAAAAAAATTTATATGATTAAAATATACTGATATATAAAAATATATAAATATATGGATAATAGAAGGTAGGTATAATGAAAATAAATTTAAAAATATTAGTTTAAATATGAGTCTAATATGCTGATATTGTGCTGGTGACAAAAAATAAATGAGGGATGTTTATATAGTTATTTTTTTGCAAATGTAGAATAGTAGATAAATAAGAAGTATTTTATTCAATAAAGGATATAAATTAAATGTTTTTATTATTTCTTTTAGTGATAATTAAATTATGATATTCAATCAATTGTTTTTCGGAAAATCAAATTAAAAGATAAAAAAAATTTATTTTACAACTTTTGTATCCTATTTTTTTTGTTATATATAAGTACTATTATATTAATAATTAATATTTAATTTTTAATTGAAGTTAATTCAATCTACAATTAATTTAACTAATCTTTTTATTTTCTAAGCTAGTCTTTTGTCTTCTGTTTTTACATATCCAAGCAATTTTCTTTTCAATATAAATTTTAAAATATTGTGCTTTTAATTATCTAATTTTAAACAATAAAAACAAATTACAATAACTTTATATTTTTGCAATTGATTATTTGACTGGATTTTAGAAACTTAGCATTATTACTTTTTTAATAAAAATATTATAATAAACATCCTAAAAACTTTAAAATAATTATTTTTAGAAAATAATAAATGAAATTTACTCTGATTAAAAAATTAACTATGTAAGTTAGATGAAGTTATTAAATTCTTATGCTATATATTATACTCCTTCATCACCGATTTTATTTTCCCTTTTCAAAAAAATAAATTTATTCATTAACTATTCAAATTTCCTACGAAATTTAAATCAAAATAGATAATATATTTAAAAGCTTTTAAATTGTTTATAAATCAATATAAAATCAATATTACTCAATCGAAAATTCGAGATTAGTTAGGAATTTGCAGTTACCAAGTGCTCTACCTATACTAGAAGCTCCTTCATCCCCAATTTAATTGTTACTTTTATAAATTAAAATCATGTTTAATTAAAATATATAGACACCTTACAAATATTATTTTCGAAATCTTGATTTAAATAAACAGCATTCATGTAATTTTTTTCAAAAGTAAATAATAAATAAAATATATTTACGATATGCCAAAGTCTAAATTTGTAAGTTAGGTGCAGTTACTCAAGCCTAATCCAATATTTTATGCTCCTTCATCACCGATTTTATTTTTCCTTATTAAAAATATAAATTTATCCTTTAACTATTCAAATTTCCTACGAAATTTAAATCAAAATAGATAATTTAATTAAAAACTTTTATTTTGTCTATAAATCAATAAAGAATCAATGTTACCAAATCTAAAAGTTGAGATTAGTTAGGAATTTGCAGTTACCAAGTGCTCTACCTATACTAGAAGCTCCATTATCCCCAATTTAATTTTTACTTTTATTAATGAAAATCATGATTAATTAAAAATTATAGACAGTTTATAAATATTATTTTTATTAACTAAATAAATAGCATTAGTAAATAATAAATAAAAAAGATTTACGATATGCTAAATTCTAAATTTGTAAGTTAAGTGCAGTTACTCAAGCCTAATCCAATATTTTATGCTCCTTCATCTCCGATTTTATTATCCCTTTTCAAACAAAATAAATTAAACTATTCAAATTTCCTACGAAATTTAAATCAAATAGATAAAATAATTAAAAACTTTTAAATTCTTTATAAATCAATATAAAACCAATGTTACTGAATCGAAAATTTGAGATTAGTTAGGAATTTGCAGTTACCAAGTGCTCTACCTATACTAGAAGCTCCATTATCCCCAATTTAATTTTTACTTTTATAAATGAAAATCATGATTAATTAAAAATTATAGTCAGTTTATAAATATTATTTTTATTAACTAAATAAATAGCATTTATGCAAATTTTTTCAAAAGTAAATAATAAATAAAAAAGATTTACGATATGCTAAATTCTAAATTTGTAAGTTAAGTGCAGTTACTCAAGCCTAATCCAATATTTTATGCTCCTTCATCTCCGATTTTATTATTCCTTTTCAAACAAAATAAATTTACTCATAAATTATTCAAATTTCCACTAAATTTAAATAAAAATAGATAAAATATTTAAAAACTTTTAAATTCTTTATAAATCAATATAAAACCAATGTTACAGAATCGAAAATTTGAGATTAGTTAGGAATTTGCAGTTACCAAGTGCTCTACCGATACTAGAAGCTCCATCATCCCCAATTTAATTATTACTTTTATAAATGAAAATCATATTTAATTAAAAATAAAAGACACTTTATAAATATTATTTTTGTATTCTTGATTTTAAATAAATAGCATTTATGCAAATTTTTTCAAAATAAAATAATAAATAATATAGATTTACGATATGCCAAATTGTAAATTTATAAGTTAGGTGCAATTACTCAAGCCTAATCCAAAATTTTATGCTCCTTCATCGCCAATTTTATTCTTCCTTTTCAAAAATATAAATTTATCCTTTAACTATTCAAATTTCCAACAAAATTTAAATCAAAATAGATAAAATATTTAAAAACATTTATTTTGTCTATAAATTAATAAATAATCAATGTTACCAAATCTAAAAGTTGAGATTAGTTAGGAATTTGCAGTTACCAAGTGCTTTACCTATACTAGAAGCTCCATTATCCCCAATTTAATTATTACTTTTATAAATGAAAATCATGTTTAATTTAAAATTATAGACAGTTTATAAATATTATTTTTGTATTCTTGATTTTAAATAAATAGCATTTATGCAAATTTTTTCAAAAGTAAATAATAAATAAAAAAGATTTACGATATGCTAAATTCTAAATTTGTAAGTTAAGTGCAGTTACTCAAGCCTAATCCAATATTTTATGATCTTTCATCTCCGATTTTATTATCCCTTTTCAAACAAAATAAATTTATTCATAAACTATTCAAATTTCCTACGAAATTTAAATCAAAATAGATAAAATATTTTAAAAATGTTAAATTGTTTATAAATCAATATAAAATCAATGCTACTGAATCGAAAATTTGAAATTAGTTAGGAATTTGCAGTTACTAAGTGCTCTACCGATAATAGAAGCTCCAACACCCCCAATTTAATTATTACTTTTATAAATGAAAATCATATTTAATCAAAAATTTTGACACTTTATAAATATATTATTTTTGAATACTTGATTTTAAATAATAGCATTCATTTAATTTTTTTCAAAGGTAAATAATAAATAAAATAGATTTACGATATGCCAAATTCTAATTTTGTAAGTTAAGTGCAGTTACTCAAGCCTAATCCAATATTTTATGCTCCTTCATCTCCGATTTTATTATCCCTTTTCAAACAAAATAAATTAAACTATTCAAATTTCCTACGAAATTTAAATCAAAATAGATAAAATAATTAAAAGCTTTTAAATTGTCTATAAATCAATAAAGAATCAATGGTACCTAATCTAAAATTCGAGATTAGTTAGGAATTTGCAGTTACCAAGTGCTCTACCGATAATAGAACCTCCATCATCCCCAATTTAATTATTACTTTTATAAATGAAAATCAAGTTAAATTAAAAATTTTTGACATTTTATAAATACTAATTTTGTTCTCTTGATTTTCAATAAAAACAATTCATATAATTTTTTTCAAAAGTAAATATTAATAAAATAGATTTACGATATGTCAAATACTAAATTTGTAAGTTAAGTGCAGTTACTCAAGCCTAATCCAATATTTTATGCTCCTTCATCACCGATTTTATTATCCCTTTTCAAACAAAATAAATTAAACTATTCAAATTTCCTACGAAATTTAAATAAAAATAGATAAAATATTTAAAAACTTTTAAATTGTTTATAAATCAATATAAAATCACCAATTTAATTATTACATTTATAAATGAAAATCATATTTAATTAAAAATTTTGACCTTTTATAAATATTATTTTTGAATACTTAATTTTAAATAAATAGCATTCATGTAATTTTTTTCAAAAGTAAATAATAAATAAAATATATTTACGATATGCCAAAGTCTAAATTTGTAAGTTAGGTGCAGTTACTCAAGCCTAATCCAATATTTTATGCTCCTTCATCACCGATTTTATTATCCCTTTTCAAATAAAATAAATTTATTCAGAAACTATTCAAATTTCGTACGAAATTTAAATCAAAATAGATAAAATAATTAAAAACTTTTAAATTTTTTATAAATCAATAAAGAATCAATGTTACCAAATCTAAAAGTTGAAATTAGTTAGGAATTTGCAGTTACCAAGTGCTCTACCGATGCTAGAAGCTCCTTCATCCCCAATTTAATTATTACTTTTGTAAATGAAAATCAAGTTTAATTAAAAATTATATACATTTAATAAATACTAATTTTGTAAACTTGAATTTAAATAAAAATCATTCATATAATTTTTTTCAAAAGTAAATAATAAATAATAGATTTACGAAATGCCAAATGTTAAATTTGTAAGTGAAGTGCAGTTTTTTAAGCCAAATCCAATATTTTATGCTCCTTTATCACCAATTTTATTTTCACTTTTCAAACAAAATAAATTTAATAATTAACTATTCAAATTTCCTACGAAATTTAAATCAAAATAGATAAAATATTTTAAAAACTTTTAAATTGTTTATAAATCAATATAAAATAAATGTTACTCAATCGAAAATTCGAGATTAATTAGGAATTTGCAATTACCAAGTGCTCTACCTATACTAGAAGCTCCATCATCCCCAATTTAATTATTACTTTTATAAATGAAAATCATGTTTAATTAAAAATTTTTGAGCTTTATAAATGTTATTTTTGTATACTTGATTTTAAATAAATAGCATTTATGTAATTTTTTTCAAAAGCAAATAATAAATAAAATAGATTTACGATATGCCAAATTTTAAATTCGTAAGTTAAGTGCAGTTTTTCAAGCCTAATCCAATATTTTATCCTCCTTCATCACCGATTTTATTACCCCTTTTCAAATAAAATAAATTTATTCAGAAACTATTCAAATTTCGTACGAAATTTAAATCAAAATAGATAAAATAATTAAAAACTTTTAAATTTTTTATAAATCAATAAAGAATCAATGTTACCAAATCTAAAAGTTGAGATTAGTTAGGAATTTGCAGTTACCAAGTGCTCTACCGATACTAGAAGCTCCATAATCCCCAATTTAATTATTACTTTTATAAATGAAAATCAAGTTAAATTAAAAATTTTTGACATTTTATAAATACTAATTTTGTTTTCTTGATTTTCAATAAAAACAATTCATATAATTTTTTCAAAAGTAAATATTAATAAAATAGATTTACGATATATCAAATACTAAATTCGTAAGTTAAGTGCAGTTACTCAAGCCTAATCCAATATTTTATGCTCCTTTATCACCTATTTTATTTTCCCTTTTCAAACAAAATAAATAAAATTATTAATTAATTAATTACTTCAATCTAATCTCAAAAATAAAATTTAATTAAGTTTTTTAAATTATCAAAATCATAAAATTAAAATTACCTAAGCGAAAATTTTAAATTAATAAGTGACTTGCAGCTACTTAATACTTTTTCAAACGAATATGCTCCTTCATTTCCAATTTAAATATTACTTTTATTATAGAAAATAATATGCTTGTAAATAAAAAAAATTATCATCAAATAATTAAATAATTGATTAATTTAAAACTTTTTAAACACTAAAAATATAAAAGATGCTAAAATTTTTTTAAATTTTCAAAAAATGAAAATTCAAAATTACCAAAGCTCAAATTTTAGATTCATAAGTAGTTTACATCTACATAGTGCAATACAAATAGCAGATACTCCTTCATCTTCAATTTCATTTTAGCTTATAAAATATAAAAAAGCATTTATATCAACTTAAAAATTGTTAACGGAATAAATAGATAAAAATATTTATTAAATTGTACAATTCATTTATGTTTATACTTAAAAAAAATTAAAATTAATTACGAGAGGTTAATATCTAGATGGGTCAAAATTCTACAACAACTATCTAATGCCTTACTAATTGAAAATGCACCTTCTTTTCCAAATAAATTTGCACTTTTTAAAAATTTTACAATTAAATATAACATTATATTGAAAAAGAATTTTTGAATTTAGAACAGATAATCAATAAAATTTACGATGCGTTTATAGTTAAAGTTGCCAGATTAGCACAACATTTAATACCTTCAGCAATACTCTCTATCTAACTATCACCCATTTTATTTTTCCTTTCCAAAAAATTTTTTTATAAATAATTTATTTATGTATTAAAGAATACAATAAATATAACTAAATATATTTAATATAGTTATTATAGAATTACCAAAGCTACAAATTTAAGTTATTAAGTGTTTTGCATCTATTTAATACTTTACAAATCTAAACTGCACCTCCATCTTCAATCTAATTTCCACTTTTATAATATATTTAAAATATTATTTAAAATAATTTAGTACAAATAACCATAAATTTTAATGAGTTTAGATAGATGAACTTAATTATATAAAAATAAATAAATTAAATAAAGGATACTCTAAATTTAGCTGTAAACTTTTGAGATTAGTGAGATTGCTCATAGTTTCTTCTAATAGAATATTTCCTTAAGCTTAAATCTTATTTAATCTTTCAAATTAAAAAATAAATCAATTAAATAAATATCAAAAGTTTTATTTTACATAGGTTCTTTACAAGCTTCAATTTGTAAGTTAAAGATACTTCGGAAAGACAAAATTTGGGCATATATTTAATCATTGCTTTTTAAATAAAATATAATTAAAGTTATTTTAATTTTTTTTAAATTGTTAAATTAACAATATGATAGAAATTAATTTAACAACAAAGATTCAAACTTTCAGCTTTTTATAAATGATAGAAATAAATAAATATATTATAAGATAATATTATTATTTATAAAACAATTTTTTAGCTGTTTTATACTCTTATTAACATACAAAATATGTTTACCTCATATTATTAGTTTCAATATAGATCTTTAAGAAAGGATATTTAGCGAATATTTAACTTATCTAATCATCTGAAATATTTTCTTTACTACATATTAAATTGATATAGTAAATCATTATATTTAAGATAGAAAAGTTAAATGATTACTTAAGATTTAATATCAAAGATTCTAATTTTTCACATTATACTAAAGAAGATTTAAGCTAAGTAACTTATTCATTACTAAGAGTAAAATTTCTATTTATTTTTAAATAATAACAAAAAAATTTAATTTTAGAATAAATAAATGAATGAATGAATTTTAAAATTTATAAAAATTAAAAAAAGTTTTTAAATAAATAATTATTTTTATTAAAGAAATATTGTTTTTAAATATTTATTTATGATTAAATATTAATATATAAATATATATGTATTTCTTACTTTAACTGTAAGTCAATATGAGTTAGAGCTTTCAAGTTAGATTTCATTAACTTTTTATTTAAAAAAAAAATTTTATAATGATAAATAAAACTAATAATTATGGATACATCTTCCAGATTATAAAAGCAATTATCCTATTACTCCATTTTTTTAATTTTATTTTCCATTTATTTCTTAGATTATTAATTAATTAATTTTACCAGAAATTAATAATTTTTATTAATAAAAGAACTTTTAATTATCTTTTTAAATATTCTTATTTTATTTCTACCTTTATAAAAAATATCAATAAATCAGTCTCCTTATTTTTTCTCTTTTCATAAAGATATATATCTTAAATACTGTAATTAAACTAGCATAAAATTACAATTTTCTATATTTTAGAGGCTTAATTAATTTTTATTATTAAAATATACTGATATATAAAAATATATAAATATATGGATAATAGAAGGTAGATATAATAAAAATAAATTTAAAAATATTAGTTTAAAAATGAATCTAATATGCTGATATTGCGCTGATGACAAAAAATAAATGAGGGATGCTTATATAGTTATTTTTTTGCAAATGTAGAATAGTAGATAAAGAAGAAATATTTTATTCAATAAAGAATATTAATTTTTTTTATTATTTCTTTTAGTGATAATTAAATTATGATTTTCAATAATTGTTTTTAAGAAAATCAAAATTAAAAGATAAAAAAAAATTATTTTACAACTTTTGTATCCTATTTTTTTTGTTATATATACATACTATTATATTAATAATTAATATTTAATTTTTAATTGAAGTTAGTTAATTCAATCTACAATTAATTTAACTAATCTTTTTATTTTCAAAGCTAATCTTTTGTCTTCTGTTTTTACATCTCTAATCAATTTTCTTTTCAATTTAAATTTATTTTAAAAAAAATAAAAAGTTGTGACTTTAATTATCTATTTTAAACAATAAAAACAAATTACAATAACTTTATATTTTTACAATTGATTATTTGGCTAGATTTTAGAAACTTATTATTATTACTTAAAAATTAAAAATATTTTAATAAACATCCTAAAAACCTTAAAATAATTATTTTTAGAAAATAATAAATGAAAATTTACTCTGATTAAAAAAATAACTATGTAAGTTAGATGGATTTATTCAATTCTTACGCTATATTTTATACTCCTTCATCACCGATTTTATTATTCCTTTTCAAAAAAATAAATTTATTCATTAAATATTCAAATTTCCTACGAAATTTAAATAAAAATAGATAAAATAATTAAAAACTTTTAAATTGTCTATAAATCTATAAAGAATTAATGTTACCAAATCTAAAAGTCGAGATTAGTTAGGAATTTACAGTTACCAAGTGCTCTACCTATACTAGAAGCTCCATCATCCCCAATTTAATTGTTACTTTTATAAATTAAAATCATGTTTAATTAAAAATAAAAGACATTTTATAAATAGTTTTTTGTATACTTGATTTTAAATAAATAAAACTCATGTAATTTTTTTCAAAAGTAAATAATAAATAAAATAGATTTACTATATGCCGAATTCTAAATTTGTAAGTTAAGTGCAGTTACTCAAGCCTAGTCCAATATTTTATGCTCCATCATCTCCGATTTTATTTTTCCTTTTCAAAAATATAAATTTATTCATTAACTATTCAAATTTCCTACGAAATTTAAATCAAAAAAGATAAAATAATTAAAAACTTTTAAATTGTCTATAAATCTATAAAGAATTAATGTTACCAAATCTAAAAGTTGAGATTAGTTAGGAATTTACAGTTACCAAGTGCTCTACCTATACTAGAAGCTCCATCATCCCCAATTTAATTGTAACTTTTATAAATTAAAATCATGTTTAATTAAAAATAAAAGACATTTTATAAATAGTTTTTTGTTAACTTAATTTTAAATAAATAATACTCATGTAATTTTTTCAAAAGTAAATAATAAATAAAATAGATTTACGATATGCCGAATTCTAAATCAAAATAGATAAAATAATATAAAGAATTAATGTTACCAAATCTAAAAGATGAGATTAGTTAGGAATTTACAGTTACCAAGTGCTCTACCTATACTAGAAGCTCCATCATCCCCAATTTAATTGTTACTTTTATAAATTAAAATCATGTTTAATTAAAAATAAAAGACACCTTACAAATATTATTTTTGTATACTTGATTTTAAATAAATAATGCTCATGTAATTTTTTTCAAAAGTAAATAATAAAAAAAATAGATTTACAATATGTTAAATACTAAATTTGTAAGTTAGGTGCAATTACTCAACCCTAATCCAATATTTTATGCTCCTTGATCGCCGATTTTATTTTCCCTTTTATAGCAACCCATTAAAATCATGAAATTCTAAAACCTAGTGGAATGAAACTGATACAATATATAATATTAGAGTCCATTGAGTCCATGGAATCCAATCAATCCATTGAGTCCATGGAATCAAATTGAATCCAATTGATCCAACGGAATCCAATGAATCCATGGAGTCCAGGGAGTACATGGAATCCAGTGAAAAAAAAAAAAGAAAAAATTGAACATGAGATACATTAATAAAAATAAATAAAATATATATAAACACAATAAAATAATTTTAAGTTGTATTCTGAGTGCATTTATATGTGCGAGTATTTCTATTCTATTCTATCTCCGATTTTATTTTTGCTTTTCAAAAATATAAATTTATTCATTAACTATTCAAATTTCCTACGAAATTTAAATCAAAAAAGATAAAATAATTAAAAACTTTTAAATTGTCTATAAATCTATAAAGAATTAATGTTACCAAATCTAAAAGCTGAGATTAGTTAGGAATTTACAGTTACCAAGTGCTCTACCTATACTAGAAGCTCCATCATCCCCAATTTAATTGTTACTTTTATAAATTAAAATCATGTTTAATTAAAAATAAAAGACATTTTATAAATAGTTTTTTGTATACTTAATTTTAAATAAATAGTACTCATATAATTTTTTTCAAAAGTAAATAATAAATAAAATAGATTTACGATATGCCGAATTCTAAATTTGTAAGTTAAGTGCAGTTACTCAACCCTAATCCTATATTTTATGCTCCTTCATCGCCGATTTTATTTTCACTTTTCAAAAATATAAATTTATTCATTAACTATTTAAATTTCCTACAAAATTTAAATAAAAATAGATAAAATAATTAAAAACTTTTAAATTGTCTATAAATCTATAAAGAATAAATATTACCAAATCTAAAAGTTGAGATTAGTTAGGAATTTGCAGTTACTAAGTGCTCTACCCATACTAGAAGCTCCCTCATCCCCAATACTACATATTAAATTGATATAGTAAATCATTATATTTAAGATAGAAAAGTTAAATGATTACTTAAGATTTAATATCAAAGATTCTAATTTTTCACATTATACTAAAGAAGTGTTAAGCTAAGTAACTTATTCATTACTAAGAGTAAAATTTCTATTTATTTTTAAATAATAACAAAAAAATTTAATTTTAGAATAAATAAATGAATGAATGAAAAATATTACTGTCTATTCCTGGGAGATCTCCCCAGTATGATCCATTCATTTTTAGATCTCCCCAAAAAATAAATATTCAGAAAATATGGTTAAAAGTTATGTTTGCTGGTGAGATTTTATGAGGATTTATGGTATTTATTTTGATTTATACTTCATTTGAAAATGAAAATTTATTTAAATTAATGTTTCATTAAAAATTAATTAGAAAATTGTTAATTTTGTTTTATTTATTTATTTATTTATTTATTTATTAAATATTAATAAAATTAACAGTTGAAAAGCAAGAAGAAAAAAAATGATTGAACAGAATAAAAAATATTTTGATAATCTAGAACAAGTAATTTTTTTTAGCATTCTAATTTTATATTTATTTATTCTTTTAAAATGAAAAGTTACAAAACTGTTCTCAATAAAATCTCTCAGATCTTGAAATTGATCTCAGGTATAAAAGATTATAGCTTTTGATAAAATGAAAATAAAAATTTAACTATATAATGTATTTAGATAAGAAATAAATAAAAAGATATACTTAATCTAAATGCATTTGATGTTATATTAATTATATTAATTTTTCTTTTTCAAAGTTTAAATTTTTTATAAGCTTATTTGCTAATTTTCTATTTTTATATTTTTTAAATTTATCATAAGATCTAATATATTTACTTTTGAAAGGACTAATTAGTATTAAAATGAAAAGATTTAAGATTTATGTTTTTATTTATCGAAATGTGTTAATCTCTCGTCTTTAACACTATAATTCGGGTAAAATGATTTATTTGTAATTATTTTAATTTTGTATTATTTTTTATTATAAAGCAAAATATAAGAAATAGTTAGATCCACTACATTAAATTTATTATTTTATTTTTTTTTTTGAAAAATAAGCATTTTTGATTTATTTTTTTAGTTTAGATTTTTTTAATAAAATATTCATTTTTAGAATTAGAATACAATATATTTATATTAAATTTTTAACTAAAATAATTAGAAAAAACAAAATTGATGGTAAAGGAGCTTCTTAGCTATTTTCCGCTCTAGTAAACTGTACTAATATCTAATCATTGGCACTTGAGTTGTCGTAAAAATAAATCATTTGCTTTCATTATTATTTTAAAAATTATTTATTTAGATATCAAAATTTAGGAATGTATCAAAGTTTTTCATGATTAAAAATGTTCAATTAACATTTCCATATAATTTTATTGCTTATTTGTTTATGTTTAAAATTTTTATTTTAAATATATTCCATTTTAAATATTTGCTTTCTTAATTCTAATTAAAATATAAATAGCTAGAATTCAATTGGCTTAGATGGTCCAAAATAGATAGGTTCTACTTTAGCAAAATGCATTAAGCTTTCATCTTTAGAATTATAATTAAGGTTTAAATATTTTTTTTGTATTTGCTTTTTTTTTTTGATAATTACATAAATGTTTATTTACACATTTATTTTATTTTTTTCATTTCTAAAATTTATATTTTTTTTAAAATAACAAGTTTTCTTAAATTAATTAAAAAGAAATAATAAAATTGGTGGTAAGATATTAGAATTATTTTAGGGTTTAACTAAGTGTGTTAATCTCTAAAATTTGATATTATAACTAGAGTAAAAAAATTTATAAATTTAAGCAAATGTTTTTTATTTTTTCATTTTTTAAGAATTTGAAATTAAAAAAGCAGTTATATTGTTTAATATGGCCTAATAATTTAGAAATTTCTTATTTATTTAATTAGAAATTTTTTTCATGCAATTTTTCTATTTTTTTCTATTGAATAATAATTTTTTGATATGCATAAAAAGAGAAAATAAAATTGGAACAAAGACATCAGACTTAGCTTCTTGTTTATCAATGTGTGTTAATCTCTCTAATTTAACGCTCAACCTACAGTAACGATAGTTTAGTTTATTTATTGCATTCTATACTAAGAAAATAGGATTAATATTTTAATTTTTTATTTTTTTTATTTTCTGTATTAAGTTAGCTAATTTTATTGGATATCATTTAATTTTTTTAGAATATACTAATAATTTTTGTGCTTTATCAAACTTATAAAAATATCTTATAAATATAAAACTAATAACTAAATTAGTGCTTCTGGTGTATCTGATTTAGGTTTATCAATATCAAAATTAGCTCATTTGTCAAAATTGGCACTTTTTCTTAAGTAAAATTAATATATTTACTTTTATTAAAATTTTTTTTTCATTTATTTCAATCAAAACCTAATAAGAAATATTAAGAAAAAATCAAAATTTTTAAAGCTTTTTTAATTTTCAAAATAAACTTTTTTTAGGATGGATTTATATTTATAACTTGAAATTTGCATTTTAAGGCTGATTCATCTTATCTTTTTATCACCTTTTTTAGATACTTTTTTTAACTTTCATTATAAATTTTTTCGAAAAATAATAAGTTGGAATTTATTCAGTGACGATGGTGTATCAGGGTTAAGCTATGGTTTGTCAAAATGCCCTGATCTTTTAACATTAATACTTGATCTAAGGTAAACATAGTTTGTTTATTTATTTTATTTAGATCTTGTTACATATTATGTGTATATAAAAGTGCTTAATATTTATAACATTGATTGCTTGCATGACCTCTAATTTATTTACATATAATTTTTAGAAATAATGAATAAAGTTCTTTTCTTAATTTCTACTGAATTTTTTCATTAAAACTAAGAAATTTTCTAAAAAATATCAAAAGGAGTAATATAATTTATGATTATGGTGCAATTTAATTAGGATCTAGTTTAGCAAAATGTTCTAATTTATAAAATTTAACTGTCAATCTAAAGTAAATTTATATCTAATTCTTTATTATATCTTAGACGATTAGTTTAAACATACAAAAATAATAAAATTTGAAAAATAGATTATTTTTTAATTAAAAATAATTTTAGAGTTAATTTATTGTTTTACTTAAATTTATATTTTTAAAATTTATTTTTGTAAAAATTAAAAAGTAGCAATTTAATTGGTGATGCAGGTTCATAAGAATTAGTCATTAGTCTAGCAAAGTGTGATAATCTTTTAACTTTAACAATTCACCTCTAGTAATAAATTGCTTCATTTAATCTTGCTTTGATTTATTTTATTAATATAAAGAGGCTTAAAATCTTTTCGTCTCTTTGTATATTTTAATTCATTAAGTTTAATCCTTATTCATTATAATTAAAAAAATTTAATAAAAGTTGTAATGATCTCTTGAAACAAAACTTAAGATCTTAAATTCTTAGAACGAAAAGACTAGTCATATTAATTATTTTTTATTGAGGAATAAAATTAATTTAATTTATATTTTTACTTTGTAAATATTTAATAAAATCAAATAATATGTCAATTAATTATATAAATAATTGGCCATATGGATCTTAAATTGTGTTTAAACCTTCTTTTATTAAAAATCTAGATTTTAAATATAATATTAATATCTTTGATAGAAATCTTGGCTAAATTTTATTTATTAATTCTTTATATTCATAAAACTCATATTTATAATGATTATTAAATATTATTTTTAGTTGTTCTCTTATAATTATTTCACTAGTAGGAAATATATATTTAGTAGAATAATAATATTATTTAATTAATTAAAAGAAAATTTAAAATAATAAAAAAAGGTATCTATCTAAATAGGTTTTGATCCTAAAAAAATTTGTAAAAAATGTTTAATCAACCTTTATAAAACTATTTGAATTTTGAATGAAATTTTGCTTTTATGAGAAAATTATATTATTATATAAATAAATATTATTTATTAAATAAATTATTTGTAAAATTAACAAAATCAAGATATAAAAATAATTTTCCTAATTTTAAATTGAGTTTAATTTTATGTAATTTTATATATAAATAAAAGTGTATATAAAAGCCTCAACCTAATATGAAGAATGAAATAAGAGTACTCATATTTAATTTTAAAAGATCTTAGTGATCATAAAATGTAATATTTAAAGAATTCTAAGACTATTGATATTAATTGCTTGAAAAATATTTTAAAAACTATGGGAATTATTAACAAATAAATAAATTGGTGCTTGGTTGAAAATATGAAAATAATAAATGAGATCTTAATGAAGAAGATTATTTATTAACAATTAGAATAATTTATACAACAAACAACACGATTTTAGTTCTAAATGCTAATATTTTGATGAAATAATTATTAAGATTTAAATTAAGAATAGAGAGCGAATTGCTTGCTATTTATAAATTCATATTTTGTTATGCTTTAACTATGATTTAATAATGACTTATTGAATTAATTTTAGTAATGAATGTCGTCGTTTGCATTTCCTAAAATTATATTCATTATATAAAAAATATATAAACTAGATCAGTCAGTACCAAGGACGCTATCACGAGTTAAGAAGCCAGTGAGACAGAAGAATCTGGCAAAGACAAGAGAAAGAATAGCCATAAGCTTAACAAGAATGTTAAGAGCAGGACCAGAGGTATCCTTAAGAGGATCACCAACAGTGTCACCAATAACGGCAGCCTTATGTTCTTCAGAACCCTTCTTCAAGGCAACACCTTCCTTAGATTGGAGGTTACCACCTTCAATGTATTTCTTGGCATTATCCCAAGCACCACCAGTGTTGGAGGATGAAATAGCCATTTGGACACCAGAAATTAAGGCACCAGGTAATAAACCAGCAACTGCAAGAGGACCGAAGAAGATACCAGTCTAATTTAAAAATAAATATTTTAATATTAATTTTATTTAAAAAAAAAACAAATAAATAATTTATTTTTATTCAAACTATTTAAATATAGATAGATGATTGGGAAATATAAAAGTAAATTCTTACAAGAATGGGAGATAAAATGACGAGAGCACCAGGAGCAATCATTTCCTTAAGAGAGGACTTGGTAGAGATAGCAATACAAGATTGATAGTCAGGTTCCTTATCACCAGTCAAGATACCAGGTTCGTTTCTAATTTGTCTTCTGATTTCTTCGACCATTTCAAGAGCAGCCTTACCAACAGACTTCATGGTGAAGGCAGAGAAAGCATAAGGTAACATAGCACCAATCAAAAGGAAAGCGAAGACTAAAGGATTGACAACTTGAGTTTAAGCTTATTTCAATTGAGTACCAACATTGGAAGCACTGGCGTTAGTCAAGAAACCACCGAAGAGTGATAATGAGACGAGGGCAGCAGAACCGATGGCAAAACCTTTACCGATGGCAGCAGTAGTGTTACCAGCAGCATCGAGAGCATCAGTTCTCTTTCTAATGTGTTCACCCATTTCAGCCATTTCAGCAATACCACCAGCATTATCAGAAATAGGACCATAACCATCGATAGCGAGACCAATTGTTAAGTTAGAAAGCATACCCAAAGCAGCTAAAGCAACACCATAGTATCCAATAAGTTTAAGAGATACATAAGCGGCAATAGCAATACAGAAGATAGGGACAATGGTAGAGAGATAACCAAGAGCAAGACCGTAGATGATGTTTGTGGCAGCACCAGTTTTGCAAGATTCAGCAACTTCTCTGACAGGACTGTAGGAATGAGAAGTCATGTATTCAGTGATATAACCAATAGCTAAACCAGCCCATAAACCAATTAAAACGCAAATGAAAGCTTAGTAGCTATGCTTTTCTTTAACTATATTGCTTAAGTCATTGCCGACTATTTAAGTTCCTGTAACAAAATTGAAGTCATTAGGAAGATTCATAAAGGCAGCACCAATAACAGCAGGGGTAATGAGGATAGAAGAGAAAAGAAGTTACTTCTTTAAGGAAGATTCGATATCGCTTTCTTATTCTACTTTATTGATGTAAACACCATAGAAGGAGACAATGATGCAGCAAAGAATACCAAAAGCAGAAACCATTAAAGGATAAAGTAAACTATCTAAATCTCTGTATCCGTCAGTAGTATAGAGAGAGTGACCAGAAACAACTAAAGCAGCACAAGTAGATTCAGCGAAAGAGCCAAAAAGATCAGCACCCATACCAGCAACATCACCAACATTATCACCAACGTTATCAGCAATAGTGGCAGGATTTCTGGGAGAGTCTTCAGGTAAATCTTATTCGACCTTACCGACAAGATCGGCACCAACATCAGCAGCCTTGGTATAAATACCACCACCAACTCTACCAAAAAGACCAACAGTTGAACCACCTAAACCAAAACCAGCAATGAATTCAAAAAGTTATGCAATATAGTCTTCTTAACCAACTAGATAAAGAGTTTTGTCACCAACATGGATAGCCTTGTAAATAACGATGAGTAAAGTGATCATACCTAAGGCGATAGAAACCAAAATGAAACCCATGGAGCAACCAGCGGCTAAGGCAATCTTGAAACCTTCAGAGAGTCCTGACTTAGCAGAGTGAGCTACTCTGTAGTTGGATTCAGTAGCAATCATCATACTGATGTAACCACAGACCATAGAGGTAATACCACCAACTAAGAAAGAAATAGCAACATATGGTCTCCATTCAGCGTTTTCATTTTAAGAATCGACAGCGAAGTAAACAATTAATGCCATAACACCTAACATAATAGCGCAGAATTTGTATTCTTCATGTAAGAAGGCCTTGGCACCTTCTTTAATCTTTTAGCCGATGTCAAGAATTCCATGAACTCCATCCTTGGATTCTTCGTCTTACATTCTAGTACGTAATCCATTTCCTTCGTCGCCGGGTTGTTCATCTAAGTTGACTTTCTTAACAGTCAACCAATTATAGAAACCCCAAGCAAGACCTAAACCAGTTGAGGCAAAAATTATACCTAAAGATGCACCGTAAGAAATTGTCATTTCAATTATCTTATTTTTTTAATTATTAATTTTTTAACAAGATTTAATTTATAAGATTTTGATACGCCTAAATTTTTAAACACTTCTTCTTTTCTTACTTTCGCTCTCATTCAATCTATCAATTAATTAATCAATCAATCAATCATTCCAAATTATTTTGTTTGAATAACAAACAAGCTAACAAAGAAAAAAGAAAAAAGAAAGAAGTAAAAATTTCTTTAATTGATTTGCTTTAAATTTGCAAACAAAGAAATCATTAAATAAATAAATTTCATTTTTATTATTTTCTCTCTTTTTTATTCTATCTTACTTTGAAGGTGTTTTTAAATTTACTTCCTTTCTTCTTTAATTTAAACATTCAATTTGCAAAAATATCAAGTAAATTGATAGATAAAAAGCCTCACAAACAAATTTAGTTGATATTATATATGCTTCTAAATACGCTTTTCAATTGAAATATAATCTAATATCTTACTTCCTTTTTTATACAATTTTAAATAGAGCCTTTCTTTCTTAGATTACTTTATCAAATCACTCATTCATTATTAAACAACTCCAAACTCTTCAACTTCTTTTTTATACTTCCTTAGATATTTATTTGATGATTTTAAGAGCTCGTAAACAAATAATCTATCCTACATTCTTATCCTTTTTTTCTTTTATCTCAGACCTGATCATTTATTGGCAAAATAGATATACTATTTCCTATTTTTTCTATTCGAATTATCCTTATTTTTTTACTGCTCATATTTAAATTAGCATGATTTTTACATCAGATATTTCTTCAATTTGCATTACTAGCTTTTTTTTTGTTTCATTCAAAAACTTATTTTTTGTTTGCTTGATCCACTATCTTTATAAAAATTCAAATAAAAGAATTAACCCTCCATATTAAGCTAGGAATGAAAGAAAACTTGTTTGATTATATGAATCTGCCATTTATTAATCAATTTTGCAAAGTTTTTTTGCTATTGAGGCTTTAATAGGAAAATACAACAAAAATAGAGTAATTAAGCCTTATAAATACTATTGTAAATTGAATAAATATGCTTTAATATTATATTTTGCTAATAAATACTCTTTAAAAGAGAATCAAAAATTAAAGACAACTAATTGATTGACTGACTGACTTAATATAAATAAATATCTTTTGAATTCTTTCTAGAATCATCATCGATTAATATGAGTAACAAAATTAAAGATTTGAGAGGTCCACAAATATTTCATACTCTTAATTCACAAACAAAAACTCACAAACTATAAATCAAATGCAAAAACTTAACTTATTTCAGACTAGCTAGCAAAAAAAAAAACACTTGTTTTCGCAATTGTCTGTCCTAAACATTTGAATAATTTTTATTGGTTTATTTTGATAAAAACAATAATTTTGTAAGCTGCCAAAAAACAATAGTAAAATAAATACACTTTAGAACCATGATTAATTGATATCATAAAGAATAATAATACCTCAGCTTATTATTAGCAATTGATTGTACTAGCAATAAATATAGCAATAATAATTATAAATAAATAAATATCTATTCAGATTAATTAATTCCTTTATAAATTTTAAATTAAACAAGCAATACTAAATTTAAAATCGCAATGCTATCAAATTGAATAAATGCAAATTTCATTAAATTTTATATGCAAAATAAATTTATCTCTATTTATTTTAGCTTTGAAATTATCTATTGTTTAATATTATTTTGTCAGCATAGATATCTACCTATAAAATTACCTCTTTTATCATCTTCAATTTAACTTTGTTTATCACATCCATAAAAAATAAAACAAACAATATAAATAGTTTCTACTACAAATTTATTTTAAATATCTCAATTAATTCTACACTAAAACTATTCAAGATAATGTTAATAAAAATTTCAAGTTCATTTTTCATTAATTCTTTTAATATTATTTCATTTTATTAAGACCATATTTTGAACATCCAAAATAGGAAAATTACAACAAAATATTAAAGAAACAATATTGTTCAATGTCCTTCATGCTAAATAATATAAATTTATTAATCTCACAACAAAAAAATAAATCTTACATGTGCTAAATTAGCTTATTTTTAACACGAAATCATGTAAGCAAACAAGCAAATAAATGTGTAATTATAAATGATAAGCTTTCAACTAAATTAAAAATTTAAACAAAATAAATTAAAAATAAAGAATACTTAAGCAAAAGTCTTAAGAGAAGAAAATTGGAAAGTAATTAAGATTGTTTTTATTGGTGGATAGATCAATCATTCAAAAAATTATATGGGATAAGTAGATCTAATAAAAATTAAACGCCAAAGAAAATTTGTTAATTTTTTAAATTTACAATTGATATCCTTTCAAATAAACCAAACAGATATTTTCCAAATAAAAAAGTTAATAAATTTTGTATGTGAATTCAAAAATAAATTAAGTTCAAACAAAAGGGAAGCAATTTGCCTAGCAATTAGATAAATTAATAAATAAAAATAAATAGGCGGCAAACAATTAGTTTTTGATTGAAGAAATCAAAAAAAGTTTAAAATTGTCCAACTTAATTAAATTGATGAGTTAAGTTATGCAAATAAAACCAAAAATTTGATAGAAGATACTTTTGGCCTTTAAACCAATGTTTAATTTATCAGTTTTAATTAATTATTTGTTATTAAATGCGAATTTATTAATTTAACTTTACAGCATTTTTGATAGAAATTTCATTCCCTTATGATGAAATTAATCAATTTACACTTTTTTTTACTTTTTTAATTCAATCTACTTCTTTTTATTAATTTTACATCAACAAAGACGGCCTAATTAATTTTGTCATCCTCATTTAATTTTATCTTTATAGTTCAATAGCAAATTAAGCCTAAAATATTTTTGACTTCATTTTTGATCCTAAAATCTACCTAAAATTTATTCCTTAGTAAGCTTAATTTTCTCATAATATAAAGACTTATTTGCACTACAGCAATAGTGTGAGTGATTTCATTTAAAAGTAAAGTAAATTATTTTTAAATTACACATATTTCATCATCAATCAATCTCACGTCAAATACATTTCTATCACTAAAGCGAATATCTTTAAAAATCCTTCAAACAAACACATTATGCTTGTTATAAAAGAAAAAATTCTAGAACTCTTCATGAAATTATGGAAATACATTGATTGCTTGATAAACAAAGAAAATATATTAAAAGAAAATAAACTTTTGAGATGTTGATCAATAAATTAAATTTTAAGTTAGAAAGTAAGCAAAAAAAAATACTTAGTCATCCATTTAAAAATTGGGATAATATCTATGAATTAATCAATCAATCATTCAAATCTTATCAAAAATAAAAGATTGATACATAATTTAATGGATCGATCAATCAAGATATTAAATATTAATTAAAAAATTATTTATGTTCAAATACAAATGAAAATCAAGCCAAAAAACAAAAAAATATCTTTCAAAATATAAAATTGTCATCATAAAATAACAAATTAATAATTTATTTACACACTGAAGATATCTTCTAAATAATCAAAAATTTAGCTTAGCTTTATTTATTCCTTAACTTTACTATCAAATGTGGACATTTATGCTTACAAACAAATATTATTTTCGTTGCAAATACAATTTTATCCACTGAAGTTATTTATTTCTATAAACAATTCTCCACTTTTGTTTCTATTTAATGTGGGCGCGAGTCTTTCCTGACAAATTTTTTTGAGTAAAAGTAATAAGTAATAATGAAATTGTGAAAAATGTCTTTCAAAAAAAATATAAAATTATTTTAAATATATAAATTTATTAAAATCTTTATTTTATACTTAAAATTATCATTTAAAAAACATAAAGTTTAAATTTTAAGTGGTAGAATTCATTTACAAAATTTGTAATTTCAGCTTTATTTAAATACTTTAAAAAACCTAATGCATTTAAAATTATATAAATTTAACCAGCCAGCTAAAAAATATAAATGTTTACCCTCATATGTTAAATCTACCTACTTATTTTACTATCTATTTATTGATAAGTCTGCAGAGATTTTTCATCAGCATAAATGTTTCATGCTTAATTCCAAAATAATATTTACTTTTTATTATAAATGTGAAAATAGTTATAAAATCTAAACCTAAATTTATTCATTTAAAACTACAAAATTAGTATTTAAACAAAAAAATTCAATGCATAATTTAGTTATTAATTTATTAAAAAAATCCAATTAATTCATTGTTAGTTTTTAAATATTTAATTAATTAACTATCAAATCATAAGAATTAAATATTATTTAAAATATTATTTTCAAAAATTCAATTTTTTTTTGAAAATCTACTAAAAATATCTTTTATTTTTTATTTTGAAAAATAGAGCAATTATTGAATAATTTTTTGTTTTAAGATGCTTATCTGTTAATATGAAATAAAAATATATTTTATGAAAATTCTAATTAAATAAAAAGCTTATTAAAATATATTAATTAATTAATTTAAAGGATTTATAATGAAAATAGGTTTAAAATTTAGAAAAAAATAGTGTGAGATAAATATTAAAAGAATTTTTTAGTTAGCAAACTAAAATAATGATTATTATTGACTAATATTATTAATAATATAAAACAAAAATCAGATTTATTTTTATAAAGAATTAAATAAATAGCTCCTACTACCATCTTTATGATCATAAATAAATAAAGTAAGAATTTCATACACATTTTAAAATTGGTTTGTTATTTTTATATTAAATTTATGATATCAATTTCTTTTATCATATTTTATTATTTATAATTTCTTCTATTTTTGATTAATTTTAAAAGTTAGTTTTTTATGTTTCTGCTCATTTTTAATTATGCCAAAAAACAATTTAAATATAATAAATTTAGTATATTATGCCATTTTTCTTGCCTATTCATAATTAAATTTATTATTTTATTAATATATAATGCTATATTTTTAGTCATAGTTTACTTTGTTACAGAAACTGTTCTATTATTTTAACTAACTAGAATTAATTGCTCTATTTTTAGGCGCTATCTTCATACTTATTGAATTGTTACTTTTTTTGTGTTTATTTTAATATTTATATGTTTGTTCAATTTTTAATAATCATTCAGCAGCTCTATTACAAGAAAGTATTTTGTTTTTCTATTATTATTCAATATAAATTAATTGTAATTTACTTTGAATATACTTCTAAAATTCATTAAGAAAGGTTTTGTTTGTTGATTGATTGATAGATAGATAGGATTTATTTATTATTGATTGATTAATTTATTTATTTTTGATTTATAGAATTGCTTTTATGAGTTTGTCTTGACTTAATTTGATTTGGTTGATATATCTGTTGATTAAAAAATCAAGGTTAAGATGTATGATTGATTTGCATTTTATGATCCCATTCTATATAGAGCACATCAAGGAGGGAAAATGTACAAGCTATAGATAAACCAAGATGACCTATTATACAGCTAATAATTCCTTTGTTTTCTTTAATATAACTAAAAGTCTTGGCTATTTGGAAGAAAGTTGTTGTAAAGAGTATAGACATCTACCAGCTCATCAGGAAGGAAAGAATGGAGAAATGAAAAATCATGTAGCTAACTTGAATGAAAGTAATTTTCTTTTAGCCAAGGGTTTTCTCAAGAAAGAGTCTCCAAAACCATTCTTCCATAATTGGGTTAACAAAGGCGAGAAATATGCAGAAGAGAAAGAGATAGAATGCATTATATTTAATTGGAATATCCAAATGCTAAAGCATATTATGCTTAAACTCATACAAAAAAAAGTAATAAGCTACCATCAGGGAGAAAGTTACCATAGAGAAAGTTATTCCGTACTTAATTTATTAAAGTCTATTCTAAAACTCGCTTATAAAATAAATGCTGATTTCTTTTTCCTTACTAATTTTTTTAATGTAAATATATGGTAATCCAAAATAGCAAACTATTTAAAGCACTATCATTGTTACCAAGGCATCTTTTAGTAGTAAAAGGGTCATCGGAGTCAGCAAAATTGGTGCTAAAACTATTCCGTAAATGCAAAATTTTTATTTGGTTGTTAAGCCATAAACTCCCTCGTCCATTTATAATTAATTTGCTAATGAGTTAATATAATTAATTTCAAAATATCTTCAAAGTGATTCTGAATTTATTTAATATGAATTTCTATATATTATTATGATATTGCTGATACTATATGAATATATTGATTCTATATTATAGATAACTGCTTTAGTTATGGTTAACTCTAAATACCTACTATACTAATATATTTTAAATCTTCTAAATCAAAGATACAAAAAAAAATATTACTAATTTATATTTAATTATTCCTTCAAAATTAATTATTGATTTTTGAAATATGTTAAACAGCTTTTAATAACAAAGAATGTTTATTTTCTTTTCCTTATTTACTTAGCTATTATCATTTAATATTTATTCATGTTAAATCTTATACTTATCAGATTTCCTTGCTTGCTTGCTTGATTGCTTCTTTTATTCATCAAAGATATCTTTTAAAACTTATCTTGAAATTAAAAAACAGAAAACATAAAAAAACTAAGAAAATTATAAAAAAATGAATTCCCTCATTAATATAATTGCTAATTTATATTAAAATCTCTATTTTTTTTATATAATTTTTTAGGAAACTAATTTTTTATTTTAATGTTGCTAATATAAAAGTATCATATTATTTTAAAAATTTATGTTTTCAAAAGTTATGATCAACAATATATTAACCAACTTACTTATATTTTTTTATCTATAAATTTTTTATAGGGTTATGCAAAAATATAATTTTAAAATTTGCATTTGCAACATTTTTGTATTGTAAAAGTAGAGACCCATATTTTTAAACAACAGTATTTAATATTATAATATCTTTTTATATTTCATACAAAAAAAAATTTTTTTAAAATCAAAAACTAGACTTAATATAATTTGATGTTAATTAAATAATTAATTTTTACCTTAATTAAAATTGATTAATCTTAATACAGATTTCATAAAAGCTGATATAAAAACATAGAAAAATCAAAACAATGTTAAAAGTATTAAGAAAATTAAAATTCTAAAAAAAGAATTGGAAAAAATATAATTAATTATTTAATTAATATTCTTAAATAAACTAAATAAGAAATATTTTTATTTTATTCAATATGAATTTTTATTTTAAAAAAATATAAATTAATCCAAATAAAAATACTTTTTAACTCATTCAAATTAATTAATTTAATACTTAAAAGCTGGAACTACTTGTATTTATTAGTCTTAAGAATTTTAAGATTGTGAATTATAATTTTCTTAGGATTCGCTGCCACTTTCGCTTTCTTTGTCTTGATTTGGTATTTAAATGCAAGCATCTTGATTTTATTTTTTAATTGCTTCAATTATTAATTCTGATTCATAATTTTTGTCAGACTTATTATTTTACTCCAAAATAATTTCTATTTGCTATGAACTTTATGAATATCTTTTAGCTATTTAATTTTATTAATCTTCATTTTTCTTTTCTTGATTAAATTGTTTTTTTTAATATGTTTCTGAGTTCATTTCTATTTTGATATTTGAATTGCTGATATTTATGTTGTTCTCTTGTTTTTATCTGTTTGAGGCAATTTTTATAGATTCAAATCTGATGAATTATTTATACCAGTTTATATTTTCTTATTCTTAGATGAATTTCTAGCTTGCCAGTCTTTTTGTTGCTGGGTTTGCCCTATCATAGTCAGTTGAAAAATCCCCATAGACTTATCTATAACTTTTAATGTTCTCTGGTTTTCTAGGTTTTATTTTGATTAATTCTTTATTAATGACATGAATTGGTAATACAAAATGAGCAGCTGAGACAATTATTGCCACTAACGAAATAAATTGCGAGTTATTATCTGCATTATCTTTCGACATATAAATAAACACGTAGGAGAGACAAGCAAATATAAGTATGCCTGCATTCAAGAGGTTGATCATTACTTAACTAAGAGAAGAGCCTATATTGAAGGGCGCAGATCTTCTATTGATTAAGTTGTATTTTGCTATGAGATATTAAATGATAATACCTGCTATTGACCATAAAACACAAATAGGTAATGGAGTTGCATAAAATAAAGTCATTAATAAAGTATTCATAACCTAAGAATACTCTGCTTCAATAGTAAATTAAGGGTCTTCGTAGAGATCCAAAAGCTCTTGTTAAGTCAAAATACTGTTTTGGTTCTTCTTTTCTTCACTTTTTCTCTATAGTTTCTTTAAGATATATTCAAAATCTAAGAAAAAGAAAAGTATTGGTAGAAAAGAGTTAACCATAAAGATGATGTTTTGATTCGGAATCAAACCTGAAGCTCCATAAAGCATTTGATAGTTAGTGCTTTCATTAACGATGAATGAAACTATAAAAGGTACAAGTGTGGCATTAGTGAACTGGGCTAAGCTTAAAAAGAAGGCAAAAGAAAGGTTGTAGTATGTTCTAGTCTAGAATTTTTTGAATTTAGCTACTTGTCTAACAAGAACTGTTAAGATTGAGTTTATGATAAATATTACTATTGAAATAGCTAATGAAAGTAATTAAATATTTGTTATTTCATCTTTATTATTTTAACTATTGTAGATTATGCTTATTTTGTGCTTCTCGGCATATGTAGACTGGTAATCTTACAAAAAATATATAGACAAACCGCTTCCGAATACCACAAGAAAGTCTATGCTTAATCCGATTGCTATTCTGACATTCCTTTCTAACTAACTTGTGTTCAAATTCTCCCAATAAATTTCAGTAGGATCTGGAGCAGGGGAAATACTTAAAATTCTACCAAAGTAAGGTGTGATTTTTTTGCTATTAGAAAGCCAAGTCTGTTTGGAAAGATCAAGTAAAATTTTTTACATTCTCTCTGTTTCAAGCGTGACAAAAGCTACACCTGTGAAATGATTGTTCATAAACGAAATACCTTTTCCATCTCTAAATTTTACTTCTAATTCTTCTATTTTATTTTTGATAAAATAAATTTTCTTGTCCAACTAAGCAATCTCATCAGATTAAACATCACAAAGAAGACCTTTTTTTATCAACTTTAATAACAATTTCTATTTTTCTTCTACAAGATTTTTTTGCTATGCTTCTAATTACTTTAAATCCTTTATCTTTAATCCTAGGTTTACTTTAACAACTTTTAATACTTCACCATTCATATTTAAAGGATTTTAAAAAAACTCTTTCAAATTTGAATAGACATCAAAATTGTTTGATTTGTCTTCATTTTCAAATTCAAAAACTTAAGGGAAATTCTAGACCATAACAGTGTAGTCAGAAGCTATAATAGCACAGTCATCACAATCAGAATCTAATCTCCTTTGCTTGTAGATGATAATTTAAATAAATACAATCAAAACACACACAGTTGTTAAATTTAGGCACTCTTGAACATAAATTGAATAGAATAAGTCAGTTCTATTTCCTAAAGAATATTAAATAATCCAATTTTATTTGCATTGAAGTCCTTTTTTAATGCATTGATTTCCATAATTACCATTCACCACCATATTGAATATCCCGCTTATGCAAAACAAAATAGCCAAAAATGCAATAGACAGCTTTTGGAACTAAAAGAACATTGGATATCCAGAACCTAAATAACTGAGTTGAATGACATCAGAATTCATATTGAGTGATTCCCTCTCAACATCTCTTCCACAACAATCACATTTCTCATTTAATTTACCTTAAAGCTTTTCCTGTCTTTTTAGTATTTTTTCAGGTGCAACCCTAGTAGCTCTCTTGTGTAGCTAAGCAAGCCTAAAATCACCTGGTATTTTTTCGAAGTCAACACATTTCTTTAAATGAGAACTTTTTTCAACAGCTGCTGCAGTGTTTTGCTATGAGAAATGCATATTAGCATCATGTTAGTTATTTTCAGCTTATTCTATTTATTAATTTCTCATTTTTATTAGATAAAAGTAATATTTTACAAATATATTTTTTTGAAATATTTATTTATTCAATTTTATTTTAAAACTAATTTAAAGAAGCAAATTAAATCAATCAAACAAACAAACAAATAAATGAATAAAAAATAGCGTGAAACAAATTATTTAATAATCTGAATATTAATTTCTATATCAAAACTATTACAATTTTTTAATGAAATAAATTTGAAAATATCATAGAATTTTTTTTGTAATTATAAAAATCCATCCAATTTTCTAATAAATCATAATTAAATTAAAAAAGGATTTGCTAGACAAAGAAAATTAAAAAATAGAAGGAATAAATGTGATAATTTATTAATTAAAATATTTTTAACAATCAGAAAATTTATTTCTTTTCCATGTTTATAAATTTTTTTAAATATTTTAATTTTATTTTAAGTCATCCACATAAAAAATATCCAAAATATTTTAAATGCTATTTTCAAAATTAAAATTTTATTAAAATAATCTGATTAAATTTGCAAGAGGAAGTAATTGTAAGAATTTAACATGTGAAATTATTTTTTTAAAATATCTTAAAACCTTAAAACTTAAATAAAAAATCAACTTAATTCTAAAAAATAGTTTTAAAAATTAACATGTAAGGAAATATTTATTAAGTAAATATTTTTTATATTATTTGAATTCTGCTTTTCATTTTATTTTTAGCTCATAAGTCTCTATTTCTAATTTAATTATTTATTTTTAACATTAATTATCAAATTTTCTTAATTTTGATGTGAGCATTTATATTTTATTAAATTAAAAATGCAAAAAATGTTAGTTGTATTCTTTAATTCATATTTAATATCATTTAAAATTTAGTTTGAAAATTATTTTTATTCTTCCACTTTAAAACTAGTAATAAAATATAAACTAATGAATGAATAATAAAATGAAAATATAATTTATGCTACAAAGAATTAAATTAATTTAATTCAATTTTTTGTTAATTTATACTCTTTCTTACAATATTTGATTCAAAAGTAAAAGATTTGCCTTTCGTCTATTTTTAGTAATTTATTGAAGAATATTTAGTTTATGAATTTGTTTATAAATTTTAGAAATTCAATTTAATTTGAGATTACTATTGATAGATGATTCAATGTAATTTAACTAAAGAACTTTATTTATTTCATTCATATTTTTTATATTAGAAATGAAAAATATATTTAACATTTTTTATAAAATAATAAATAAAATTTTTTTGATTGGACTTCAATTTTATTTTTAGTTATTGTTTTAAAATCATACAAAATAAAGTGGCTTTTCTTCTATTTTTAGCTATTAAAGTTGAGATTTTTAATTTATTTATTTAATTTAAATACCTTAATTAACTATGAATATTTAATTACATTGTAGGTTATTGTAATTTAATACAATTGTTTCAATCAGGTTTTTATTATGTTTTAAATTAAATATAAAAATATTTTTTTAATCAATTATTTTATTAGAAATAAATATTTATAAATTATTAAGCAATTTTATAAAAAAATAAATAAATTAAAATTTTATTGATCTAAATTTTTTATATTAATTTTAAATTTTTAGTTTATTTGAAGTCATCAAACAAAATAAGAGTGATTTTTCTTCAATTTTTAGTTTTTTAATGATGAATTTTCAGACTCTGAATTGATTTATGTTTAGCTACTTTAATCATCTTCAAAATTGATTACTTATTCGAATGAATATTTATTCGCTACTTGCTTACATTTAAATATATTTATGCTTATTTAGTTATTATTTTATTCTTGATCTTATACTTGTAAGTTTTCTTCGTTTTTATAATTTAATGATTCTTGATTGGCTTTATTTTCTATTTTATTTGGCAAATTTTTTGTTTTTTCTTTGTTTTTATAAAATAACTCAACAAAGCCATTTTTAATTTCTTCGTATCTTTTTAATTGTTTTTATAAAATTTCTTTAGAAAGAGATTTTACTTCAGTATTTCTTTAATTTTTGATTTCATCATCTTAGCAGCAACTGTAGCTCTCATCTTTCAAATTTATAACATGTAAATTTGAATCATCTTTTTAATCATTTTTATGATTTTAAAGTTCAACTAGATTTCTAAAAATACTATGCTAAATATAACCTTCTTATTTTTAGAACTACACTTCATTATTTACTGAAATAAATTTAATATTTTCTTCAATCAATTAAATATCTTTCTTCGTTCCTTAAAATTCTGATTTATTTTTTGAATCAAAATTAATTAAATCTTCTTGCTAAAAGATATTTTAAACAACAGCTTCTTGCTCTTCAACAAACTTCTAATTAGCTTGTCTTCTGGTTGCTGGGTTTGTTCTATCATAATCTGTTGAGAAGCTGCCTTATACTTCTTAATATATTTTCGTATTTTCAGGTTTTTTAGATTTGACTTTAAATATCTTTTTATTTATGATATGAGCTGGTAAAAATAAATGAATACTTGCTATTGCTATTGCCACAAAAGAAACTGTTCTTGGATTATTATCATCATTATCCTTTGATAAAATGATAAACACATAAGAAAGACAAGCATAAATAACTAAACCAATGTTCATTAGCAGCACCATTTTATATCCTAGAGAGGAACCCATGTTAAATGGAGCTGATCTTCTATATAATAAATTATATTTTGCTATGAAATATTAAATGATTAACCCTAAAATAGACCAAAAAATGCAAATTGGCAGTGGAGTTGCATAAAATAGAGTCATTAAAAGGGTTTTCATTATTTAGGAATATTCTGATTAAATGGCAAATGCAGGATCTTCATACAACTCAAGCAACTCTTATTGAGTTAAAATACTACTTTCTCCAGAGCTTTCTTATTTTTTTCTTAAATATTTCTTGATGATTGATTGAATATCAAAAATAAAGAATAGCACAGGCAGAAATGAGTTGACCATAAAAATAGTGTTCTGAGTTGGGATCAAACCAGAAGCTCCATAAAGCATCTAGTAGTTGGTATTTTAATGCACTATAAAAGACACTATCAAAGGGACTAAGGTAGCATTAGTGAATTAAGCTAAACTTAAAAAGAATGCAAATGAAAGATTGTAATTAGTTCTTGTTTAAAGCTTTTTAAAATCGGCAACAGTTTTAACTAGAATTACAAGAAATTAGTTGATGATAAATATCACTATTGATATAGTGAAAGAGAGCAACTAAATATTTCTTATTTCCTTCGCCCTCAACGTACTGTCAGAAATAGAATTAACATTATGGTTTTTAGCGTAGCTAGATTAGTAGTCTAGCAAGAAATAAATTGAAAGACCACAGCCAAAAACCATAAAAGAATCAACTATTAAACCAACAACCACTCTTATTGCTCTACTCGTTTTAGATACCCCTAAATTCTCCCAAAATATCTCTGTTGGATCAGGCGCAGCTGAAATTCTTAAATGTGTACCCATAAACTGCCTTACTGTTTAACTCTTTTTAAAGCAATTCCAAGAGCTCTTTGCCATCTCAAGTAAGTCTTTTTGCATTCTTTCAGTTTCAAATGTTACAAAAGCTACTCCAGTGAAAAGGTTCTTCATAAATTCGACTCCTTTACCTTCACTGAGTCTATTTTCTAACTTTAGAATTTCACTCTTCACTATCTCTATTTGCTTATCTATCTAAATCGCCTCTTAAGAGAAAATGTCGTATTTTCCATTTTTACTTATTTGCGATTTAAATAATTTCTTTTTATCATTCACAAATAACTTCTACTTTCTTTGTAAATGCGTTAAATCCTTAATTTCATATCCTAAATTGACTTTTATAACCTTAAATTCATATCCATTAAAATTGCTTGGATTCTAAAAGAAGCTTTTGAGCTCATCATCATAATCTAAATTTTCTTTCTATAAATCATTCTCGCATTAAATATCTTTGGGAATATTCTCAACCATTACAGTATAGTCAGATGCTAAAATAGCTGAGTCATCGCTGTCAGAATCTAACATTCTCTACTAATAAATTATTATCTAAATAAAAATAATTAGAACGCAAACAGCTGTTAAATTCAAGCACTCTTAAATGTAAATAGAATAATATAAATCAGTCCTGTTCCCTAGCGAAAGCTTAACTATCCAATTTGTTTTGCATTGATTACCCTTAAGATTACACTAATTACCATAGTTTGCATTAGCTACCATATTGAAAATGCCACAAACACAAAACAAAATAAGCAAAAAGAATATGCAAAACTTCAAAAACTAAAAAAACATAGGAAACCCAGATCCTAAATAACTGAGTTTGGTAATGTCTGAATTTAAATTTAATATTTCTCTGTCTACACTTCTTCCACAACAATCACATTTCTCATTTATAAAGCCCTGTTATTTGTCTTTTTCAGTAAACTCTTTATCAGGTCCCACTTTAGTAGCTTTCAAGTGCTCTTTAGCTAAAAAAATATCGCCTGGAATCTTTTCAAAATTAACACTTTTACTGATAGCGTTGCCTCTATGCAATTATTTGGAATTATGCTCAGCTTAAGTCTTAATACTATCTTAACCTTCTTAGCTCATTTTAAATCATAAAAATTTATGTTTTCTTTTTATTAAAATTATATTAAAGGTTATTTGCCTTAATCTTATTTTTTAAGCCTAAGATATCTTTTCTAAAAATATAAGTTCGTTTCTATATTTTAATTAATTTAAGGAGTCTATCTGATAATTTCCAATTTATTTATCTATCTGCTATTGAAGATATAAATACTACTAAATTATTTATTCAATTTTTTTGTTTACTTGCGTACCCTCTCTATTTTTTCTAATTAAATAAGACTTTTTGAATGATATCAGTAGATATATAGAAGGAGGGTTTAGATCTTACTCACTTTTAATTAAGGTATTCTAATGTAATATATTATTTGAATTTTCTAAACATTTTCTAAACAAATAAATTAATATAGATAGATAGATAGATAGATAGATAGATAGATAGATTCCTAATTTAATAAGTTAAGGATTCCTACTTAAACGTTTCATAAACATAAAATAGAAGAATCATCAAAAACAAATGTTAATTTTAATTTTAATAATTTTTTGTTTGTTTGTTTCTTTTTAGTGAGTTTCTGCGGCTATTTCTAATTATTTAGAAAATATAAACTCTAAATGTTGTACTTGATGATATGTATATTCTTTTTATAGATACATGATTAATTAGACCATCCATCATTTATTAAATTAAATATGAATTTAGAATCAAATATCAAATATTTAATAAAATGCTTTATAAAATTTATCTAATTCTAAAATAATAAAAAAAAATGAAACTATTTGGTTTATATAAATTGTAATATAAATTTTTAGATAAAATAGAAAAGCGTTTAGATTATTTGTAATTGTAATTGAATTTTTATTAAGAAGTTATTAGTCTATTTTTATTTTTGATTAAACCTTCTATTATTACTATTTATTAATTAATTCATTTGTTTTTTTAATATTAAAACACATAAAAATCCATTTTAAAAAAGGAAGAAATAGAATTTTTTTATCCATCTTCTCTCCTATATTAAATTCTGATAAAAAGCGTATTATTAAGTACAATAGTTTTTAATTTTGAAATTTAAAATAATGATTTTTTCTGTATTTCTCATGTTTTCTCTCACTTTTTACAGCAATAAAAAATTAAAATAGAAACTAATATCGTAATATTTTAACATTTTTATAAATATAACCTTTATTAATTAATTATCCAGTAAAAAATAAGCTACTCTTAACAAATATTGGATAAAAATAGATGCTTAATAAATAAATTGATAGATAGATAATTACATTGATAAATAAATGAATACTAAATTTATAAAATTATATTTATCTAATTAATAAAATATTTAGTAATTTGAAGTGTAAAAAAAAACTTCAAAATATAAATTTTATTAAAATTAAAAAATTGAGGAAAAAAAAAATTTTTTTGTTTGTTAAACTATTTTAAAAATGAAAATATTAAGCATGTAAAATAAACTAAAGGAAAATATTTCACTCATATTTATTATGTCTTAATAGAGCCTTAAAATTAATGTTATTTATTTTAGATATCTTTTTCTTCTATTAAGATATAAATAATTCAAAAATGACTTTTATTAATTTCTTTGATTAGATTCTAATCTAATATTAAATAATCTTTTGTATCAGCAAGCAATATATTTTGATTAAATTGGATTTTGATTTACATTTTTAGAATAAAATAATTTAAACGTTTTCTTTTATATAAGTTAGCATTAATGAGTGAGTAAATTGAATACCTACTTGATAGTATTATTTAAAAGTATTGAATTTAAGTGAATTAATAAAAATAAATTATTTTTATTTATAATTGTTTTCTTTTTTAAATTATCAATAAACTAATAGCCTTTAAAAACAAACTAATGCTATTTATTTTCTATGTATGTCTTTGTCCTCTATAAAGATATAAATAATTAAAAATAACTTATATTCATTCATTAATTTCTCTTATTAGATTCAAATCTATATAATATTAAATTATCTTGCGCTTCAATAAACAAACAATTTATTCTGATTAAATTGGATAAAAATTTAAATCTTTTAGAATATATTAATGAATGATAGAATATCTGTTAAAAGTATATTAAATTAAGTTAATTAATAATAAAACACTTTTATTTATAATTGTTTTTTTTTTTTTTTAAATTATCACTAAGTCAATAAGCTGAAAGAGTCTAAAAAATGATCTTATTTATTTTAGACGCATGTCTTTGCTGTCTTTGTCCTCTATAAAGATATAAATAATTCAAAATGACTTTTATTCATTCATTAATTTCTCTTATTAGATTCAAATCTATATAATATTAAATTATCTTGCATTTCAATAAACAAACAATTCATTCTGATTAAATTTGATAAAAATTTAAATCTTTTAGAATATATTAATGAATAAATGATAGAATATCTGATAAGATCTTTAAAAGTATATTAAATTAAGTTAATTAAAAATAAAACACTTTTATTTATAATTGTTTTTTTTTTAAATTATCAATAAGTCAATCAGCTAAAAAAGTCTAAAAAATGATGCTATTTATTTTAGAGGTATGTCTTTGCTCTCTATAAATATAAATCATTAAAAATGACTGTAATTAACTTCTTTAAATTGATTCTAAATTAGAAATATCTAACGCTTCAACTAGCAAGCAATTCGTTATGATTAAATTAGATAAAAATTTAAACTTTTTAGAATAAATTAATTTTGATGTTTTCTTTTATTTAAATTAGCATTAATGAATGAGTGAATGAATGAATGAATACCTAGCTTTAAATTTTTTTAATTTAAGTGAATTAAAAATAAAACACTTTTATTTATAATGGTTTTTTTTTTAAATTATCAATAAACTAATATTGTCTAAACAGCAATGCTATTTACTTTAGATGTCTTTGCCCTCTATAAAGATATAAATAATTATCTTGCGTTTCAACCAACAATTCAGTCTGATTAAATTGGATTTTATTTAAATTTATATAATAGATTAATTTAAATGCTTTCTTTTATATAAATTAACATTAATGAATGAGTGAATAACTGATAAGATCTTTAAAAGTTTTTCACTTTAAGTTAATTAAAAATAAAATACTTTTATGAATAATTGTTTTTTTTTAATCATCAATAAGCTAATAACCCTCTAAAGATATAAATCATACAAAATAACTTTTATTAATTTCTTTAATTAGATTCTAATCTAATATTGTACGATCTTGAGTTTCAATAATTCACTCTGATTAAATTGGATAAAAATTTAAATTTATTAGAATAAATAATTTAAATGTTTTGTTTTATTTATAAATAAGATTTTTAAAAGTATATTAATTTAAATTATCAATAAGGAAATAATGATAAATATCAAACAAAAAGTAGATATTTAAGAAGAAAAAAAATCAAAAACCTTTAATAATAATTTAAAACTAAATAAATACATAAATTGAAGAAGAAAAAAAATTATTAATTTATTTGAGAGTATCATTCATTCATTCATCATGGGATAGAAGAACTCAAAGCCTATGCCTGAATTCATTTACATGAAAAAAGATAATAACTAATTGCTAAAAACTCTTTGCTATTTTAATAAGGATGATAGTGGCTAAATAATTGAATTAGTATTTTAAAATGGCAGTTTTGAACAAATTTTAGAATCAGAATTTATCAAATTTTTAGATAGAAACAAAGAAAAAGAAATTAAAATAATAACTACTCTTGGCGAGTAGGGATAAGGAAAATCTTTTATTCAAAACTTTTTAATCTCAAAATTCTAAAATTGTTAAGATTATTTAATGGTCTTTCCTAGCTCTTAGAGATGTTAGTCTGTAACAAAAGGTATTTAATTTTATGCAATAGAATATGATAAACAAGTTTTGGTATTTTTTGATTGTTAGGGATTTGATTATTCTGATAAATCAAATTATATGTAAGATCTACAAAAATTAGTGTGTCTTATTTGTAGGATTTCAACTGTTATTTTATACGTACATATGAATTCGAGATAACCTATGTATCTTGCAAATATTTTAAACCTAATAAACATTGTGGACGATAATCATTATTAAATAGTAAATAATTTAATAGAAGTTATTAATAACTGCAATGGTGACAAAATTGAGAGTTACCAAGAAAGTTATGAACAAATCATAAAAAAGGTATTTCAATGTGAACACGTTAGTTTTAATTCTGAGTATGATGATTAATAATACTCTTGTAAGATAAAAAATGACGAAAATTTTAATAAATTTATTTAATAAATTGAATAGATTTAACAATTTTGTGAAAAATCTTAATATAAAACTCCATTCGAAAATTGCAAAGCCTTTGAAAAGGAATAGAACTGTCAAAGCTTTAAGGAAATGTTGATATGTTGCTTTTAAATCATAAAAGAAGGCATTAAAGGAAATATGAATGTGAATTAATTTATAAGTATTATCAATGAGCAGCTTGTCCAAAAATAAATATTCAAAAAATAAATTGAAGAATCCAAAGATAAAATAAAAAGCTAATATTCTAAAAGAGCTAAAGAATTAATAGAATATTTAACTAAAAGTCATGTTTCTTATGCACTAATTGATTTTTTAACTATATCTTCTTATAATTTAAGTGAAATAACGCTCAAATAAGAATTGAAAAATTCTATATAAAAATGGAAAATAGAATTTTAAACAAAACTTAATGAAATTTTTACAGATAATTAAATTCTTTTAAATGATGTTCAAAAAGAAAAAATTATTGATTATTACTCTAATCTTGAATCAATTAAACCATCAGAAATGAGAATTTATGAAAAAATGAAAAAAAAATTAAAAAAAGTAAGAAATTTTAGTGCTACCTTAAGTAAAGTAATTAAAAAATGTTCTTATATTTTAATTATTAGTTTAGAGTTGGTTCCAGTAGCCTTTATAAAACATTTTATAGATAATAAAAAAATGAAAAATAAAATATTTAGTGATAATAATTATTTAATACAAAGATTAATTGAATAAGAAAGTTAAAGAATATTTGATAAAAATAAAATATGTTAGAATATTGAACATTTAAAGAATATTTTAGAATAAAAATTCAAAGTTGATTTAAGTTAATTAATAAATAATTAAGAAGATTAAGATATAATAATCTTTATCATATACTGTAATCTAATGTAAAAATCTCTATATTATTTTCCTGAAAACAAAGAAACATTTGATACTGATTATTAAATTATGTAATCTTGTCTTTAAATTCTTTAAAATTAAAATATTGAATTTGTAAATCTAAAGGCCATATACTATTCTTAATCTATAAAAATAGCTGATTCAGATTTTACATTCTATAAAGAGTAAAGGACTATTATATTTCAAAGCTAACTTCAAACTCAGATTTTATAAGTTTTAAGCAGAGTAGACAAAAGAGAAGAATAGTTTTACAAGCATTTGTTTATCTTAAGAAATAGAAATGAAAGTCTATTTTTAAGCATTTTTTATTATGCTTACTTTCCAGACCTAATATATTCTGATGAGTTTGTAAAAAAGATGGTTAACAAATAATTTGCTGAAAAGATTATTTAAGTATAAAACTCTCTCTTCTGATTAGAGAATGATTGATGTTATTTATTTATTTATTTTATAAATTAACACAAATTTTAACCTTTCTTTTTTACAAAATACCAATTTTATAAAAATTTTAGTAAGCATTCATATTATTTTTAATTATAAACTAATTAATTTATTTGATTGTTTTCAAAAATGACTGACATTTTATTAGAATTTTATTTTTTGCAAAGTGAAAAAAAACAAAGTGCGCTTTTGTTTATAAATGCAAAATTGTTGCCTTAAATAAATGTGTAGATAAATAATAAAATCATAAAATTTATATTGAGAAATTATTATCAAAACAAACAATCAATATTTATATATAAATAAACACTTTTAAAATTAAATGCATTAATTTATCATAGATTTTCTATGTGATTTAATATATTCTTTTAACTTTTTATATTATATAAATTATAAATAATATCCAATCAGAAGAAAAGATATCAGATTTTATTGGAATTTAAATAACTTTTTTAAGTAGAGAGAGAGATAGTAAACATGATAATCATAAAATGAAGAATAATAAAGCAAATTCATAAGAGAAGAAAACCAAAAAAAGGCAGTGATAGAAGTTGGAAAGTAATTTTACAGATCATGATAGTATTTATAAATAAAACGTCTGTCTAATATTACCAGGTTTGTGAAATAAATTATAATCAGTAGGAAACTATCAACAGAGATAATACTTGGTAAGAAATACAGTAGGCCTTAAAAAAACAATGTCTTTTATATTTAAAATTATATCTAAAAATAAATAAACAGAATAATCATAAAATGAAGAATAATAAAAGCAAAATTTATAATTAAAAAAACCAAAAAGAATTTTAAAGGAGTTGAAAAATAATATTAAAAATTATGATAATATTTTTTTAATTTCTAGTTTTTTTCAAAAAAAGTGCTTTAAGCCCCCCCCCCCCTTAAACTATTTTAAAAATGAAAATATTAATCATTTAAAATAAACAAAATTGGAAAATGTTTGGCTCATATTTATTACATCTTAATTGAGCCTTAAAAGTAATACTATTTATTTTAGATATGTTTTTCTTCTATATATATATATTAATAATTTAAAATGACTTTTATTAATTTCTTTGATTAGATTCTAATCTAATATTAAATAATCTTTTGTATCAGCAAGCAATATTATATGATCAAATTCGATTTAGATCTAATTTTTTTAGAATTAATTAATTTAAACGTTTTCTTTTATTTAAATTAGCAATGAGTGAGCTAGTGAGTGAATACCTACCTGATAATATTATTTAAAAGTATTGAATTTAAGTGAATTAATAAATATAAATGATTTTTATTTAAAATAGTTTTCTTTTTTAAATTATCAATAAAGTAATAGCGTTTAAAAACAAACTAATGTTATTTATTTTAGATGTATGTCTTTGCTCTCTATAAAGATATAAATAATTCAAAATGACTTTTTTAATTAATTTCTCTTATTATAATATTAAATGATTATGCGTCAACTAACAAAGAATTAATTCTGATTAAATTGGATAAAAATTTAAATCTTTTAGAATATATTAATGAATGAATGAGTGAATATCTGATAAGATCTTTAAAAGTATTGAATTTAAGTGAATTAATAAAAATAAATGATTTTTATTTAAAATTGTTTTCTTTTTTAAATTATCAATATTTAAAAATTAATGCTATTTATTTTAGATGCATGTCTTTGTCCTCTATAAAGATTTAAATAATTCAAAATGACTTTTTTAATTAATTTCTCTTATTAAATTATTATCTATATAATATTAAATTAATTTGTGTTTCAACCTATATTTTATTCTGATTAAATTAGATAAAAATTTAAATCTTTTTTGAATATAATAATGAATGAGCGAATATCTATCTGATGAGAGATCTTTATAAGTATATTAAATTAAATTAATTAAAAATAAAACACTTTTATTTATAATTGTTTTTTTTTTTAAATAATAAATAAGCTAATAAGCTCAAAGAGTCTACAAAATGATGCTATTTATTTTAGATGCATGTCTTTGCTCTCTATAAAGATATAAATAATTCAAAATGACTTTTACTAACTTCTTTAATTTGATTCTAATTTAATATTGAACTATCTTGCTCTTCAATTTATTTAAATTAGCATTAATGAATGAGTGAATGAATGAATACCTCCTAGCTGATAATATAATTTAAAAGTATATTAATTTAAGTGAATTCAAAATAATTTATTTATAATTGTTTTTCTTAAATTTTCAATAAACTAATAGCTTCTAAATAGTAATGCTACTTACTTTAGATTTATTTCTTTGTCTTCTATAAATAAATAAATAAATAATTATCATTCTGATTAATTTGGATAAAATTTAAATTTTTTAGGATAAATAATTTAAATGTTTTGTTTATTTAAAAAAGCATTAATTAATCAATGAATTAATTTAAATTAATTAAAAATAAAACACTTTTATTGATAATTGTTTTTTTTTTAAATTATCAATAAGGAAATAAAGATAAATATCAAACAAAAGTAGATATATATATAACAAGAAAAACAAAATCAAAAACCTTTAATAATAGTAATAATTTAAAACTAAAATAAATACATAAATTGAAGAAAAAATAAATAAATTAATTTATTTGAGAGTATAATTCATTCATTCATTCATTCATCATGGGATAGAAGAACTCAAAGCCTAAGCCTAAGCCTGAATTCATTTACATGAAAAAAGATAATAACTAATTGATAAAAACTCTTTGCTAATTAATTAAGGATGATAGTGACTAAATAATTGAATTAGTATTTGAAAATAGCAGTTTTGAACAAATTTTAGAATCAGAATTTATCTAATTTTTAGATAGAAACAAAGAAAAAGAAATTAAAATAATAACTACTCTTGGTGAATTAGGATAAGGAAAATCTTTTATTCAAAACTTTTTAGTCTCAAAATTCAAAAATTGTTAAGATTATTTAATGGTCTTTCCTAGCTCTTAGGGAAGTTAGTCTGTAACAAAAGGTATTTAATTTTATGCAATAGAATATAATTACAAAGTTTTGGTATTTTTTGATTGCGAAGGATTTGATTATTCTGATAAATCAAATTTTATGTAAGATCTATAAAAATTAGTGTGTCTTATTTGTAGGATTTCAACTGTTATTTTATACGTACATACTAATTCGAGATAACCTAAGCATCTTGCAAATATTTTAAACCTAATAAACATTGTGGACGATAATAATTCTTAAATAGTAAATAATTTAATAGAAGTTATTAATAACTGCAATGGTCAAACAAATAAGAGTTACCAAGAAAATTATAAAAATATTATTAAAAATGTATTTCAATGTCAACAGGTTAATTTTAATTCTGAATTTGACGATTAATAATACTCTTGTAAGATAAAAAATGACGAAAATTTTAATAAATTTATTTAATAAATTGAATAGATTTAACAATTTTGTGAAAAATCTTAATATGAAACTCCATTCGAAAATTGCAAAGCCTTTGAAAGGGAATAGAACTGTCAAAGCTTTAAGGAAATGCTAATATGTTGCTTTTAAATTATAAAAGAAGGCATTAAAGAAAATGTGAATGTGAATTAATTTATAAGTATTATCAATTAGCAGCTTACCTAAAAATAAATATTCAAAAAATAAATTGAAGAATCCAAAGATTAAATAAAAAGCTAATATTCTTAAAGAGCTAAAGAATTACTAGAATATTTAACTAAAAGTCATGTTTCTTATGCACTAATTGATTTTTTAACTATATCTTCTTTAAATTTATGTGAAATAAAGCTCAAATAAGAATTGAAAAATTCTATATAATAATGGAAAATAGAATTTTAAACAAAACTTAATGGAATTTTTACAGATAATTAAATTCTTTTAAATGATGAACAAAAAGAAATAATTATTAATCATTACTCTAATCTTGAATCAATTAAACCATCAGAAATGAGAATTTATGAAAAAATGAAAAAAAAATTAAAAAAAGTAAGAAATTTTAGTGCTACCTTTCATAAATTAATTAAAAAATTTTCTTTTATTTCATTTCTTGTTCCAATAGCCTTTATAATTCATTTTTAAAATAATAAAACAATGAAAAATAAAATATATAGATTTAATAATGATTTAATACTAAGAGTTATTGAATAAGAAAGCTAAAGAATATTTGGAAAAAATAAAATAAGTTAGAATATTTAACATTTAAAGAATATTTTAGAATAAACATTCAATGTTAATTTAAGCTAATTAATAAATAATTAAGATGATTAAGAAATAATAATCTTTATCATATACTGTAATCTAATGTAAAAATCTCTTTATTATTTTCCTGAAATCAAAAAAACATTTGATACTGATTATAAAATTATGTAATCTTGTGTATAAATTCTTTAAAACTAAAATATTGAATTTATAAATTTAAAGGACATATACTATTCAGAACGTTTAAACATAGTTGATTCAGATTTTACATTCCATGAATAGTTAAGAGCTATCAAATTTCAAAGCAAACTTCAAGCTCAGAGTTTATAAGTTTTAAGAAAAGTAGATCAAAGAGAAGAATAGTTTTACAAACATTTGTTTATCTTAAGAAATAGAAATGAGAGTCTATTTTTAAGCATTTTTTATTATGCTTACTTTCCAGACCTAATATATTCTGATGAGTTTGTAAATAATATGGTTAACTAATAATTTGCTGAATAGATTATTTAAGTATAAAACTCTCTCTTATAATTTGTGAATGATTGATGTTATTTATTTATTTATATATATATTTAATAAATTAACACAACTTTTAATCTTTCTTTGTTACAAAATACCAATTTTATAAAAATTATAGTAAGCCTTCGTATTTTTTTTAATCTTAAACTAATTAATTTGATTTATTTGTTTTTAAAAATAAATGACTGGCTTTTTATTAGCATCTTATTTTTTGCAAAGTGAATGTAATTAAGTGTGCTTTTGTTTATAAAGTAAACAAAATTGGTGAGTTAAATAAATGTGTAGATAAATAATAAAATCATAATATTTATATTAAGAAATTATTGTCAAAACAATCAATCAATATTTATATATAAATAAACACTTTAAAAATTAGATGCATTAATTTATCATAGATTTTCTATGTGATTTAATATATTATTTTAATTTTTTATATTATATAAATTATAATAAAATATATCAGATTTTATTATGCAGCTATTAATTACACAATCAACAAAATTTAATCAGATTGGTCTGAAAAAAGGCTAAATTTAAAAATTTAATAGAAAAATCATAAAGATTGAAAAAAATTAAATTATTAATATTATTAATTAAATTCTATTATAAATTATTTATCTTTATATAAATAATATTCAAAGGCATCAACCATTCAAAAAAATAGTGATCTCAATTCACCAAATTTTTGAATGGCATTTTGCTATAATTAATTTATTATTATATATTTGGTTATTAATTAATGCATCTATTAGAAAAATTTTGTTAAAAATAAAACCTGATTTTCAAGATTTAAACAAAAGTAAATTAATAAAATATGTCTATTCTAAATTTAATAAATTAATTATAATGTCTATTTATTATTTTTAATATTCACATAAAAATTTAAGTTTTAAAGATTTACTTTTTCAAAATATTTTGCAATCTTTAAGCCAAAAATGTTATAAAAATATAAAATTAAATAATAAATTTAGCTTTTTCTAATCAAAATAAACAATAGTCGCCATCAAAAAAATCTAAATTTTAATTAATTATTTTTATTTTATTTTGGTTGTTTTTTGATAAAGATATTTTTATATCAATAAAGTCAATATTTTTGATTGCATAATTCACTAAATTAATTAAAATATACATTAAAATTAAGGATATATTTATAACAAGTATCAAAAATCAATTGAATTCACATTAATAAAAATAAGATAAATATTCAAATAAAAAGTATTTACTTTAAAAAAAATTTAATATTTTAAAATAATTTTAAAGCTATTTCATTCAATTTAGTTTTTTTGTTTTGTTTGATATGCGTAAAGCTTTTGCTTATAATAATTAAATAGGTAAGATATGATTTGCGTATAAACTAATTTTTATTGATCAGGTGGTAGCAAGATTGAATATTAATAGGATTGATCAATAATTTCCTTATAGTAAAAAAAACAAAATTAATTAAAAAATAGATACTTCCTTTTATATTTATTGATAGTCAAATTAAAATATATAGATAGATTAGATAAGAATAACTAACTAAATAAATTTAATAAACTAAATAACTAGCATGAATGTATTCAGTTTAAATTCATCTATCAAACTTTTTTTAAATGTAATAAAAATATTAATCAAAACAATAAAAAATCTGAATTACTAATTAGTATTTTATTTGTTAATAATTTTTTTCTGAGTTGCAAGATATTTTTGATTGATTTATCTAAGTAAAATTTGGTTTGATAAATTAAAATGAGAATGAATAGTCAATTTATAGCAAAATAATTATTTAGTTTTATTTAATTTGCAAATGAGTGCTGAATAAATAATAAATTATTTAAAAGAATGCAAACAAAAGTTAGAGAATCTTCACTAAATAGTCAATAAAAATAATATTGTTAGCAAGAATAGTTCAAAGAGAAATTTAGATTGAGCAATTATATTTTCTTAAGTTTCATTTGTTAGTTTTTGTAGTCTCTTTTTCATAAGGATTGTTCTATTTAATCATTTTCTTATTTTTAATATTGCCAAAAAGCTTTTTTCTTTATTGTTTTACTAAATGACAATTGATCCTCTCACTCTCAGAGCAGGTAAATTTTAAAAAGTAAACTTAAACAGATAAGTTATCCCTTTTTATTATTCTATGTTACAATGGGTCTGTTCTATATACGCATTAAAAAGATTTTTAGTCAAAAAAAGTAGTTGAATATAATTTATTTAATCTCCTAATTATTATTTTTAATCAGTCAAAAAAAGCCTAGATAAAATTTTTTATTATTTTGATTAAAATAACGATCAATTCCAGAATATTTTTTAATCAATTAAATGTTTTTATTATTTCATTTAAAATTCTTTAAGTATTAAATGGCTGTGCTTGTAAAATATGTGCTGGATTTTAGTATATAAATGATAAATACTTTTAAAAAATTTTATACTTTACAAAATAATTTTAGTTCTTTCTTTTTTTTAGAGATAGAAATATTATTTATTTTATTTCATATTATTTTTAGTTTGAATTGAATAGTAAAATATTTAAAAAGCCATTTTATTAATTCATTCTTGTAAATATTTTGTATTAATTAGCTAATAAATAAATAAATATTAATTTTATGATCAGGGTATTAAGTATGAATAGCTCAATTAATTTATTTCTTATCGTATACCTGGAAATAAATTAATACATCTATTAAAAATTTTTTGTTAAAAATCAAATCTGATTTTAAAGAAAATATTATGTTAAAACAAAATTAATTAGTAAAATCTATCTATTCTAAATTTAATAAATTATTATAATGTCTATTTATTTTTTTACTATTCATATAAAAATGTAAGTCTGAAAGATTACTTTTTCAATATATTTTAAAACATTTAAGTCAAAAATGGTAAAAAAATTAAATTTATGTAATAATTTTAGCTCTTTCTAATCAAAATAAACAATAGTTACCATCAAAAAAAATCTAAATTTAATTGTTTTTTATTTTGGTTGTTTTTTTTGATGAGAATATATAAAGAGATATCAATAGAATCAATATTTTTGATTACTAAATTAATTAAAATAATCATTAGAATTAAGTATATATTCATAACAAGTATCAAAAATCAATTGAATTCACATTAACAAAAATAAGATAAATAGTCAAATAAAAAGCATTTATTTACATAATAATTAAATATTTTAAAATAATTTTTAAGCCATTTCATTCAATTTAATTTTTTTGTTTTGTTTGATATGCGTAATGCTTTTGCTTATTTATTTTAATAAAATAAGTAAGCTATGATCAGCGTATAAAACTAATTTTTTTTGATCGGGTGATAGGAAGATTGAATATTAATAGGAAAGATCAATAATTTCCTTATCGTAAAAAAAACAAAATTAATTAAAAAATAGATACTTATTTATTTTTACATTTATATTGATAGTCAAATTAAAATTTATAGAGTAGATAAGAATAACTAACTAAATAACTAGCATTCATTCAGTTTAAATATCAATCAAACTTTTTTTTAAAATGTAATAAAAATATTAATCAAAACAATAAAAAATCTGAAATACAAATTAATTAATTTAAAAACTTTAAAGTACAAAAAAATAAAATGTTCGGTAAAATAGGAAACTTCTTTAACAAAGTTTAAGTAAAAACTGATGCCTTTTTCTAAGCACACCATTCTAATTAGCATCACCATACTCATTCTTAGTAACCTCCTCATTAAGGTTAATATCCTCCTCCTCCTGAAATGTAGGCTTAGTACCCTCCTCACTAATAATAAGGATAATATCCTCCACCTCCTCCTGATATGCACGCCTAATAGTGCTCATTCCCTTCATAATAATAAGGTTCTTTCCCTCCTCCACCTCCTTTTGCTGATTAGTTTTAACCTTAATAGTTCGGTTGCCAAAATCAAAATCCTTACTACAACGATAAAAGAAAATCAGTCTTCAAAAAATTTAGCAAAAAAGCTGGTAAAGACAACCACTAAAATTCAAACTACTTTGATCACTTAGAGTAATCTAGTTTGAAAAATTCATTCCATACACCTGAAGTTAAAAGAATAACAGTATTCCACAACAATAACATAGTAGTAGGTATAGAAGTTACATATTCAACCTTAGGAAATTAGAATGCAGCTACAATTTCAAGCAAAGGTACTTCTTGTTATGGTTTCGTTTAGTCTTCTTCTATCGAATTGAGCTTCGGTGAACGTATTGAAGAAATATCTGGTCGTGCTGGAGATTCAATAGACCGCATAAAAATTAAAACTAACAAAAACTAAGTTTTGGAAGTAGGTGGATTCGGTGGCTAGCCATTCAATTTTATTCTTGTAGGTTACCATCCAACTGTTATAAGTTTTGGAGGTTCCACACGTGAATATTTAGATTCAATTTATGTCATTTATAAATGAAATTTAATAAATTTTAAAACTTTTAAAATATTTTTGTCTTTATATAAAGTAATTAGTTAAATAATTTTAGTTATCCAAAATGTTTAATAAATAAATAAATAAATCATTGAATGAAAATTTTTTGTGAAATTTGAAATGATATCAAAATTAAAAAAAATAATTAATTGATTATTTAGCAATGATTCGGAAAGATAGATGGACGGACGATCAGAAAGAATTTTTTAATTAAAATTTTGACTGATTATTTATTTATTTATTTTTTTAATTGAGAAGGATTTTATTTGCTTATAATTTTGTTATGAATGGCAAGATATTTTTGATTGATTTATCTATGTAAAATTTTGTTTGATAAATTAGAATGTGAATGAAAAGTCAATATTTAGCAAAATAATCATTTAGTTTTATTTAATTTGCAAATGAGTGCTGAATAAATAATAAATTATTTAAAAGAACGTAAAGAAAAGCTAGAGAATCTTCACTAAATAGTCAATAAAAACAATATTGTTAGCAAGAATAGTTCAAAGAGGAATTTAGATAGAGCAATTATTTTTTCTTAAGTTTCATTTGTTAGTTTTTATAGTCTTTTTTTCTTGAAGATTGTTCTATTTAATCATTATCCGCGATTTAACATTGCCAAAAATTTTTTTTCTTTATGGTTTTACTAAATGACGATTGACCCTCTCACTCTCGGAGCAGGTAAATTTTAAAAAGTAAACTTAAACAGATAAGTTATCCCTTTTTAGGGTCTGTTCTATATACGCATTAAAAATATTTTTAGTCAAAAAAAGTAGTTGAAAAAAATTTATTTGATCTCCTAATTTTTATTTTTAATCAATCAAAAAAAAGCCTAGCTAAAATTTTTATTATTTTGATTAAAAGAACGATCAATTCCAGAATATGTTTTAATCAATTAAATGTTTTTATTATTTCATTTAAAATTCTTTAAGTATTAAATGGCTGTGCTTTGTAAAAAATGTGCTGGATTTTAGTATATAAATGATAAATACTTTTAAAAAATTTTATACTTTACAAAATAATTTTAGTTCTTTCTTTTTTTTAGAGATAGAAATATTATTTATTTTATTTCATATTATTTTTAGTTTGAATTGAATAGTAAAATGTTTAAAAAGC